ATTTTGGCAGATCTTTGCTTAGGGCAGACTTTAATGAAATCACTTTCACCTCTTGCCTATGAATGGGGATAGACAAGAATAGATTCAGACGCTGCATCAGGGTCTATAGGACAAAAGGCAGGCCCCCATCGGCCCAGTGGTTCTGACTTCTATCTTCCAAGTTCCATCCGAGAGAATGCTTGCTGTAGCGGTCTGTTCTTGCCTGTTGCACTTTGAACCAGGGGGCAAGCGTATATGGGTGTTCGTATAGCAAACCACGGCCTAGCTAGGGTGACCTAGGGGCTCCCCAGCGCGCGCGTGGTCCAAATTTTGTAGGCAGCTTCTAGGTCCTATGGGCCATGTTTCTACCAATTTTTAACCCTGCGTGTGCTGGGGAGCCCCGACACTGACAGCGTACAACCTTCTGGACGGAGGTCTGAAAACACAGCCAAAATGCAATATTTTGGGCCTTGTAAATCCGAATGGAACAAGGACGAAAGTTGGACGAAATCTTTCTTGGCCCTTATGAACACTAATCAAGCATATTTGAACAGGTGGGTGATCCAGAAATCCATTGGCGCAAGAGGCACAAAACTTCAGTGTGAACTCCTTTCGAAATTTCGGACGCGGACGGTTCCTGTCGCCGGTCATGACATCAACAAGACTTCCGAGCAGTGTTTTCCCGTTCGGACAACCGGGTAATCCTAACCACACTTAAAACCTAAGAATAAGTGCTCAGCCGTTAGTGGGAACCCTAATCTGAGAGCAGTCACACAAACCGTCACAGTAAGTGGCGTGACCCTAACACACCGTCAGTGCGTTATGACTTAACCCTAATGTTACAAAGACTGCCCGGTTGCGTACGAGTTCTAAATGGTTCATACCGTCCGCCGAGTCTTACCGCGACGCAGGGTACTACTCGAAACACTGGGCAGAGACCGTCCGCGTCCAAGTGTTCGAAAGGAGTTCACAAGTTTTGCATGTATCTTACGTTTTGCTCTGGAGGACACTGCTTGTGCCAGTGGAAGGACTTTCTGTCTGGCGCTTGCACCAACTTGGTGCCATTGCAATGGTGGTGGCGCAGACACTTTCAAAAAAGTACTGACCGCTAGTATCTACATACTACAGAGCAGCTGGGAGGCGGGGGTCATTGGCATCAGCATATTTTCGTTGCAAGCCTTCATTCGCTGGCGTGTCCAGCAACTACTTACTGTACCATTGCAAAAGTGACACACTGCTAGTCGCATGCTGGAGCAACGGAGTGAAGCATCGAGCAGGAGGGATGGCATCGACCTCCTGTTTCCGCCCGCAGGCTCTTTCATTAGGGAAGGCGGACCTTCTTGGGGCTAAGGTCCTAGACATTGAGCTTGGCGAGCCATTGAGTGGTAGAATGCAGGCTGTGCGTAGACTCTTGACAAAGACTCGTCGACTAGCACACCTCTCACTGCCCTGCCGTTTGAGAGCAGAGTCGTTTTCTGGCTCCACAGCAAGGGCTGCTCACAAAGCCCCTACCGCGTCCACAGCATTGAATGTGTCGGAAGACACGTCGCCGGCTCCTTCAAAACAGCTATCCGCTGCCGAAAGGAGGCGCCGACGAAAGTTAGCGGACGGTGACTTCTCAGATGAGTCTGCAAGGCCAGCGTCACCTTATTCGGAGCCCAGGCAGGAGGATTCCTCAGCAACCACCAGCGCTAGCCCCCAAGTAGCAAGCATATCAGATTCGGGAACGTCCGAAAGAGAACGTCAAAACAAAATCGGCCAATTTAGCAGAGCGGTAGCCAGGGACGCCGTAGCTTCTGGCGCACGGCAAGAGCGCCCAGCGTACAGAAATAGAGAAAGTTCTCCCTTGGGAGAGTTGGGCAGAAACGGTGGTGTGGAATCCGGCGCTCATCCCGTGCGGAGACAATTTACGGCGGGCGAGGCGAGGGCGCGGCAGTTCAGCGATGCGGTTCGATTTCTGAATAAGGACACAGGTGGGCAACCATGATGGCATCTGGTATAAAGATTATCCATCAACTTCCCCGACCCAATCTCGTAGCAGCTGAAGGGATTGTTGCAAAAGGTTCAATCTAAAATCATGCAGGGATAGTTTTGAGAAGCATTTCTTTGACTCTCAGTTCAAATTGCAATGGTTGTCGCTTTGAGGGACATACGGAAGCAAACGCAGGCTGGCACCATCAGACTTTTAAGCTGTTACATCAAGGGACTAGTCTCCAGGGGAACAACACTCTATGCCTTGACCCTGCAACTTTTACCTTGTGATTCACACCTGTTCGCGTGCCAATTGTGGTTTCCCAGGCAGGCCTGCACCCCCTCGAAAGCCGCTGGTGCAGCCCGTGATCGTTTCCAGGGGGGTGCTTCCTGACCTTTGGGAGGGCCCCAACGGAACGGCGATTTTGGTCGACAAGCCGCTGGAGTGGTCATCGCACCAAGCGTGCCAACGGCTGAAGTTCCAGCTAAAGCTAAAGAAGGTGAGGGGCGCTCCTTACCGCAGTCTGCAGACTTGACCGCTGATCAAGCTAGGTCACAAAATCTCCCTTCAAATTCAAATGTCGTTGATGAGTGTTCTAGGAGCATTTCTGGAAAGTAGTGAAGGAAGTCAGGCAAATGGTGCGGCCTTCAGAATCTACAGATGTAGGCAGTGATGGCATCATTGTGTTGAAGAAGAGGTTTGAAATCAGTTTCCCCTACGTCGAGCATTTCAAGGTCAGCTTTGTTTTTGAACATTATTACTGCGCGGTCAAGTACGTTCGAAAATGCAGAGTCTCCAGTACTTTCGACCTTCACTATGATTGACGGACATCAGATTCTAAAACCTGAGTCTGTGGACTCGACGGAACGCGGCAAATCTTATAGAACTAATTCTTTCATAACGTCAATCTCATCTTTGCAGATTGGGCATGCCGGGACTCTAGATCCGATGGCAAGCGGCCTTCTCATCCTAGTTGCGGGGCCTGCGACCAAGCTGATGGAGGTGTACCAGGCACAGACCAAAAAGTACTCGGGGACTATCCGGCTAGGAGAGACCACGCCCTCGCTGGACATTGAAACGGAGGTGAGACTTGTCGTGGCAAGTTAGTTTTGTGAAGTTTTCAGCCGTCTAGCGACTCGACGAGCTCGGCTTCAATTCTTTGGGAAATGATAGCGCCGCATCTCCATGGAGCACTCTCCAAAATGACGATCCGCAGTAGTAGTGCATGACCGCGAACATTTTCTCTCTGATGCAAATGAAGACACGTTCTTCGCTGTCAAAGCTGGGCGGAGGCAGTGAGTTAAAAGGGAGTCGGATCACGAAAACGATCACCATGGAAGACACTTTTCATACTTTCACGATAGAATTGATGGGACAATCAAGCGGAAGATGGGCTCTCGGGTTTGCCATCGAGTCTCAAAGCAAACTACGCGGTCCCTTTTGAAGAAACGAGAGTCTTCTTGGTGTTGCTTTGATGCATCTATAAGAGTTGCGGGCATTGTCAAGGTGTCATTACAGAGCACTTTATCAGAAATGAGTCTGGGCGACGTATCTCGACTCCTTGCTCCGCGTCTGGCATCCAACAAGACAAACCTTGTCGTTTTGCGCTTTCTGCTCGTCAGCCCTTTACATTTACGCTCTCGACGCCCGCCACCCTCTCAGGTCGAAGAGCGGTTCCCGTGGGAGCACGTCACGGATGACGTCATCGCTTCAACGCCCGAGAGTTTTCTGGGTGACATCATGCAAGTGCCGCCCATCTACTCGGCTCTCCAGGTAAGGTCGTCTCTATTTGAAAACATGTTATTTCTGGAAAATGAAAGCATCATAGTGGAAGAGGGGCGAAGGAATCGATGAATCGGAAAACGTCGTCATTTGGAGTTTCCGCGTCGACGAGTCGATTCCGTTTGCCATATTTCAGCCGAAGAATTGTGCTTGGAAAGATTGCAGGTTGGAGGCGCTCTACTCAATTGCGGCGTGGACGTTTGCCTCCCCGGGTGACGTAACGTGACTTGGAAGCTCGGGGGAAGTATTGATTGGGGGCTTTTTGCTTTCCATGCCAACAATCACTTCTGGTTATCCGGTCAAGCGAGCCAGTCATCAAAAGCGATCGGCTGGATCAACCCCCTTGCTAAACCGTTGTTTCTAGTGATCGAAAAGACGCACCTCTAGGACAACTTACTCGAGTGAGTAGCATTCAAACCTTGATCGCATGTTTAGAGGTACCCTAGAAGTTGACCTATTTCTTCCAATCGCAGGTCGGGGGCGAGCGGTTGTACAAGAAAGCGCGCAGGGGGGAGACGATGGAGATCGCAGCTCGGCCGATCACCATCGAAGGCCTGCGACTGTGGAGGGACGAGGAGGTCAGGTAGGGTGGCCGTCTTTCTCGCCTTATTCGTCCTCGCTCTGCTTGTCTCGCTTCGCATGCAAGTCGCAAAAGTTTCCCCCAAACCAAACCTGTTGACTTATACAGAGGATTGATCCGTAATCAGACCTTTTGCTGAGCCCCTGGAAATGATTATTCTCGTTGTTCAGCTTTGGCAGCCCGTTCCGCGAAAATCTCCTGGTTCAATGGTGACGGGTTAAATCTAACCGAAGTTCGATACAAAGCTAAACCTTTACCCTGTTTCGGTCCATACCAGCCTGGTGCAAGCCTCCTGCAGCGACTTCTCCCGCTGCGCCTTCGTTGGAAAGGTCGCGCCGGGCAGGAATGCTGACGGCAGCCTGCCACGTGGCCCTCTCGCAGGCAGCACGTGCACTTCGAGGTTGTCTGCTCCAAGGGCACGTACGTCCGCTCGCTCGCGCGTGACATCGGCGCGTCTATGGGCACTGGGGCCTATCTGGTCGCGCTGAGGAGGGAAGCCATTGGTGAGAAAGTAATGAGCAAAAATTTGCGGACGTTCAGAAGAATGATGTAAGAAGTAGTAAACCTGAACCCAAGTAGTACCTGCTCCGCACCCGTGCCCACCGTAAAGCGATTTCTTGTTGGATGGGCGGAGGCGATCTGGATTGGACGTGCGCAGGCGTACATTAAGTTTGCCATGCCGACCGATCCGAAAAATGGATCAATGCGGCCGTTGCTCTTGGCGGCTGACATAGATTGAGATCTGTGCATCCTTCGAGTTGAAAAACTCTGATTGATAATCAATCCGTAGAACTGGCACTTATTGCAGACAACGCGTTACGTCGAGACTTTTCGAATCGTCAAATCTCTTGTCCGTCCGCACATGCGCTTTTGCAAACAGAGACGTCGGGGAGAATGCTGTTCAGGCATTGGTGGGGCCGCTTTGATCAACACTTCACCGACTGTTCTGAACTTCAACGAGCCCAGCTGATTCCCATCAAAACATTTCATCACTTGTTCGTGCAGGAGATTTTGACGTAAAAGACGCCTGGGATATCGATGACCTTCTTGCACAGTGGCAAGTCCGACAGGACGAAATCAGAGACTCTCGCATCTTTCGATCAGACGCGCTGCGAACTTCGGAAGAGCCGCCGACTTTGAGTGTTTGACGAGGGAAGCGTTAGCAAATTCGTTCCTAATTGAGTTTATAACAATGACGGTAAAACATTCTTAAGACGGCCAATCGCGGAGCTTCAAGAAATGACCCGTGTGAGGTTCCCAGTAAGTGCACGAGAGTTCTAGCTTGATTGACCAAGTCAAACATAGCATGCATTGAATCTATGATGACTCGTACCTAAAATGACGTGAAGCGTTTGCCACGCTCCGTTACATCAAGACGGTCCCCTGGGCCCGAGCTAGCATGATGCACGCACATGCACGTACGTTATGAATGCATGTAAGCAGAGCAGAACTCACCAATCCTGGGCTCATTGAAGTGGTCGAAACAGGACAGAATGCACTAGCTGAGAGCGAAACGGCCATGCAGCTTAGTTCAAGTAAGCGCACCGGCTCGTGCTCAGTAAAACTGCTGATATAATTCCGATGGACATTTGCAATTGCATGATATATTGCAGGCACCGAGTACTCACCGTCATGCTTGGATTAACAGCAACTTAACAAGTAAAACTCACAGCTCTAGCCGCGCCCGCCGGTCAGGGACGGCAGGAGGGCTGAAATGATCATCCATGCAGTGACGAGAGTCCTGATCATTCAATAGTCGGTTGTCTGGAGCGATATGTTGACATCCAAGAGCTGTTGCTGTGACTTTGCTTGCTCGTCTCCTATTCAAAGCAGCGCGGCACTACCCTAATGGAAGCTGATTGTGTTTCAAACACCAGTCGCAACATTAGAGTAAATAATGAAGGTGATCCGTCCCACGCCTTGAGCGGACCACTTTGAAAGGAACTTGAAAACGGAAAATCATTCAACGCTAGTACTCTCCGCAGAAGTTAATCTTCTTCGGTGCCGCCCTCTGCTTCGGACAACGCCTTCGAGGCAATCCTCGAGACGAGGGTGGTAACCCCTAAAGTCGCTACCGCTCCCAACTGCAATGTGGAGCGGGATGGCATTCAGGCGTTCGTGAATTGCCAGTAGGCATACCAAGCACAGAAAAATATTCGAGATGAAGGCTACTTGCCATGGAACTGAGCCGCCAGCAAGCTTCATAAAAGGCAAATGCTCGCCGATCTCCCAGTCCAGTTCGAAAGCATCCTCTGCGAGTGCACATCAACAAAGAGTTTGTGTTCACGACAGTATCACAACCTCCTTTCAGCGAAGATGCAAAAAGGGCGCCCGCAAACTTCATAAAGTGCAAATGCTCGCTGAACCCCCGGTCCACTCCAAAACAATCTCGGCAAGTGCACATCAACAAATGGATTGTCTTCAAGACATCATCACAGCCTCTTTCCAGCAACGATGCTATAAGGTACTCACAGCATAAAGGCCCAATTGAAGTGGAGAGGTTTTTGCTACCGCCCCTCCGCTCGCAACAATGTCAACAGTCGCCTTTCCGGCGCTTCCCAGGTACCTGTAGACCGGATGATGAGACTTCGGACCACATATGAGAGGCAATCCGAGGTCCAGGACAGTAGCACCATTGCCCTATTCCCATGTTCGTTTAGTTGGACAATGGCGAGGGCCGCGAAGTTGGCACCAGTTGGCACCAGTTGGCAAGTGCTCTGCTTCGGAACGATTCTTGACGCAGATTCAGATGGAGAATCCAGACTCAAGGGGATCTCGATATGATTATAACAAAAAGTTTCGACTTTTTCTGAGTGGCGAGAATGCAGATCGCTGCACTAGCCTTCCTTCCAATTGTTGAGCTAGCCTACCAGGACATCCGAGAAACATTTGCAAGACTTACAGGACGCATCTTTCACAAGAATGTTAGTCCTCCCGTTTCGCCTTCCGCACCATTCACAACTCCGAACACCGCCTTCCCGCTAGCACTGCCGTTCTAGGGGCTCAGACTGATCACTTTTGACAGTTCAACGAAAGAGCACGGAAAATATTAACAACAGCCTTCGACGCTTCTTACACGTATGCAAAAGTTGCCGGCAGCATGCCGATCCAGGATGAGGCCACGAACGGCACGAACTCGATCCTGGTTAGCCCCAGCCTGCAGAGAGAAACGGGAGTTAAGTTCGACTCCTACATCGACCGGCGATAAGCATCGGCTCACAGGTGGGCGACCTGGTTTCACTTCGGCAGCTGCATCTCAACAGAATAGAAACCAGCAAACGCTGTTAGGCAATCACAGTTCTTGCTGCCGCTTCTGTTTTGTTGAAGACGGATCAATCGCAGCCTTTCTGCCACAGCCAGGAAGCTACGGCGTGTCCGCACGTCCACTGTCTCCATCAAACCAAGAATTGAAGAATAGCAACCAGTCTACGAGCTTGCGCGGTTTCGAGCCCACTACATGGCAACACGACCAGTCACACGACGACTCAAGGATGCTGACGAACTCACGCGTAATTAGAGAGCGCGAAGGGGAAGAGGGGCGACAGGCGGAGCAACACCACGACCTTCCAGCCCTCTCTCGAGATCGCCTTGTCTACCGCTACAAACCTGCACGTCACAAGACAATCACTTGCATCTCATTAGACGAAACGTCAAATGGGCAGCCGCGCTGAGGAGGCGACACAACGACCAAGATGCTCGTTAACAATTGAAAGTCTACTACAGTGTGGCACGTTGAGCAGATTGTGAAGCGCAGATGCAGTTTTCGGTCGTACGCTCTTCAAAGTAGCTGAAAGCTCTTAGCCTCCATTCGCGGGGTGTGAATTGTTTTCGTAGCTTCGTAGTTTATCAGCTCTGGCAATTGACAAGACACCCGATTGTGAGGCAAAAGAGATAGATCGGAGCTGAGGGGTGCGGACGGAAGTGACATGAACGGTTTGAAGTGGCTTTCGAGGGTTTGCAACGCTATCAACATACGGGCCAACGTCGACATTGTTTCTGATGAGAAGTACTGTTCCCAGCAACCGCTTTGTGCCGAACAACACTCCAAAACACGAACAATGAAACCGTTGCTCGAGAGCGCCCCCGCAGTCTGTTTCAACGAAAGCTTTGGCAAGCGCTCTTACCTATCGTACTTCGCGAGGCGTTCCTCTACAAACGGCCTAGCAGCATACCGGGATATGAGGAAGGCCAGCGCCGCTGCGGGGACAAGGGCGGAACGTCTTTGGGTTTGCCGTGAACCGGACAATGATAGTCACGCCAGCAGTACAACAGCCCTTCGTAAAAAGCATAAAAAGGCAGGGAATGAGCATAGATTGCACCATTGAGCTGGAACGAGACACGGGCACAAAGTGCAATCTTCAAGACAATTGCACGTAACCAAAGAATGGTGATACGGGGCCCCTAAATTCGAGCAGGGAGGGTCCGCTCATCCGCAGTAGCTTCAGACCTTTAAATATCAAAGAAAGAAGAATTGATGCGCTTCTGCTGGAGCCAGGAGGAATTCACCAGCTATTTAAACCCTGGACCTAATCTTATGTTAAGTGGCGGGGCAGACTTGCCTCCACTGGTGGACGAGACAGAGACGACCGCAGTTCCGAGCAGCGGGCCGAAGATGTACCCGGCAGCTAGGGTAAGAATCGAGGCTGGGATGAAGGCGACAGTAGTGAGGCAGTAAGCGGCGGCAAAGTATATGGGGGCTAGAGGTCCGGCAGACTCGATCTGTTCCTCTATCCACTGAAAGGAGGAGAAGAGGGAGGGTCAAGGAATGATGGAAAGACGGCTCTGTCAATACAAGAACAGGGCATGAAAATTGCCTCTCCAATGCATATTCCTACAAAACATCAACTGTCACATGGCTGTTTGTAGATCCGATCACAACACCAGTATGAACCGCTCGCCTCACCTCGATGAACTGTAGCTGTCGAGAGCTTATAAGTTCCACGACTTTGCAGAAGCTGGTCAAGGTTGACTACTCAGTAAGAAAGCAGGGTTGGATTTGACGTGAAAGCAATCTGTTTGGCCTTCTCTTGCAGAGGGCTAGTAAAAAGAAAAAACAGGGGCTCACTTTGACCCACTCCGTTGGACCCCCAGGAATTAAGTAAGCGACTGCGCCTAGCACCAATACTATGGACGTGATGGCGACGATTGCAACTGCAACAGAAGAACACCGTGTATCCAAAGAGAAATCCGATCAATCTCAGATGACCTGCCATATGTTTGGGTATCAGTCATTTTATCAGCGATTGTTGAGCTGTGACAGCTCGTAGCGTCCTGGACGCAGCAGGGGAAGCTGATGGGTTTTGCTTACGCTTTGAATAAGGCGAAGCATCCATAAAAAGGGTCTCCTGAGTTCATCCCATAGGCACATCTTGCCTTATGCAGAGTACAAAACAAAAGTTCAGCGCAGCAAAGCAAATTCCTTTTGACGTTGTGAAGGTGGATTATAGTCACCGGTTGGTGGGCCTCCCTGCTGTTCGGTATCCACTTGTTTATCTTGCGCGCTTTCTCGTTCTGTCAGCATTTCCCCTCCTTTCTTTTCTTCTGCTCTGATTGGGCAGAGGCGAAGCGGCTTTGCTGCTGCAAGCAGATCAAAGAGCATGTTAAAAGCACCTTACAGACACTTCAGGGACTTGGCATGATTGCACCAACTTTAGAAAAGCTCCTAACTCTGGGGACACCGAGATTCATACTTGACAAGTACAGAGACAGCATTGCTTGATCCCGAGCAGAACGGAGTAGATTCAATTGAGAAAAGCCCCAGCCTTCAACGATCATCAGGAAGACACCGTGCTCAAAGGTAGACCTGAAACGTATCCTCTAAAATAATTTGTGACCAGAAAGATCCAGGCGCAACAGCTATGTGACCATCTTCATGCACCCCATGGTTTTGACAGTGTCAGAATGTTGGACGGCAAGTAGGATAAATCAAGCTGAGAAATTTGAATTCCTGGGCAGCACACATCAATCCTCAGCTCGAATCCTTACCTTCCTTTCGGAAAAGTCCAGCTAATTTCATCCTGCCTGGGCTAGCGATATGAGATGGTGACCTCTTATCTGACAAGGTGTAATGCTGCACGTCAAGCCGTTGAGCTCCCTTGGCTCTGAGCTGTTTGCTTACTCTGTGCGCTCGTGCTGACCCTAGCAGTGCAGGGAATGTAGGGGAACCTAATGCTGGAATTTGAAGAGTTTGCCTTCTCTCCTGTGGAAGACTTATCACTATCAGCGCATGGCTGAGGCAGCTCAACTCTGCTGCTGCGGCCATCATCGTAGCTGCCTTGGCTCTGAGTCTGAGACTGAAGAACGTTCAAGAAAGCAGTGCCGGCTAGCTTTTGCAAGAACCTCTCACGGACAGTCCGGAGGGCTCACTAACCCTCGCCGTCGGCAATGCACTGGTGCCGGTGCATTTCCGGAGCAACGTTATCATGTACCGTTTACGCATTTTCCAGTTTGGGCTGGTTTGGGCTTGGGCGATCGAAACCGGCAGAAACACCGTGCAAAGTCGGTGGGTTGGTTTGTGACCCTTTTTCGTAACCCAATGCATATTTCAAAACGATTGGTCAGATTGGCGTTGTTCCGTTGAAGCAGCGATCAGAGAGAAATGCTGATCGACTACGACTTCGGATGGAAGTCCCAACTTCGTTCGCTCCAATCTTATCTTTGACGCAAGCTGCTCGCAATATACTGCTAAGGTTTATACTTTAGGTGTGCATCACCATTCAGCATGCAGCATTAAGAGCTGATATCGAGACCGTGAGGAGACACTACAGGTGGCCGGCTGAGAAGAGGAACTGAAATTAGATTAATCTGGCTTATTAGAAGATGCACAAAGCTCCAAGTTTCTCGAAGCATACGAGCACAACAGAATGGAGTAAAAAGCCAATCAAGGCGCTGCGGGACGTCATGGCCTAGTCCAGGGATAGGTAGTCTTAGCCGTTGCTTCGTTGCTAGCCCGCTTTCTCTGACTATGTAGTGTTTACAAAGTGAGGAGGTGATATCATTCACTGCTCTTCTCGGGCTTAAGGCAACGCAGGGATGAGGAGACGTCTCGAGCGCTTCTCGAGCATATTGTTGCTGACAAAAGGAGGTCAAGAGACTCGCAGTGACTGCTGACACTCACACCCGTAAAAGTCCTAAACCCGGAAGCATGGGTGGCCTTCCAGTGGTCTTCATTGGCATCTGCTTCCTCTTGTGTGACGCTTCGATCACTACAGGTGAGTGGAGTGAGTGTGAGGAATCATTCAGTTCGAGATTCGCAGATAGTGCTCCGCGGCTGACATCGGTTGCTCTTGAAAGATTGTCAAAGTTGAGGCACTCAACTTTCAGAGCCTGCACAATATAAGTGTCAAAGCGTTGGTCGTGAGTATGCTTCCTCAGCTCTCAGATAAAATCGCAATCATCTGCTCTTAATACGAACCCCTTCACTTGCCAGAATTGGAAAGGTCATGGTCAGTCGCTAAGCACAATTTTCTATAGGATCCACGATACAGCCTGCATTTGGTGCAGAAGTGGTTCCAGATTCCTTACGATCGAAAGTATTAGAGTGCACTTCATTCGTGAAGCGACGAGTGATGGACCTTTGCCGCCAGCTGGCAACCCTTCCAGTTCAGCGGGTGATGATGGATATGATAAAAACTTGCTCACCCCGAACGGAATTGCAGCAGCAAATCAGGAAGATTCCGACCACTTCGTCAAACGTCAAGGGCATCAGTTCACGCTCAACGGAAAGCGGTTCTTCGTTCACGGGTAAGCGGTCAGCGGCCAACAGGACACGTGAACCGTTTGTATTACAAATCTAATCGCATCAGCTGCATAGTGCTGCACAGTTCGCTTATTCTTTCGGCCTCTCAAACCCTAACAAGGTGATCATGAGTCAGTACGCGCACAACGATTCTTCGAATTCGTTTGCAGGTGGAACACCTACCATCTTTTAGACTGCATACATCTCGACGCTTCGACTTATCCAGATGGAGTTCGGACAATTCCTGCACATTGCCCGGCAGTTGACGAAGTTCTACGGAAGGGGAGGAACCTAGGAATGAACGTCATGCGCACTTGGGCATTTCACGAGTACGTGACCTGCAATCGAAAGTCTTCTCCAAGAGCGTTTCTTGAGAAGCCTGTATATGTTTCAAGAAGGCGGACATGAAACCACGTGTAAGCACCTTCCTTCGAGCAAGTCTAACTTAACGTAGTCACCGGCCACACCCTCAGATCTCCGCATCTGGCCATGGATTAGATTGTTGAATCTTGATGCGGTACTGAATGCTTCACGTAGTGCCTGACATGTTCCTTCTTTGATCACGATCAGTGGGCCTCCTAAAGACGGAAAGTACCCGCTCCAGACAACCCCGGGTTGGTACTCAGAACACACTTTCCAGGTGAGCAGTGGACTGCCTAGCTGCTGAGGTCATCTTCTGCTGAAGAAGTAGGGGACGAAGCAAATGGTCGAAGTCTTGATGTGCTGCCTCATTCGAAAGGATGGTGTCCCGACCTATCCGTGTTTCAACGGCGCTCTTTCAGCAATGTCAACACGTGCAACCTCACTGACAGCAAAACTATCTGTCAGTTTCCTTGCCGCGACTCTTTGTAGACTGAGGATCAAGTGGTACATCTCTTTGTACCAACATGGAATCTTCGCTCCTGTATTTCTGCCGATGCAGATGCTTGATTACATTCTGCTTCGAGCTTCAGAATACGGCATCCGCCTGATCCTACCGCTTGTCAACTTCAAGTGAGTGAAGCCTCTCGATCGTGCATGCATGATGAAAAGGAAGGTCCTTTCCTGTTGCTTTTGGAGCATTTCCCCTTCTATCGTAGACAGACGTCAAGTTGACGTCTGAGATTTCACTTTTCGATTGGCAGCCGGAGCTTGATTGAAGAAGGGCTCATGTATGTCGCAGGCATTCCTACGGTGGCTCGCTGCAGTATCTGACCTGGTCTAAAGAACGGGGTGGCAGAGTCACTACCACTGACGATGCTTTGGGAGACAGTGAGCAGTTCTACACCGACGACCTGTGCAAGGAGTTCTATAAGTCCTACGTCAAGGTACGACCCAAAGCAGCCGAAGTCATTGTATGAGGGCTTTTAAAAGAAGGTCTTTCCATTTCAAGCTTGTTCTCGCAAGTCTCCAGAGTTCCGAGCACCGGTCTTCCTGTCCGAATATCCTGTAGCTTTTTCCACTGACGGACCTTGCCAAGTTTCTTAATTGCCAGATGAAGTCAGCCGTTGGCAATTTCGAGCCTCAGAGCTTGTAGATCAAAGTGCACCGGTTTGCAATAATTGGTCGAACTGGGTGTCCGATCCTTTTCTTTAAAAGTGACGCGAAGGGACATAAACAGTACCACTTGGCGTCCTTCACGGCTAGCAACTCTGTCCAACCTGATTGTCTGATTCAAACCTTCTGTGCAGTCTATTCTTCAGCGGACAAATACATTCACAAAACGGGTATACAGGGACGATCCCACCATCTTCGCCTTCGACCTGATAAATGAGCCACGTGCACCGCTTCATCCGAATGGCAACGAACTGCAGGTGAGATGCGATTCCCCTTGCAGGCCATGTACATCATCAAGTTTTTTGGGGCCACCTCAGATTGATTCATACCACAACATACGTTCTGCTGTTTGTGACAGACTCCTCTGGACCTCCACCCCTTCAAGCTGGACGCAAAGCGCTGACGCCCAAATCCGTCATGTCAAACAGGCCTGGATCGAAGAGATGTCCTCCTTCCTCCGAAACGAAGATCCGAACCATCTTATCAGGTAAGTCGACCAGAAACTTGCGCAAAAATTGCAGCTAGGAGTTGCGGTATTCAAACCAGCGTTGCAAATCCTGTTCGAAAATGGTCTTTTATACTCTTAGCTTGCGCAGTTGGTTTCTTCGCTTGTGCAGAAACTCCAGCAAGAATTTTTCCTCAATCCTTCCCATCCTCTTCCGACCTTTTTCCCCCTTGCAGTGTTGGTTTAGAGGGTTGGTTTGGAGCAACAACCCCAGATCTCCAGATGCTGAATCCTCCGACCACCTCAAAGTATCCAATTGAATGGAACGAGACGGAGGGCTCGGACTTTGTTGTGAACAACATCTTGCCGTCCGTTGACTTTGCGGCGATGAGTGTAAGTTTTCAAGGCTCCTGCCCATTTCTGGGTGGAGAACATATGTGTTTGCTCGAAGTTTGCTTACTGGCCCGGTTCCCAGCTTTGCAGTCGGTGCACCTGCAAGTCGCTGAAGGCATCATAACATACATCCAGTTTCTGAATGCGAAAGTCTGTTTCGTCGCAGATATGGGATCATTGGCTGCCCACAAATAGCACCAGCGGAGAATCGCTGCGGGTGAGATCGAAACAGCTGACTGCTCGAGTCCACGTTAGAAGGTCCCACCCTGTCGTACGCCTGTTCCGGCTCGAACTTCTCGTTTGTGACGCTAATCAAATCAGCAGATCCTGTCAGATGCAGTCGAGCTCTAAGACAAGTGTCTGAAAGCAATTTCCTCTCTAAGCTTGATCTCGACCGCTCATGTGCGCAGCCTCTCGTGCTGTTGCAGTTTTGGGAAAAGTGGATCACGGGACACATATCTGCATCTGAGAGGTTCTTGGACAAACCCGTTCTCCTCGAGGCAATCGGAGTGAGGTCAGCGTCTTTCTGACCACTCAGGTCTTGCATCTCTTTGACCCTTTTAGGGGACCCTTTGACCCTTTTAGGGGACCCTGAACTTGACAACCAGTTGTTTTATTGAACGGGCGTGTAAAAGTTTGCTCTTTGCGACTTACTTCAGGTACTCGAGATAGAGTGAGAGTGCTTGGGAGCCGGTATGCAGGATCTTTGAAGAATGATATGGATCAAAGCTTTTCTAGGTTTGCTTAAAGCTCACTGAAGATGAATCACTGCAGCGAAAAACTGAGAGTTATGTCCTCTGCTGCAGACGTGCAAGTCAGGAAGGTCGGAACCCTTTCTTCAAGCTGGCTTTTGACCTGATGTTCGAGTCCTTCAAAGGAAGAGGAGCAGGAGCGGGGACCTGTTTCTGGATGCTCAGTGACGACGGTAAGGCTCGCAGAAGAGCCTCTGAATGAGGAGAGCAGGCAGGGAGCACATCGACTCTGCTTTCATCTAACAAGGCTGTTCAATCGCGAATCCCGAGTTGCTGGGAAGTGCCAAAGATGCGTCACCAGAGTGTCGCGGGCTGGGAAAAACAAGGAATCCTTATGATTTTGCAGCGTACCCGGACTACGACGGCTCCACCGTCTACTATCCCGCTCACGCCTCAACCGGGGTTCTCATCAAAGCGCAAGCGGAGAAGGTCCAGATCTTGGCCAAGAGGGAGGAGCGCATTCGCTACATTAATTCGCTCGTGAAGGCTCAGCTCAACCACTTTGGGACATCGCAGGAGGCTGGAGAGGAGGTCTCGAAGCTCGGCACACAACGGCCCACCAACAATGACGCGGTTTCAGAAGACTCCGTCGACTCTAACGCAGCACGCAAATTCCGAATGGCACTCGCTCGCCACCATCCTTACGTCAGGACCGACCCGACCACGAGGCAGCGGTTAGCACTCGAAGGGCCAGAGACAGGGGAGATAGGTCTAGATGATGTGTCTGATGACCGAGTAGCGGCCGCAGCAGTAGAGATCCGTTTGTTGTTGATTCTGTCCTTTTTATTCTGCGTGCTTGCCCTTTTCTTCATTTACCAGGCTGCTTTTCCAAGGAAGAGACTCGGACCCCGCGGGACAGGACTTTCAGAAGACTGATTGATAATGAAGGAACAGAAACCTATAAATCAGACAATGAGCTTGCAAAAAGGAAGGCGGTGTGCGGCCCATTTGTGCAGTTGCTAAGACTGCGGATTCATGTAAACAGCTTCAAGAGCATCGTCAACTCAAGGGCCGCTTTCTAAAGCCTGCCAGGCTGCATGCAAAGTCTGCATTGCATATGACGTATTGGTGCGTAGTAGAACTTACTTATATGGACGTCGTGCTATAAAGTAAGTCACGTGGTATAATGAGCTGCCACACAACAACGGAATTCGCTTGGGATATCTGCATCCCGGCTGCATTCCATTCCAACTTTCCCTACAAATAATTGTGATTTTTGATGCGGGATCTGTGTGGATGTTGCGATTGCGAGCAATTCATATGCCAGGTCGAAAATGCTCAAGGACTTGTGGCCAGTCGGCCGCGCCACCCTTGTTTAATCCATGCATGCTAATTGAAGTATTGCCAAATGCCGCGCAAAGTCGATTCACCAAACGGCCACCTAGGTTCTTTTCTGCTTTCATGACGTAATGATGGTGCAGAGCAGGTTTGCAATTTAATTGGCGGGCCAGCAGATGAGCTCGGCAATCTAAAAGATTTGCATGACTGACTGCATATGAGCGCTTGTAATTGCTGCAAGGCGGCCGGCGCAGCTAGGCCCTGTTCGTGAGTTGCAAACGTCATGATGTCGGATTACCGGCATTAGTAACGCGAGATCAAAGGCTCAAACGCGGATCGACGGTGTGCACAGTTGCGCATATCGATGCACAGGGCTGTACATGCACATCGACAGCGGCGTAGTATCGTGCCAAGCAGCGTAGACGGACTGGCAATCATGGCATGATGTGATCCTGACAGACCAAGATCCACATAACAGAGGGTCCTCGATTGGGAAGCCTTTCATTGCGTACGTAAGATCTGACACAAGCGCAGCAGCAATGACTGTCCGTCTCAACACGATTGGCCCGGCCGGCAATGTACATGCGTACTCCAAATGACAGGTACTTTATTGTAATCTACACTGATCAAGGCTCTCTGATTTTACCAACGCCCCCGCGCCGGTCCGTTTCCTGGAAAGCTCCTGAGTCATGCTTGAAACGGAGGACGTTCTACAACATGCAGCGTTGCGATCGAACCTCACACCTGGTCTGTAACATCTGCCTGATGGTGTTCGCTTCCCGTAGACACCGGCCTCTGCTCTTCCGACCTGCGGGGTTTCCCTTCTGGCCCCTCCCTCACCGGGTCATCTTTCTTGGCAGCCTCCGTGGCGTTCAGGTTTTGACTTCGTACTCTGCGCAGCGCAGCCTGAAGCCAGGGATTCCGGAGCTCGCTGACTAGCTGATGACACCAGCTCAGGTCCACCTCGATCGGAGCCGCGTCATGCACTACGAAGCCAACAAAGACCAGCCAAACTGCCAGGATGTATGTCCACAGACCCTGCGAAACGATGATCCACTCTTTATCGATGGACTTGACGAACCTCTCCCGCAGAACCGTTGCTTCATTGCTCGAAGTTCCCTTTCATAGTGTTGGGAAGGAGCATGATCCAACTCCAACCTCGTAGGGCTATCAACCGATTCGAGATTGACATCTCTCGCAAAGTAGCAAACTCCTTTCTCAAAAAGTCGCACATACTCATATCTCCCACAAGTTGCCTACACAAGTACACAGTGGAACGTCCCACTGCCTCAAAAAGCGAAGCATAAATGGCCTCGGACCAAATTGGATACTACGCTCGTTAACTTCTAGTGTTCAGACAACAAGACATTCACCATCTGGTCCAAGGCGTCGCTAGATCTCCTGATTAACTTACGAATGAACATTCCCTGCTCTATGGAAATACGAACGTATGGTGGGCTGGGGGATCCCCCTAGATACGAGACAGTTGTCAAAAAATTGTCTGCGACAAAAGGGGTTAAAACACTTTCACGTAATCGCCACCTTACCGACCACAAATTTTCAGACAGTAAGATGGTAGCCATGAATTGATGCAACAAAGGGCTGAAGAATTACCTTATGGCGATGGTGCTCCGGGTCGTTCACCCTCAAAGCCAAGAAAGCTGCTGCCAATCCGACATAGAAGATGACTTTACCAGCCTGCGAGCAGGAAAAAGCCGTCAGATTGTGTTCGAAGGCTGGATGATACTGGCTGGTGCCTTTGTTCTCTCGCCTTTCTCAAAATAGACGATTGCGGAGGTGGATTCAAGACCTGACAGCACTCCCTAGCGACAAACGCCCCAGCTTTGCAATAGTCGTCACAAGGTTGTCTCAATCAAGCATCACTCGAATCAGTCCAAATTTACGAAGAACACACTCATAAGGGAGGAGGAAAACTCACAAGCTTGTGGATCCTGCTGAGTTGTCCTGTGAACTTTTTGTATCTTTTGGGGAGTCCGTAGTACAAAAGTACTCCCCCGGCAGCTATCACCAAAAAGCCAACCAGAGCAGACAAGCCAACCCAAGTGTGAAGAGTGGTAAAGTGCTGTTTGGATGCCATAGATCTGCTGGAGTATATGAAGATGAAGCCCAGGGCCGCCAGCGCCAATGAAGCTGCTTGGATGTATAAATGCAGTCTGAGTAGGAGCCCCCTCTGCTTTCCCTGCAATATGAAGCAAGCCTGTTGGTCAGAAGTTCAATTCTTCGGGGGCTATGCACAGAAACAAACCTAGGATCAGTCCGAATAGTTGCCGGGTCAGACCACAGTATCCGTTCTGGAAGTCAGCCTGCTTGAGCATTTTAAAGGCTTGATTCAACAAAGTGCCCTCAACACTTGGGTGGATTTTCTGTCGCCCTACAACATATGCGAGGCCCCAAGACCACTGCGACGACCTGAAAAGCTGGTTTGCAGAGCGTTGTTTCCAGTATGTACTTGAAGCCAACCGAACCCCTCACGTTGGGTAAACAGATCAAAGTAACATGTGTGTGCCCAATATTGGAAAGCTCATAATGCACCATCTTTCAACCACTCAAACAACGCATGACGCTCACCTTCGCATTCCTTGCTGCGATGATGCCTTCAGACATCAGAAAGATGCCGCCCGCAGACATTGCGAGGACGTGACCAGCAAATAAGATCTTCTCGTGGGAGAAGAACGTAGCGGTCAGGGCCAAGGGCAGGGTCCCCATCAGCACATGCGATAGCCAGGGCACATCATGAGGGAGCGATGAAGTTGAGGGAGGAGTCGACATGACTACTCAGCTGAGAATCGCTGGAGTGGACAGCAGATGACTGCTACTTCCCACTTTACCGAACCATGGGTCGCAGAACTGTTGTGTAGGCAGATTGGTTGTCTAGGGTGTTTCCAAAACTGCGCTTCACAACATCGATCCACAATGGCATTCTAAGCTCTCCGCTTCCGCTACTGCTCTTGATCCGAGGGCAACAATTGGTTGCCAAAGCCCAGCTCCAGCCCCTGCAATTCCAAACAAAGTAAAAGCCTTGCTGCCACAACTGAGCTGGAAATCCTAGCTTCTCAATTCACAGCGGCTGCAGTCCACAGCGCTGATCCAGCTCCTCGTCCCAGCTCGAGATCTTCAGAGTCGTCTAGCACAATGTCAATGTCGCCTCACACAAAGCGAAGTCAACTTCTGTGCTTGCACAAGACCGCTCTTGACACATGCAGCTCCTCTCCTCACTCCAGGGGAAAAAGTGCAGATTTTCCAAGGATCAAGATCATGATCAGTTCGAATTGGCTGCTTGCAGGCCGCCTCAGGGTCGCCATAGATGATAGAGTAGACGATGACATGGAGACAGGTGCGCAGGCCCAAGTCTGCTGCAGCATGCATGGGCGATGAGTCTGCTGCAGCTGAATGCACAAGAAACGTGCCACTTCAGGTGGACTTACCAGGCGGTGGGGCATACACGCCAGCCCAATGCTGGGGAAGTGGTCCAGCAGACGTGATGAGAAGCATGGACACAGAAGCTACGGGCATTGCGGATAAAAATGATGAGATGTCAAAGCCAGCTATTGAGAAAGTGGACCAGCGGCCTGCAAAGCGGCCACGTTTGACGGACACTCAAAGCAACAACACAGACACAGCAGCTCGCAGCAGTTCTCAAGGAACATCTCCTGGTCCAAGCATACCTCTGCTCACTGAGGTGAGAATGTTGTGGTGATCTTCACTACACAGGCCAATGATCTCCATCAAACTGACCGAGGTTGCTTCAAAACTCCGTGACCTGACACTGAGATTCTGGCTCTGCGCTGTTTCTGACAGTCTTCATGAAAATGTACATCAAAAAGTTTTGGCTGCCTCAAGTCGATGTCTCAATCTGCAAACATTGGGGGGTGCAGTAAAGTAATGGTACCAAAAGCTGGTTGTTTATAAGCGAGCACGTTGTCTTCTTTGTGAGGTTCCCCCTCTCATCTCTCTTGACTGAAGTATGTGCTGCTGATTGATAGAGGTATGGTATGATAAGTTAAATGCACCGCTCCAGTCTGGACTTCCTGCAATGTCAGACACTGAAAGGTTTGTGGAGACTAAAGTCCAGAGTTTTCACCCCCTGCAGATATGCATTCACCAGATTGCCTTGCTCGCGGGCTCGGCGCCTTCACTCTTTCACTGTTCATCGCGGCAGGTTTGGGAGCTTCCAAGTGATCTTGCTCAGAAGTTGTTCCAGGTCAGTGCACAGCCCCTTCACAAATCACGCCCAGCTTTAGTGATTGCTTTACTTAAATAAGTTTGAATCATCAGATACATAAGCCTGCTCTTAAGAAACATAATAGACCTACCTTCTATGTTGACATTCATGTCTTCAATGAAAGGAGAAGATCTCACTTCACCTGGTTGTAAAAGGACGGAGCAGTGGGGGAAGACCTGCAAACTTTTGAGGGCAAGCCACCATCCCTCTTTCTGAAGCGGTATGTTAGCTACAGGAAATGATCGGACAAGAAGGCTGTAATGTTAAGGCAAAGTCTCACTCTGGACTGACTTTCCCTCACTCATTCACAGCAATCCCTGCCACAAGTACGCGGCTTGGAGACGTTCTCGAATCTACTGCACCCTGATCTGGACACCTTGAACCTTGAGGACAGCAACAGGCAGGTACTCTGGCGCAGCAAAAGAATGTTTCTCTAGCTGATCCAGAAAATGAAAGATCTGTTTGAATCTCTCATTGACCCTTGTTAGGATTGTTGTGCTGGAAATGCCAAGGAATACCTGTCTCGCCCAAATGATTCTTCCCAAATGACCTAGCATGCTGAAAAGCTACGCGTTGATGTGAGCTTTGCTTTCACGCTGACTGCCTGACTGTTGCTTCTACGAGAGTTCATGCTAACTGCCTGTCTGTTGTTTACTTTGTAGGCTGTTGCCGATTCAGGACGCTCTTGTCTGCTCCTCTATTCGGTGTCCACAGATACAGGTAGGGATCAGTGCTAGCCGGTACCAGTTCTGCGCTGTCAAAATCAGCCTTTGCACTCTCATAGATCTGTAATTTGGTCCCTGACGATAGTGCTTGGGTTAAAGAGGTCATCGACTCTCGTTGAAGGAGCGATCCCGATAAGATGAAGCAAGAGGCCCAGGAAGCCCTTACTCAACTTAACTTGAGCCCATCCTTAGATAGACTCTCCTTGTTTCTCCCTTGCAGCGGCTCTTTCTCCCCTCAAGGACCAGCGATCTGGACATTGTTCCTGCGTTGGTAAGGTGGTTCGAATATGAAAATCCGCGTTCATTTTAGGGATTTTAGGGAAGCCTGATCCACACCCCTCTCGAATATGACCATGAATTTGTTGGGTTTTCAAAACTGCTTCTTATCTGTGCCTCGTCAGAGAAAGAGTGCCACCAACCTTGTTGAAACAAACTTCTGCAAGGTACGTGGCTTTGTCTTCGTTCCAAGAGATATGTTGAGATTCCGCTTTGATGTAGGCAGGGCACGAAAAGGTGTGAGTTAGATGACTGAGACGTCTCGTACTCACTTGCGCAACTGGCACCCTCATATGAACACGATTAGGAAAACAGTTTTCACGAGAATTTTGAAGCAGCGGTACTAGAGGAGAGAGATCAAATATTTCTGGAAGAGATTTGTTAAGTGCTTATAGGCGTCTTTTTTTTTCCAGGTCCGCTTGGGCGGCCCCCCTTTCGTGCAGCGCCCTCGAAGGGTTTGTGAAAGGTGCAGGTGATTCTCGCACGATGCCTCGAGCTCGTAGCCGCAGTACAAGTTTTTAGAATCTTTCTCGGCTGTCGAAGTTACCGTTTTCGCGTGTGACCAAACGATGCCTTACAATTGCGAATGGAATGGAAATGATCCAGGGCTACGGAGAGTGTTGTGCTGTGGAAGTCCCGTGATGGAAGTCGAAAGAAGGAAGCAAAACCTTGTGGAGATGCATTTCTCTAAGCGCCTCAGGTTGGGCTTGTAAAAGATTGGTAATGCTCAAGGGCGACAGGATTCCACCAAGGAAGGACGAGTCGTTGTGATGTTCCTTCATATGTTGTGGTCCAGGCTTGAGATAAAGAGATATCCGTAGGCTTCTACTTCCAGCAAGCTTGCTCCGTCCCCGAATTTCGAGTGATCTTCGGAATGTTCGACGTCACCAGTTCACATCGCGCGCTCTGGCACGTGTGACTCGCTCAACAACGACTTTCTGGTCGCCGCAAAAGCACCTGACCCGTTCTCGGCTGCCCTGTTACAGGTGGGCTCCATACGCTATCCCTCGCAGGTTGTTCCCGCTTGCTTACCCGGGACCTCCGTTTTCAAAAAGCGACGGCTTTCTTACGAGCACTTGACCTCGGCAACTGCACGGTGCGTGAGCTCATCCGCCTTCTCATTCATCCAAGATCACGAGTTCTCGAAAGAAATTTCTCAGGACGGATTTTTTGCAGGTCCTGAATCCAGTTTAGCGCTCAATCAAGGCTGCGGTTCCAGTATATCAGGTTGGCACTACTTCTATGTCGTTTGGCTGGCTTTCTTGAAGCCTCTGGAATGCTCCTCTCCTCGGTATGACGACCAAAATTTCTCGCCATACACTGGTTCTCAAGGGTCAGAAGAATGCGTCCCGGGAAAGCACGACGTGTTGGTGGACTTGATGCGATTGATCTCCGGTTTTGAAATTTCGGACAGACGGACCGATACAGCTGACTCGAGCTGTCTTTTCCTGGCAGGCTTTGGACAAGTCTCTGTTCGACTTCTTGCCTCCCAGTCTCCAAAGGCTGCTTCTGCGGAATTGCTGGCGACTCTTCCAAGGGAGCCTGCAGACGCTCATTCGAAATTGTCCCCTTCTGGAAGAGGTACTTTCGATTCCCACCCATTTCTCCTTTATGGCATACATCGTTCCTGTTTGCAGCCTGCTTTTGTCATCCTCGCGCTCACGAGAAGCTGCTGGTTCGCTATTGATTTGTGAACCTTCAGCCTTCTCATTGCATTTTCGATTGTAATGTTGAGCGCTAAGTGATTTACCCTGTAGCTAGCACCAGGAAGCTTCGCGTACCAAATCTTCTCGGACATACGTGGTTATCCCGTTTGCCCTTCGGCTATATTATTGCCGCATGAAGGAACATTGAGCTTTACCACGAAGATTTGGAGAAGTCGTAGGCAGGTTTGTGATGCTCGAAGGACAGGACACCAATCAGAAACTCTCAGGAGCCCAGTTTGTCGGTCGATCAGAACCGACAAAACCGACGATCTAGTCAATGGTCTCTAAAGCTGTGTCTTAGGGATGCAGAACTCACGCCGTTCATGATCTCCTCTGTTTGCAGTTGGACCTCTCCTTCGATGGTCTAATCGCCGCAGGTCTTGGACCCTTTGCAGCAGTGGCACTAGCAGACTTGAAGCATTTGAGAGTGTTGGATTTGAGCGATCAGGTGCGCATGCTGAAATGCATCCGAACTTTATGCTTTGTTTACCACGAGCGCCTTAAGCTACTAAGCTCTCCTTCTGCTTTGACAGTGAGCAGAATATTCGTAAGTAATGCTCTATGAGCTAATCGCAGAACCCTCTCAACGCTTTCGATGTGTACTAGGCCAACTTATTGGAATCCACCAGCGAGAAGGAAGGCGGCACTTTGAAAGGAGACTCGCGCTCTGAGATTCGTCTCGCGGCTCTGGGACTGACCTGACGTCTCTTTGTTGCAGGGAAACGTAGGCAGTGTTGCTCTGGACAAGCTCCGTAGAGCAAACCCGAGCCTGCAGCTTGTAAATAGGGCACCCACGAGCATGCTCGTAAAGTCTCATCAAAGCCGGGACGAAAGTGTTGTTGAAGCAGGTAGTCCGGGGATAAAAAAATCAGAACAGCTGACAACGGTGCAATAAAGCTTCGCGAATGCAATGCTGTTGCATTCGAAGATCGCGGTATCAAACGAGGTCAAAGCTAACCCGGCGGAGCAGGACGTTGAAAACACAAAAGCCCCTCAGTGCATTAAGACATGACTGAGTAGCGGTCGAAAGGTTGGTCACATGCACGTCATCAAGTGAGTACTAGATTCCATGTTCATAATCCATTGAACGGTCCTGGCATGCCGGAGATGATCCGACGGCCTCAGATTCTTTTGCGTACCACAAGTAGACGTCAATTTAAGTCTCCGCCCCAATCTTTGCATGACTCGGAGATGTATGACATTGACAACATATGATCGATATGCATGGTAGTGCATTGAAGTGGCCGGCACGCGCGCGTCATGGTGCTTTGAACATGCGATTGCGCGGGCGCCTATATACCACGTTTTGCACCTGCATGTTTTTAAATCAGGATCGATTGCGTTGCTCAGATGATGCTGCATGCAAAACATACCGTACCTGCCTGCTTAGCATTAGGGTCTGCGTACGTATCATATTGCACTCAATTGAACCGTGGTTTGTTCTTGCACATGAAAAAGAAAGGGTCTGACATGACCTGTTGAATCTTGATTGTGGACGTACAGCCTGGTACCTTTGGGCATGAGTACTAAGCGCCAGGCTGAATCTTTAACCGGCAATTAAAGCATCTCCTAGTGGCATGGGCACCATGCTGGCAATTTTGCGACGTTGCAGTCACAAAATCCGCTGAACTTGCAGTTTCGACCTACTCAAACCTGATCGTTGTACAGGCTCCAAGTCTCCGAACAATGGTTATATAACGGTTTGTGGCAGTGGCGGCTTCTCTTGGTGCAAGTAACTCTTCAACCGCAGCTGACTCGAAAAACTTGCCAGTCACGTTTCTGGTGATCCAACACGGGCCCACCTTAGATCCCCACTGTCCTACAGGACAACCACTACATACATATACCTACACCGACTTGTTCGAATCAGATTGTCGCGGCTTGCCATAAACTTCTTACTCCTAATGCCAACATGGTCGATTCAGAAATTACTATCTTGCTAGCTCTTCCGACCCCAGACTTGGCAGCAAAGAACAGTGCATGAGGTTAGTACCCCTTCAGTTCGGTCATGTTCGTACATCCCCTATTCTGATGCTGTGGGCTCCGTCAGTGACGTTTTACATGAAGCGATAGTGAGCACTAAGGGTCAACGACAGCTTGTATAGAGCCGGGCAGCATCCACCGAGCGATGTAAAAGTAGATAATCAGACCCGAAGAATCTACCACAGTCGTCATGAGCGGGGCGCTTGTGACAGCAGGATTGTACCTATGAAGAGAAGTCGATCGATCAGAGCGGCAAATTCCGTGCAGGGGGAACAATCTTCTGGCCACAGGAGCTCGCTAGCCAACAACGGCAAACTAAGACATCAAAAAGCGTGCCTTTCCAAACCCGCACTGGCAGCAGCAGCTCAATTCTGCTTTTTCAAGGACTCGTGCAACCTAGACATTATACAGCACGGGAGCTTGTCAAGGGAATAATGTTGTATTCCAGCCGCTCTGCATTAATGCCTCAGGGTCAGCAGACTTGGGGGCCAGCAGAGGGACAGGTGTGACGCCACCTGCGGCGTTCTAGCGGCCTGGCGGCCAATATTACCACCTTAGAGGATTAAGGAGAGATAGAGTTTTGCGAAAAGTTCTTACCCGAACTTGACCGCAAGCAGAGGAAAGAGCCCGCCCAGAGCGTTGGCCCAAAGAGAGACGACAGGAAGCGAGATGGCGACCGTCAAACCGACCTGCAAAGAGTGACGGTCAGATTCGAATCAAGGCACGGATTGTCGGTTGGAATTCAAATTCCGTAAGCCTTGCCCCGGCCGGACGCAGCAACACGTATCGCCTTTCCTGAGCAACTGTGAAGACTGGAGGTAACCAGTTCGGACAATGCCCGTTCGCCGACACTCATACGAACTGAGCGCCAATGGTGCAAGTGGATGCGGATCCTCTACAAGAGCCCAACGGACGTTGCTCTTGTTGGCTAGGGATATGCCAGCACGAATCGTTACAACGCCAATAATGGTCCAGGGAAAGCTCAATATGTGAGGAAGAGGGCCTCGAAATTCGTGCCGGGAGACGACAAGAGCAGTTCATGGTGCTGAAAGGCTGTGTCAGATGTCTTTCCGACGCTGTCAAGAAAAGTTTCTCGCCCAGGCAGAACCAGAAAGCAGCACACGTGCAAAACAGTCAGCAACCTGCGCATGGAAAAGCGTCATCACATGTGTCTAATATGAGTGAGCCGGCGTCTCACCATGACAGAGAGCCCGGACCACATGAACGACACCATAAAGATGACCACCCCCAGCAGCATCCCGATCATGCACCCAGTGATGGCCTCTTTTCGCAGCACGTACGGCAAATCAACGGGGGACACGTGGCCTGCAGGCAAGGATACAAGAATAAGTACGCGGAACGGCTGTACGAACGAAGTCTTTGCCCTGTCCGCACGCTGCATACCGCTTTTGCTACGGCTCTGCAGAGTGCACGTCTTCGGTTGTAATTTGTGGAAACGCATGGACTTTCTTCGCACGCAGGGGTAGAGCAGTGGAGATTATGTGGATAGAAGACGGGACTTCGTGAAGGCACTACCTAATACCTGAGCGTCCTTGTCAGCAGGTGCCAGATACTGGTTTGCGCCAATGAAGGCCGTCTTCAAACTGCTGTTCTTCCCTCTGAGGAATAGGTTTCGATTTTACACCGGCCGCTAGGACTGTGCTCTCTTTTAGGCCACTAACCAGAATAGAATCCCGGGCTCCCTGGTGTTTGGACTTTCAGGACATCAGAAGGGCGTCATGCCATGAAAGCTCACAACGTAAAACCTTCAAAACCTGTGCACGGCATTCCTTTCAATAAGAGAACAAATGAGCATTACGAATGCGAACTGAAAGCTTGCATGATGAGAAAGGGAAACTGACCCATTGCCATTGCTCGAATAACACTGGCCACAGCCTGTGACCCAGTGTTGCCGCCTGCATGGAAAGTGGACTGTTTAAACGCACTTATCAGTGAGGGGAAACCATGCCGTCGGGTGATGGGTGCATAAGGGGGGAGCAAGGGAGAAAAAGTTTGGCCATAGCGGATGGTAGAAGCATTTGTGACCACAAAGCAATCAGCAGATGGGGGTCTGTGAGAGAAGTAGCATGGCAGGACACTGGAGCAAAGAGGGAACTGGGACAGCGTCGGAGGCAAGGAAAAGGCAGAACCAAGCAGATAAACGCAACTCCATTTAAGACTAGGAAAGCGCGATCGCAGAAAAGCCAAAAGCGCTGACTCTGACCGTTGGCCGGAGTGGTTGCTTCTCACAAGATTTTGCTAAGATCTGTAAAGCGACCTGAGCGTTGCAACCAAGTACTTAGGCGCAACATGAATCAGTAGATCACGAAAAGGGCTGAAAAGAGCGACTGAGACGCTTGCGCTCAGATGGTGGGCTCACCATGACCAATGAGGAGGGGCACCTGAACATAAAGAAGGGCTCTGATCAGGTCACCGTAGACAGACCTAATGCTGGGGTAGGCAGCAGCAGTGCAAAGCCATTTGGTTGCTGTATATTGCGCAAGCCATGTTCAGAGCAGCACACCTCCGTATACTTGACACGGCCAGCGGTCTAGACTTACGAAGTAGCTGAGCTCCACTTCCCGCCGCAGGATGTCGTGAAACTCCTCGATTACAAACGCGGCAACCACGAGGCCCAGGAAGAAGAACACAAGCCAGCCCCCCCGACTCCGTATCTGGATTGAAAAAGCAGCTCGTTTCTGATCACGGTGATGCCAGCTGAAACTGTACGTTTCTGTTGGAATGCTCGGAAGGCCAGACCGTGCTACACATGCAGACTGCCACAGATGCTTGTGGCAGTCCGAAACCAATGTTCAAGGATCCAAGAGCCAGGTGCCGCATTCTCTGCCCACTTAATCGCTTTGCTGATAGATGCTGACTAGACTTCAGGGTCAGCCCCACCACCTAGAAAGATACTAGAAGGTATGAAATGCAAAGCTGGAATGCACAGAGGCTCAATGGCGAGAATGAACCACAAAATCACAGCTCTCTAAGCACCTACCAAAACAACAAAGATGCATTTGTAGGTATCATGTTACTCTAGACTCCTTCCTGGTCAGGTCAAATCGAGCTCTGACTCAACATGGCCAGCGCAGCGGTTTGCAAATCAAGGCAATGCTGAGAATGGATGACTCAGTCTCGATTTCGAGGTCTGTTTCTAACAGTTTCAGCTTAGTCCACAACGTCCCTCCACATTTAATGTCTTGACTTGTTTGCAACAATCTGAAGTGGAGTTAGAAAGGGTTCATGCTCTCAGGATAATTATAACATGGATCTGCAAGCGAGCTAATTGTCGTGCGGCTTACCGCATCGAGGACACTTTCTTTTCTATAGTTGAAGTTTTCTGTTTCCTCAAAGTCGTCTTCCTTCTCAAGATCTTGCAGACCCAACCCCATACCGAGGCGAGCAACTTATAACAACCAGACTGACAGGTTGTGCTCAGAGCACCTCTCAGGTGGAGTCTAGGGTCTAAGAAATCCTGGATTCAGATCTAATTTGACCCAGACCTGGGGATCCTCAATGTAATGCCCTCCTTTTGAGCAATATCTTGCAAGAACAGAGTTTGCGAGGAACGAAGTTTTGCTTTTGGCTGTCTAAGAACGCGTCAAGTGCATAATGGATATCGGTCTCCCAATGGCAATACGCCCTCTTTCCGAATGCTTTTCATCAATCTTTTGGGCAAGGTGATGCAAGGAAGGCCTTGGCGCTTTTAGGTGCACCAATGGCAAAGCGCAAAGCATTGCGAGCTTGATATCGCGAAGAAAGCTTCTGTTGAGGATTTGACTGCACAAAGATGAAACTTGCAGACAAGGAATGTGCAATTAGGGGTGCGAAAGGCTTGGTCGCGGCCTTGTCAAATCTGATTGCACAAACAGCGGCGTCGAACACGGACGCGAACTTACTTAAACATAGGTGTCGACCGACGTCGACGTTCGAACGTGGGTCAAAACCCCGTTAAAGCCCTCAGCTTGAACCAGCTCGGAAGCGGCGGCCGCGGCGCACTTTCAATCGAGCGCGCGTCACATGTACGTCATATTTATGCTCGTCATTGCTCCGCCTGCCAACTTCCAAGGCTTTGTTGTTTAATTGCATCAGTTTCATCAAGGAAGGTCACATCGTGGAAGAAAGCATGTGCATCATGCCGCTAGCGACCCTCAGGGCAGCACTTTCGATAGATGGAGTGTGGTGTCAACAAAGCCGTTTGCACGACAGAAGTGCCTCACTGAGGCCAGTTGTCACACCTATGATATGGCCCCACCAAAATTGTCTGGCACATGTGATCAATTCAGGAGAATGACGCCCTCCAAGTCTGGGCAAAGCAATTGCCCAGGTATTTTCAAAGAAGTGGGGAGCAGCAACATAACGTGAGAGAAGTGAAAGGCAAAATGATGAAGGCCGCAGTGATGTATGAGCCGGGCGGACCCGAAGTCTTGAAAATTGAGAGCCGCCCAATTCCAAAGCCACGAGAAGGAGAGGTCCTGATCATTGTCAAGGCATTCGGGCTCAATCGATCGGAGCTGTTCACGCGGTTGGTGAGTAGAATGGACGCTGATTTGGGAAAATTGAACTAAACAATGCCGTGGCGGTTCCTCTTTCTTCATTTTGAGCAGCCCCGTAAACGGAATGTTCCTCTGCTGATGTTTTGAAATCTGTCTGATTCTCAAGGCCTTTCACTGCCCAAAGGAGGTTTTCTGAGCACTGCCACACAGGTAACCGCCGCTGAGAGCTGAAGACTGCTCTAGATCCAAACGCACTTTGAATAGGCGCTCCTCCTTTTCTCTTGGGAGTGGCTTCCATCTCGTCTTCCTCAATTATGTTGACTTTCTGGAAGTGTTATTATGGTCCTCCTTGTTAGCTAATCATGCAAAAGCTCTCGGTGTCCAAGTAGACGATCCTGAACGGGGCAGCAAACATGCTCGTTCGTCAACTTCTTTCCACTGTCGCTTGTTGTTGCCTTTCATCGCTTTTTCTTAGAACACTTGCGGCACTCCAGGACAGCTGCAGATTCATACTAAAAGTTCCTGATGGGAGGGTTCTCTGCTCCACATCAGCACTTCTTGACCAATCTATTTCGTCCCCTCAGGGTCACTCACCTGGCGTAACCTTCCCCCGCATTCTCGGCATTGAGGCTGTTGGGATTGTTGAAGAAGCTCCGGGCAAAGAGTTTGCAAGGGGCGCAATTGTGGCCACAGCCATGGGGGGCATGGGGCGCCAATTTGACGGGGGATACGCAGAGTATACCTGCGTCCCTACCAACCAAGTGCAGGTATAGTGCTGTCTCACTCTCAAAAAGTACTTTGGAGCTGCTCATAGTCGATTGTTGTACAGCGGATGCAGTCGCAATAGCAAACCTCGGTTCTGCACGAAAGCAACGTGCAACTCGTGAGATGTTCCTAATTCTTGGGCTGTAGCAGCTTTCAACATGTGGACGTTCTGCTGGGAGATCAAGAGTCCTCTCCCTTGTACCTCAGGCGGACTGCTTGAGATGCAGCATCTCCCCTGGCTTTGACTCTGAAAGTGCTTAAGTAATCGAGGATTCAAAAACATCTTTCTTGACATGTTGTTCCCCTTCAGGGGAAAGGGACTACCGGCTGCTTTGAAGATGTCAAAATCACTGATCTTTTTCTTTTCTCTCTACTATAATATCCCAGGAAAATGGGGTGCTTTTGGGGCGACAAATGCCACAGAAACTACAGGCTTTCTTATGGGCTCCTCTCAACAGCCAGAAACGGCTAGCTATACTTTCTGCCACTTTCGTTACAGATGATCAAGACTCAACTGCCTTGGGAGATCCTAGGCGCTCTTCCCGAAATGGTGCAAACCGCATGGGGCTCTCTGTTCAAGGCTCTCCACTCATTAAGGGCGATCGCCTTCTAATCCGAGGGGGCACGAGTTCAGTAGGGATGACTGCTGCTGCAATTGCTAAGAGCAAAGGCGCATTTGTGGCATCGACGAGCCGTAATTCCGATCGTGTTGACTTGCTAAAAAAGTCTGGCGCGGATCAGGTGATTATCGACTCAGGTGCAATCGCGGAGAAAGTGAAGGAGGATGGACTTTTTGACAAGGTGAGGAACGGCGTGGATAAGGAAGGAACAAACACTCCTGGCAACGTGCTTCGTTTGTGCCTATTCTGCTCACTCCTTGGAATCGTGTGCCTGAAGTCCACACTCTAGACTCCTGTCTGTTTTGCTAAGTACGTCCGCCTCTTCCGTTAATGTATTGGTAGGTTGCAAGAACCATGGTGCTTGCAGGACGTAGAGGTCTGTGACCTCGCTCTTTCCCTGTTCCAGGCTGCTCGAATTTGCACCTTCAAGAAACTCTGTACATAAGATAGTACAGGATCTCCGAAAAGAAGGCAACGAGTGTGAGCCTTTGCTCACTCCAAAGAAGTGGACTGCGCGGTCGACAAGCTGAAGAGGGATCGAACCAAGTACTCGGATGGAGTCTCTAGTATCTCCGGTAAGAGGTGCATCGAACTCGTGTCTTCATTCCGCCAGGTACTTGAGTTGGTCGGCACCACGACCCTGAAGGACTCCCTCAAGTGCGTCAAACAGCACGGCATCGTGTGCATGACTGGGATTGTGGGAAACAAGTGGACCTTAGACAACTTTGCTCCTATGGAAGCTATCCCTACTGCGTCCTACCTCACAGCATATGCTGGCGAGGCCGATGACTTCATGCTGACGCCGCTTGCTGAGCTGGCAGAGCAGATTGCGTCTGGCAAGCTGCATGTTCAGATCGGCAAGACGTTCAAGCTTGAGGAGATTGTGGAGGCGCACCGGTGCATGGAAGAGAGCAGAGCGGGTGGGAAGATCGTTGTACTCACTTAGCCAGCGGGCTAAGTAGGTGAATCTGTTTACTATACATGAACAATCGGTCAAGAAGCGCCAATTGTCAAGTATTGGTCGAGACAAAGAAAGGGCTTGTTGCGAATAGCTGCACCGCCCTGGTGGACATTAGAGGATGAAAAAACCTGCGTTGTCCCCCTCAGACGGCGGAATATAGAATTGACCGTCTATTCCACACGGCATGGCACATGCATATCACATGTCGGATATTCCATATGGCCAGTCATTTAGTAGTGAATGAAACCAGATATTGTGGATACAGGAGTTGTACATTCCTTGTTTAATACAAGCAGTTTAGTGGCCGCTCAATTATCCAGAGACGCCATTGACAATGCTGGCATTCACTGCCCAATCGGATCCGACCGACAGGATGCCCGGCCATGTCATGAATTGTCCTGGGAATGGTGCATTGCATCTAGAAAGGCGCGCCGCAAGTTGGTGCAATATGCTTTCCCGGAACTTGGCTAGGTGGCATGCGCGCGTCGTTGCACGGCCCCTGGCTGTCTAGCGCCCCCTTCTCGCATTCTTCCCGTTCCCGCCGCGGGCGCCTCCCGCGCTCCCTCTCCTCTTCGTTCTCGTCACCCTCCGCAGAAGCAGACGCAATAAACCATCAAGTTTCAGCACAAACAGCGATGCACGTCACGAAAGGCCAGGCGTGAAAAGCTGTCGCCGTCGGACGTGGGGCCAAAACCCTCAGCTTGAACCAGTCAGCTGAATCCCTGTCCGATTGGCAGCGGCGGCCGGCGGCCGGCCCCGCCCGCAAAAAGCGGCCGGCGCCTGCATGACGCATCCGGAGCGCGGGCCACACGGCCGCCGCTACGCATCATGGCCTGTCCAGAGGTTTTGTGACCAAGGGGATGACAATAGTCTTGCCTGAGTCCGATCCAGGATACTGGTCAGGCGCTTGTTTCAGGCGGCCCAGAAGTAGAACGTCAAACGACATGGAAAGTCTACCAAGGGAATGCCAGGAGCACATCCTGGCCGGGCTTGCGGATGTTGAGGGGCCTCAGGATGACCGCTCTGGTGAACAAGTGGTTGTATACTTTGTCAAGGGAGGCGCTCAGAACAGTCAGGCTTGATACCCAGCAGGGCATGCGTCGGCTCTCTTCAGCGTGGCCAAAGTCGACGGGCGTGACTGTTTCCTTGGAGTTCTACTATCCGACGTCTTCTCACCCAGAAGCGGAGGACAGCGCGCTGCAGCGGGTGACGTTCTGGAATGAGATAGCGCATGCTTTTCCAAAGCTGTTATACATTGACCTTTCCGGATTTGGAGACAAAAGAGCAGTAGAGGAAGCAGAGGCTGCCATCCCTTTAATCCCCAATCTAAAAGGTCTGCGGCTTCCACTGGCACCACACTTTGGAGGATGCAGAGGGCTCCTACATTCCCTCGCCGATCATTGCCCGTTGCTCGAGGAACTGGAGATGGTCCTACTTGACCATGAATGGAGAAACTTCAGGCTGTATCTTTCCACAACGCTGGAGGCTCCGTTCGTCAATCTTGCACAAAGGTGCCCTCGCATCCATACTATCTCTCCCCTAACTTTTTTTGCTTGGTCTAACGAGAGCCCCCTTTTGGAGAAAATGTTGCACTACCTGCCTCAACTTCGATCCATCGACATACCCCGCCAGATTATCCTTACGGCCGTAAAACAGCCGGCTTCAGAGCTCCTGAACTGTCTTCGCAAATCTGCAGCTATGGTCCTCAATTCAAGCATCTCAACTTGAGATATTTGTACAAGCGGGATAGAGGGATACGAATTCTACCGGTCTTGTTCTGAGCTAGAGTCCCTTGAGCTTCCCGAAGCTGGCATCAAAGAAGCCAACTTTGTGCTCACCCTCGAAACTTTCGAGAAGCTCACACACCTCTCAGTCCCTTTCCTGGCAATGGATAGGCAGCCGCCAGCAGCTGGTTTCAGAGTTCCGGTCAGCCTTGAAAACCTGCACATCGGCGGTTTGGGAACCGATCGTGTAGGTGGTATTGCAGATTGCTTCACCACGATAGCGGAAAATGTGCTCGCCCTCATCGTGCTCGAGGTTGACTCTCACCGCTTAGAGATAAGTATCTCTGATCTGCTGATTCCACCAAGACTGGAATGTCTCAAGATCAAGGGATTTGCGTTCTCAGGCCCGTTGGGATCTTTGCAGTGGAGCGTCCTGAAAAGCTTGGTGTTGGAAAGGACGTCCTTCGAAGGGAGGCTGCAGGACTTGTTTCTCCCAGCAATTGAGACCGTGGAGTTCAAAGAACACGTGAGATTCCTCTCGTCAGAGACAACACGTTCGAAGCCGTTGCCGAGACCTGGCCAAACTTGCGCAGCCTTGATCTCTCAGGACTACAAAGGTTCAGAGTGAGGGAATTTGACCTGATGGAATCGAGTCGCGTCCGGACTACCTTGCAACAGTTGGTTGTCAGAGCTGCAAATGGTCCAGAGCTCAAATGTATCTCCCAGCTTCGTGGTCTCCGCAAGCTTAGCCTGTGCCTTAGTGACCAACCAATCGGAGCTCTGGAAGAGGGTTTCGAGCTAATTCTCACCCTGACAAAGATTGGCAGCCTGCGGTCGCTTCTTCTTGGCGTGTCCAGATTTCCTCGTTCTGCAGAGTTTCTCGAGGGCTTGCGTAGCATCCTTGCACAGGCGCCCAGTCACTTACAGCGAGAAATGGACACATGGAGGTCTGTAGAAGAGGCGAGCTCAAGAAGCATCCAGATACAAGATCAGCTTTCTTTCTGCATTCATCTTGGTTATCCTTTGAACGTAGTGCAACTTGGATAGGACTGTTATCTGCAGCCTGGCAGCGAGGGACTGCAGATTGGGAGAGCAAAGGACCAGAAACGATCAGAACTTAAAACTGTGATTTCGCAACGTCGTGCGAGCTACATCAGCAAACGTCGACTTCTGAGACTGTTTAAACTGAGCAATTCAAGACGGCTTAATTCTTTGTTTCTTTCTGTCTTTCAATCTGTCGAAGGTTGCAGGGACTGATGTGGCACATCGCTTCCGTCGGAAGTTTAGCGTGTAGAGAACGGGGACCTACAATCCATGCAATCTTCTATGGTTTCGGCACCTGTTGAAATGCCAGGAGAGTATATCGGCTTCTTGATTGGGCTTCTTCTGATACGTGAACCGTATAGAATCAGCGTCAGGAGTGCCGAAAGGACTCGATTGCACTATTTCACTTAAGGATGGTGCTAGTGACCAAGCTTGACAAAGCTGACGTGCCATTCAACCTGAGTCTTTTTCAGAAGTTGTGTCTGGTCATGCACTTAGTATTCCTTATGATCCTAGTGGCTCGAGTCGCTGTAAATTGTGGCGCTATTCTGTTGACCGTATATTGAAGTGACCCATGTATCACGAGCCATAAGTAGTTCAAACTTTACCGTAAAATTGCCTAATGTCTATATCATGTGCATCGTATAAACGTTCCGTCTCAATCAGTCATGTATCGCCTGAGACTAATGAAGCCCGCGGCGGGGTCTGGCGTGCGTTCAATTCAATGATCTCAAAGCTAGCTCATCATGCATGGCATATGGCTATATGGTCAAGTGTAACACGTAGCCGCCATTCCATATCTGTCTCTGATGCAGATCTACAGTGCGTTCAATATGTCGAGTCCAGGCTTTTAGGGAATGCTCGTCTGAAAATACGAGCCAATGATGCACTTAAGTTGCATGCGCTAACCGTGACAAAATGGCCGCCCTTGATATCAAAGATGTAGTACGTTCCGTAGCAATGATGATGGGCAGCTAGATAAGTTCGAGCTGTCTATTCGGCCGGATCGCCCGACTGGACGATGTTATACGTGCACTGAGTGCCAGACATGAGGTGTGCGGTGCATGTGCAGCGCAAACATTGGTAAGGCCGCACTGCATGCAGGTGCATTGGGCCATTAGGCTCGCCCCTTACCCGTCGAGACCGCGCGTTCCATCAGATGCATGGCTTTTCGAGTATAAAATGAACTGCATCTTCGGTGGAAATGTATAGTTTAACTTAAGCATGAAGACCGTTCTTTGAATTTGTCAGGCGGCAGGGCCAGCACAGAGCTTAGTAACCTACAATGCTCAAGCGGCCGGCTGCATCCGACGATCATGCATAGCTGAACATGGTTAGGCGTGCCCGTTTTAGAATTGATCCGCCAGGGAAAATATTGAGGGAACGCTTGGCAAGCACAAATGAACGAAGCTAACAATCCCTGGTATTTGCATGATTGTATGCTTTCACCAACTTCGTGCCAAGGCACACGCTTCATACCTTGCATACAGCTGGCACCTCAAAAAGACCTCTCACGTCTTCATCTGTACGTTTAAATAGGGATTGCAGTAATCAGCGGGCAGTTTTAACAATCCCTCTCTACCATCAACCTTAACCCTGTCACAAACGCTTACATATCGTTTCGACCTCCTCCTTTGTTACTCAACGACCTGCTTAAGCCACCGACGCCTGCCAATGCCTGCTGAAACATGCGCTTCCTCGCCACATCCCCCGAGTCCTTCACTCCCGAATCCTGGATTACAACTCGCTGAGGTCGGGATGCTTCCGATCCCTGCAGAGCGCAAGAAGGGCGGCAACAGGCTACTCTCACAGCAGACATGTCGAGATGATTTGACGCGTTTGGAAGGATATGAGAAAGGACGAACGATCAATCATTGAAAATCAGGTATGTGCAGAATCCAAACAACTCTTGTCATACCCTCATCGTAATAAAAGCTTCAAGCAAGAAGAGCCTGGACGAAAGCAGATTCCTCGAAAGATCACAGATTCAAAAGCTTCTGCGTATCTCACCTCGGTCGTTCCGACGACCTTCCGCTTCGCTGTCCCGTTCTGCCCCCCTGTGCTCGTCAACTTCGCCGGCGCGCCTAGCCCTGTGATCCGGAACTTTGCTTCATTCCAATCCCTTCCCCCTTGGCTTCGGCCCTCCTCCGTTCCGTTCTCAAGCGCACGCTCCCTCTTCCGTTTCCGTTGCAAGCCGTCGTCCCTGGATTCTGTGCCAACTAGATATGGCAGCTCCTCTTCCGGACGGTCCACATCCATAAATCCGGTCACACGTTCCGCTGCTGCAGCGGAAACCACGGCTCTCGGCGGACTCCTGTCCTTAATCCGTCTCGAAAGCCTGTCCTTTACCGTCACGCTCTCGTCCCGTCTGGTGCTGCCACGTGGCGCCTCCTCCTCGATCGGATTCAATGGCCCAAACCTTTCTGCGCGGCGCTTCAGCTTGGCCTCAAAGTCGGACAGTGGCTCCTTGTCCGGACCCTCTCGCTGATCCTTCCGCGAGTCTCCACCAGAACCGTCCGTTTTTCCGCCCCGACCAGTCCGCGTTTCCAGACCGGGCTCGGGTTGTCTTCTTTCCCTGCTGACGTCACCTCTAGACACAGACCCGCCAACGTCATCGCCCTCTCTATTGCGGAAGCCGGCAGTGTCAACATCGCGGGTCCGCAAACCTCGCAACTCTTTGGACACCTCCCTCCCTACCGACTCCTCCCGGGCTCGGCTCTTGTTCCCTTCTTCGTGCTCTCTCCCCCGCCGGTCACTCCTCTCCTTGCGACCTTCTTCGCGATCAATTCGAGCCCCTTCCCTTTCTCGTGCCGCCTCGGCGTCTTCCACAACCGCATGCCCTTCCTCTCCCCCTCGGTGCTTCCTCCGCTTGCGCTCCCGTCTCCTCTCCTCCCTCTCCTCTTCCCCCTCCTCCTCGTTCCGGTGCCGGTGCTTCCGTCTCCGTTTCCGGTCCTTTCTTCCGTCACTCTTCTCTCCCGGAAAGCCCCCTTCGTTGACCTCCTCCGCCCCTCTTTCCGCTTCCACATCCATCCCTTCTCCAATCCCCCCACGGTCCTGTCGTGAAACATCCTTCCCCCCTTCCTCTCTGACCTCACCTCTTTGCACATTATCTTCCCCACCGTGCATCTGTCTCTGCAAAGTCTCATCTTCTCCATCTTGATGTCCTTCTCGCACCCCCACCTCCCGGGCTTCGTCTTCCTCCCGTTGTCCCCGGTGCCTCTTTTTCTCCCTCCGCTCCTCTTCTCCCCCCTCCTGAACCCCAGCTTCGACTTCCTCCCCCGGTCGCTCATCCTTCTCTTCCCTGTGCTGTCTGTGCCGCCTATGCCGATGCTTCCGCTCGCTTTCTTCGACCGCTTGTCCGTTCGCATCCTTCTCTAGTTCCTGCTCCTTCCATTCCTTCCGCTCTTTGTGCCGCCGCCGCCGCTCTTCCTTCCTCCGCCTCCGTTCCTCTCTTCCATCCTGTTCCGCCCCACCGTTTTCGCCAAACTCCTTATTTTCCAGCGAATTGTCATCCTCTCCAACCTCGTGTTCCCTCGCGCGTCTCCTTTCATCACCTCCAAGCCCTTCCTCTTCGTCCCTGACAGCCCTCTCGTCAGAGCGGCCGATAAGATTCCTTAATTTGGGCCTTTCCTCTTCCCGCTCCAATGCTAACCAGGGCTCTCGCGTTGTTTCCTCTGGAAACCCGTCCTTCCTAGTGGGACTCCCAAGCTCCGTCTCAGGTCCCCGATGATCCGCTTCTGGCTCACGGCCCTGGCTGTTGAGCGGCCCCCTCTCCCGTTCTTTCCGGTCCCGCCGTCGCCGCCGGCGCTCCTCCCTCTCCTCTTCGTTCTCGTCGCCCTCTGCAAAAGCAGAAGCAAAAACTATCTTTCAATTCTGCGGGTTGAAGTGGACATTCCCTACGCTTTTAAATCAACTGACGACGTGCAATCAGCCGACTGGCTGTCAACATCACAGAAGGAAGCACTCTGTTGACAAAATTTGAAGAAGAGTCGACAATTCGTCATGTCGTAGCAGAATCCGTCCTCGTTATGAGCTGACTTTCTGTATCTCGGCAAGCTCAAGCATTGTCCAACGGGAGCATTTTACTCAAGCGGATAACATAATGAAAGAGCAGGTATTTGCTTGTCACAATTTCAAGACCACATGTGGCAACCTGTCAAGAGACGAGTCGAGGCCTAACCTCCTTGAGCAAAGATGAACGCAGAGGTTTGTCCGACGGTTTCTTGTGTGGTTAGTGCATGAAATCTACTCGGGTTTGTGCCTGAACGACGACAGAGTTCCACTTCTGCCTGCCAGCACCCTCCAATTGTTATTGAAACCCTTCGGAATTTATGATCAAAACAAAATGAACAGAGGAGAAGCCTGCGCCAAAGACCGGAAAGTCTCTGGAGCACCAAGCCACACCAAGCCACAAAGCGTGCTCTTCGTTCAATCCGCAAACTGGCCTCCTCCGCACCCAGAACAAACATTTTCCGCGGCCCACCTCTTTCTTCCTTGTGCCTGTGCCGCCTCTCCTTCCGCCTCCTCCGCCGCTCTTCCCTGCTCTCCCCTCCTCCCTCCTCATCTCCTCCTGCCCCATCAGCCGCAGCCTCTTCGTTCCGCCCCTCTAGTTCTCCCCCAAGTTCCGTGCCGCGTTCTTCCGCTTTCTCACCCTCAATCTGCGCTCTCTCCGGCGCACCCATCTCCCCGGCCCGGAACCGCCGGTCCGCAACGACCAGATCATCTTCGTCCAGCTGCGATCCGTTGTCGCCGTATTCTGCCACCCCATCCTTTCCGTCCCGCTGTTCGGAACCTTCCCTGGGGTCTCTGCCGCCCCTCCCGCTGCGCTGACGACCATCGCGAGTTTCCATGACGTCACCATCGTCGTCGCCCTCTCTTATGACGTCATCCGCGACTTGTCTCTCCTTATCATCAGATACAACTTCCCGCCCACTGCCAACGCCACCTCCGTCCTTCGCAGCTGTCGAGCCCCTTCGCCTTGAGCGCTCAAACCGTCCGCCTAGCTCTTCCTCACTGTCAGCACCTGCAGCGTAGCGCCCGTTCCTATCGTCCATACGCCGCTCGCCACCCCTCTTGCGCTCTGGCGTCCTCTCGTCGCGCAAATGCTCCCTGCGCGCGTTTCGTGCAGCATCGTCTGCACTTGCATCGCGCCTGCGATCCGACCGCTCTCTTCTCGGCCCCCCTCTCCCTTCCCCAACTACTCCTTCTCGGCTTTCCTCTCTTTCTGCTCTCGCCCCCCGCTGGCGCGAGTCCCGTTCAGGCCGGTCATCTCGAACCTCATTATGATCACGAGCCCGGCCGTCTCGATAATCGCCGGTTTCCCTAACCGGCAGTCTATCTTCTTCCAAACCCCTCGACGCCCCCCGATGCCGATCCTCGCGCCACCTCTCTCCGTCCAAGCCCCTGGATACCCCTCTAGATCTGCCGTCCCGCCGCCCCCCCTCTTCCACGCCCCTCGAAGCCCCCCTGTACCTGTCTTCCCGGACTCTTTCCTCCTCGTCTTCTCGATATCGCCGGTCATGTAACCTTGGCCCCTCGAAACCCTCCCTCCGGCGCTCGTCTCTTGCAAACCGCTCCCGGTCTAGGCTTCTGTCCGGCTCTCTCTCGCCCCGCAGCCTTCTCTCCCGTTCTTGCCGGTCTCTTTCCTCGCGCGCCAGCCGCTCGTCCCGTTCCCGCCGCCGCGCAGCGTAAACCTCGTCTGGCAGGCGGCCGTCTCTGCCTCGGCCTCCCCTGCAGATACATGTGGGACACGAGGAACGTCAGGACAAATGGTGGCACGGGGAGCTTCACCAACAAGCACAGTGTTGGTGTCAGGAAGGAAACTTTGAGCTGCTTCTGAGGGAACAGCCCATAAAAATGGAAATACGCCGCTTCAATATTTCCTTCTGCGCCATCTCTGTCTCTGCGCAGGGAGAAAATGGTGTTAAGAGCAACCGAAGTGAGGAATTCGAGTCATGCGATTCAAAAAGCAGGCAAAGCAGAGATGGAATCGACTTGCAGTCTTTCTCCTCCTTAAGAGCTAGGTGCCGGAAGCTCTTGGTCATCAATTCAACATCCGGCAGGAAAGAATGGCCCAGTGCGCGGCTGCAGGCAAACCAGACCGCTCAAAACCAAGCAGGATAAATATGAGCAATACAAGCCCTTCCAAACACTACAAAAAAGCTGGCCCTCACCTTCCGCGAAACTCGCCTGGTCCCCTGCCCTCTCCAAACCACCCGGGGCCGCGGCCACCAAAACCAGCCCCCCCGCCCATCCCGTCTCGCCTCCCCTCAAACTGGTGCCTCATAAACTCGTCATACTCTGCCGCCCTTCGGGGGTCTAACGGCCGTCCGAACGGGTCCAACTCAATCGGACGCCCGAAATCGTCGTACACTACCCGGACAGCCGGCAAAGGCCGGCCAAACTCGTCGAAACGCACCGTCGCTGGCGGGTAGGGACCGGGCTTAGCTCTTGATCTTTCGACCGGGCGTCTCGACTTTCGTCGGGAGTCGTCGGACGAAGACTCTGAGCCAGAGTAAGATCCGGACTCCGATCCCGACTCCGACTCGGAAGATGACTCTTCCGAGCTGGTCTCCTCGGAGCTCGACTTCTCCTCCTTTCTGCGCGCTCTCGAAGCACCTGTTGCGGGCCCCCTGCCGGGCAGTGGTCGGGGAACAGGCCCCGGACGCGTCCCAGGGTAAGGCTGACCCCAGGGACCGTCTACCGGGCCAAAAGGAGGCCTCATACCGGGCTCAAAGGGCCCGGGGGGATAGAACTGGCCACCGTTGGGGCCATAAAACGGTCCGTCCGGTCCTGGGGGAAACCCCGGCCCTTGCATGCCCCAGTAAGGTCCGTCGAAGTAAGCTCCAGCCGGGCCATACGGCGGGAACGGAGGCCGAAAACCTGGCTCCTCGCCCCAGTAGGGGGGTCGCTCGGGCGCACCCACCGGCCCCCCTGGGACGAACGGGGGCCGCGTCGGACCTGGCCGGGGGAGAAACGGGCGCCCGTCACCTCGGCTCAGGGGGCGATCCCGGCTGGGCTCTCGGAGCCCCCTCTGTTCTCGAAGTCGATCTTGCCTGCCCCCCGGGCCTTCGCTCTTTTCCGGGGGGGTCGACAGACGGCTTCTGGAGGGAGATCGCGAGTGCTCCCTTGGTGCCAACTCCTTCCCGTCCGACCTTTCCTGCTTGACGATGGGTTCCGCCGCGCCCTCCCCTGCTTCCAGTTTCACCTCCCCCAGCTTCTCCTGTATATCCTCAGGTGCTTCTCCCCGCTTTCCTAGTGGCTCTTTCCCCTCTTCTACAGACCCTTTCCGGGTCTCTTCCGCTTCCTCTTTAACCACTAACTCAGCCTCCCTTTCACCAACTAACTCCTCCTTTATCCCGCTCGTGTTTCGCTCGGTTTGGTCGCCGCCGTTGCTAAGCTCCGCCTGACCCATTCTTTCACTACCATCTCCGATAGCTGTTTCTCCTGAACCACCCTCCAGAGCAAGAGCGGTCTCGGGAGCTGGCTCGACTGAACGGTGTTCCTCCCTATCTACAATAGCTGTTTTCGGCGCCGACGGGGGCGCCACGTCACTCTGAACTTGGATCTGTGCAAGACATGACGGTGTATCAGCCAATTGACGAAGGGACTGTCCTATGCCGCAAAGTTGGAGCTCGCAACGTAGAGACCGCCAGAATCAGCATTTGAATCCCTCCGGCAGAAATCCGCATTCGATTACGGGAAGAAACGCAGAACAAGGAACGATGTGCCCGACAGAGGTATCAAAGGAGTTCAAAAAGGCTAACTTCAAGTCACACCGACGTTGGGGTTTTTCTTCCTCAGAACCCTTCATTAAGCAACCTTTGCGGATGCTGTGCGAAGTCTCTTCGCTTCCAATATGGCAGCACCGCTATCCAATTCATGACAATCTCCTGGTTCTTGGAACGTGCAATCTCTTCTGAGCAACGTTTTGTGAGGGTTTTCAAATCACATCTCAGAACCAGACAGAATTGCAACATCTCCTCGTAACATCCGCCTAAGCAAAACCCTCTCACCAAGGCCTGAGATTGGACGGGCGGTAGCAACTCTTGTGCGAAGTGGAATCCAAACCTGACAAGGTCGATGCTCTGTGCAACAAGACCTGTGCCAACTCTGAATGTTACAGAAACGCGATCAAAGACTGGAAAGCTTACCTCAATGACTGCATCTGCATCTCTCGGTCTAAATCTTCGGAGATCAGCGGTTGGTCCGCCGCGATGGGCCTGGAAGGCATTGGGGCGACCCATCTGCAGGAGAACAAAGACCGATTGGCATCCAGGTTTTAAAGAGGACCATCCATTACTAGGCTTAACCCTTTCGGCCCTGCAAAGCGAGCGTTGCCACAGCGATCGACATCCTTGAAAGGCAAGCGGAGTAAACAGATTCTTCAACACAACAAAAGGGAACCATGAGGCACAACGAATGCACAACGAGGCTGAGCACACAGAAGACGGCAGAGCAGCCTAACCAGCCTCCACCAAGCAGCTCAGCGCCCATTCCAAAGATGTCGTCCATCACCAGAAAAACCACAACAAGAAAAAGAAGAACAATCCTTGCATCCTCACGAAACCTGAAACCAGAGGCCACTTCCTGCACTCTCGTTTGAGTACTCGAAGGTAGTCAAAATCCAAACGGCATCCTCAGCAACGGTGGCTGCCCGTCGTTTCCAAACCGAGAGCTTCTTGACGATCTTTAAAAGTCGTTCTCGCTGCTCGAGAACACGTCTCGTCAAAATTTTGACCGTCTCTTCTGCCTTTGATAAGGAACGGACCCTGTCTGTGACGATCTCAACAAGTGCCGTTTCCCATTTGCTTTCTCGGCCCGTCAAAAAGCTTTTGCATCCTCGTTTGATCCACTCTTGAAGATGCCCCGCGATCCTTCTCATGCTCAACCAAAGCAAAACGTTTACATCAGACCGTCCCGACAAGCATCTTCACCTGCTGCTGCTGTCCCCCGGTATCCAAATTGAGCAGGGACGCGAGCTCGGGCGGCAGGTCCGGGTCTGCTTCGGGGCCGTTCGCGGTGCGGCTCTCGTACACCCGGATCTTACTCTGCATCGTCTGCTCCAAGCGGGCCTGTGCCTGCATAACAAGAACGAGATGCCTGCTAAAAAAGAGACTGAGTGGACAACAAATATTCCCGGTGAAAAGAAAGAGTGGATGACGTAGTTCCTGTTGAGACGGGACTGAGTGGATACTCTACTTGATCAATTGAGAACGCAACTGAGAGGTTGGACTGACACTGACAGGAGTCCAAGCGACATGAGAAGCATGCAGTCTTGACAGAGTGTTCTCGAGGTGACGGGCTTGTGTCGCAGAGACTGGTTGAAGCACTTCTGCATCGTCTTTAACGCGGAGGTCAGAGGAGAAAGACGAGAGGATCGACTTGCGAAGCACTGCGGTACTCGCAGCAGCAGACTGCATTGGGTAGAACATTGCTTCGAGAAGTGCCAATGAGTGCGAACTGGCATAACTGAGCAGACCGAAAATTCGATGCTTTATTAAACTTTAGGCTCTTTGGCGGGCCGCTTCAGAGAAACCTGATCCAGTAGCCCTCATACCAGCCTTCTGAAAAGAGGGCGGTCTTACCAGTTGCTGGCAGTAGGCATGCCAGGTCTGTTCGTTGAGTTCGAAGTTGAAATAGTCCGACACGTCAGTGCCCGCAAACCGCCACGGCTTCATCTCCAGCTCCTCCAGGTTCAGATCAAACACGTGGCTGCAGGCAGAGCGATCATTTCTGTGAGCTTTCCACCAGACACCCTCGCCTGGGACTGCAGACAGCGGCGAAGGCCTGTTTGCAGTTTTCAAGTGCACATCAGCATGGATCCCCGACATGATAGATCATATCTGTGGTGGTGTCAGACAGGCAAGCTACCCGGAAGTGTGCACTGTTGCCTCCAGAAATGCAATGGTTTCCGTCCCTGAGATGCTACCAGCTCCGCTCTTGCTCTAGGCCAGCCTGCCAAGAGGCATGCCTTTCCTAAGCACGTGTATGGCTTCAAAAGTCAACGAGACGCAAGCACTCTTCTGTCGATTAACCTACTCCCTATTTTCTTGATCCGCTGATATCGCCAGAAGGAATGAACGGTTCCTCTTGAAGACACTTCAGAAGCCACTATGTCACTTTACTTGTTACCGGACAGGAATGGCAAACAGCAAGAAGAAAACTAGAGAGCAGCACCGTCTCAGGCTCCATTCAATACTTGTCCCATTTGTGCTGTCCTTCTGATTCAGACTACATTTACGGACTTCCTACCTTGCGTTTGGAAAGTACACATCATTCCCCCGCTGCTGCTGCCCCCACCGGCGGCCCCCCCTGCCGCCATACTGCATCCCATTTTGCATCTGAGAGACATCCTGAACTGGCCGCTCTTCCAGTGCCTGGTCAGCGGGTTTGGGTCCAGCCACACCAGAAGATGGTAGCGACTGCAAAATGAAGATCGAGAGATCGATACTCCAAGTCATAATGCGGGCTCTTTTCAAAACCAAGCGCTTGCTGTCTGGAGCAAGTTTCAAAACTTGTCATTTGGAACGGGTCATAATATGGTGCAACATGATGGGAAAAGGAGGAATAACTGGACAGAATGTTGCTTGCATTTCGTCGGACAATTCACAGATACAACTTTATGACGTGCAAACATACTGGCTGTACAATTCAATAGTGATGCAGGCGTGTCCATCCTGTCTCGATATCGAGCCAAGCAACTTGAAAGTTGACCTCTCAATGAAAATTAGGAAGTTCCTAGCAGACAAAATGATGACAAAGTTCGATAAGCAATGCTGATATTCAAATGCAAGGAGCATGGTCAAGATTGAGTTACTACTGAAGAAAGCACACGAGATCAGCACAAACTGACACAGCATGTTCCACCGAAAGCATCTGTTTCGGCTCACTTAAAAGAGCTTGACAGTGAGGAGAATCAGGTCTCTGTGCGGCATAACAAGTATCACACAACTCAACAATTTTCACACAATTATGACCACTATCGTCTACTACTTTCTTACCACCCTCAAAGTATCTCCTTACTGATTACTATGAAGCCTCCGCACAACTCTTCTTTTGACAACAAGTTGAACAAGCCGCCAGCGCACCCGGGACACACGACAGTCCCGTATCTGTCTTACACTGATGGACAACCACTCAAGAGCCTGCCTGGCAGCACACAGCGCACAGCGCCTGCTGACGGCAGGGACTGCCAAGCGCTGCCGTGCTCCTCACCTTCAATGAGTACTCCCGCTGCAGCCCCGGCTCGTCCTCCAAACCCCGCTTCATTCCTGCTGCAGGCCCCGCTCCTTCGTCATCCAGAATGATGGTAAAACCATCGCTGTCTGAGTCGCTCTCCTCATCGCCATCCCGCTCCGCCCGGGCCGGCACGCGCGAAATTGGCGGCATTGCTGTGTGGCCAACGGCTGGACGCAAGTGGTCGTCATTGACCAGGATCTCAAAATCATCCTCACTGTCCGAGTCCTCGCTATCCGAATCCTCCTCCTCTTCCACCTCCGGCGCAGTCAGCCCCACCACTGCCGCCAGCTTTGCAACGTCTTCTTCCACCGGCAGGCTCCCAAACGCTCCTGGTTCCGCAACCTGGTTTACGGCCGGGTTTACCTGACCGGTTTCAGCTGTCAATTGTGGGGCTTCTTCTCCGCCCAGCAGTGGCTCACCGTCAACGTCACCATACAGTTCACCATACAGATCGTCCTCGTCCTCTGCGTCCGGTGCCGGCAGCTCCCCAACCCTAGTTGTGGCAACCGCCGCCTCAGTCTCCTGGGGTTTGTTTGCACCGTTCTGCTCGTCTATGCTTGCCCTTTCTTCCTCAGCAATCACTTCATCATCCGCGCCTGCCCCATACAAGGCCGTATGCAGATCATCCCCATCCCCCTGCTTGTCCATCTTCCCCGCTACCTCCGACCCGTCAATGATCCTCTCTGCTTGCAAGCCAATTTCTCTGGCCAATATTGCTTTTGTCCGAAGCTCCTCTTCCGGCTTCAGTGGATATCCAAGCGACGAACCTGCCTTTCCTTCTTCTGTACCCCTTTCTAGACTACGCGCTCCATCGCCTTCAGCAGGCGTGGGTGTGCTGAATTGCTGTCCAAATGGCAATGGCACTAAAGGAGCTGCAGCCTCTAGGATTGGTGTTTCTTCCCCAAACAGCGCGGCCTCAAGCTCAGCATCGTCCGCCATAATTGGCCTATTTACATTATCTGCATCAGCGGCTGTCGCTAGGCCAGGATCCGGCGGACTCCGAGAAACGGAATGCCGGAAAAGCGGAATGACGGCCTGCAGTCACGATGTCGGCCTTGGGCCGGCCTCATCATCATGCATCATGAGTCATGCGGAGCCTCATGGCCTCATGCACATAATGGCGGCCCGATCCTGCAGTACTGTGTCATCATTCATGATCGGCATTCCAAAAAGCACACCGATCGCAGTGTCGTAGCAGCCCCATGCCTTCAATGCCTTTGATGCATGGGTATGGGCTTATGAAAAGAGAACATCGCAAAGAAGCGTCCGCGCTTCTGCAACCAAGGACAAATCTCACAGCATCCGTCGCAGAAGTCAATATCACAACAGCTTTAGGCGAGGAGGGGCAGAAACGTCTAGCAAATACGACTTGCATATGGAGTGTTGCGCGCGGCGCCAGTCCCATTTTCAGCGGCTGCTCTGAAGTTGCCTGAAAAGACTCCGACGCAGGTTGCTAAATCAGAGCTGACAAGGTAGTGAAGAAGAACTTTCGGAAACCATATACAGGCAATCCACAATTCAAGGGAGATGGAGCGAAGAAGGGATGCCGTAGCACATGGAACGACAATCAATCCAAGTCTCCGAGTTCCAGCTACGATATGCAGCTAATTCTGTGCCAGATTCTGCATCAGTCGGCTAGTAGGGGCAAGTCACATGGACTCATCCTAACGACAGCTGCTAGGTTGAGTCTGAGACTTGTGGGACTCCGTTTAGCAGCTCCGATGATCGACCGGCATTCGAGCATTCCGCCCGCATTCCGGTGCTCACAGCTCTATCTGAGCACTGCATACTTTATTGAGGCGCACCAAAACCTCTCTCACGAACGATGAAGGATTGATGCATATAGTAGGTTGTTGTGAACACAGTTGCGTTTGACATCATGGTGCACTGCTGTCTTGTTGAAAGGTTGCCATGTTAAAAAGAAGTTGGTCGGCGGCTCGCCAAGCGGCTGCCGATATGGGCAACTAATTGAGCAAACTGGAGTGAAGGAGCTTTTCGCGATTGGGACTGCGGTGGACATCCGAGGGAATCTCGGTAACATTGCTTCCAACAGAGACGTACATCCGGGTCTGCAGCGCAGCGGTGAATCGTATTGTTCTCACTTAAAATATCCGGATACAATATTCCATTATAAATTTCTTGATAGGCACGCAGGTCTCAACGTCGAGGTGGTCTCTTCCCCCTAGAACTTTCGAGACATCCACACTGATTCTGAGATTGTCAAGAACTCAACTTATGGTACGCGCGACTTGTTTATTGGGATCGAATGACGAGAGGACTGATCACGTCGGCAATACGTTTGAGCACCTGTCTGCTTGCAACCCTCTCCAGTATCAATCACTAGCAGAACGGTGATCGCAACCCTCTCGTTTGATCGTTTCTAGCAAAAATTGTCTACTACGGTCTACCAATCATCTTGACCCGTGACTGACTCAAAGCCAAAAAGTATCGAGCCAGCATGATACATGGTGAAGCTGGACCTTCTTTCAGAAAGGTTGACTTCTCGCTTGGAATGACTCTCCTCTCGCGGGCGGATGATCTGACTCTCTATAGGCTTGCAAAATGTGGGGCCGGTGACCCTCTCGAAAGTAGCAGCCGTGGCAATTTGGACCCCTTGTGGACTCTTGAAAAATGTGCCAACGCAGCGTTGTACCCAGGGTATGGTCCAGATAAATAAGGCCGAAGTCCCTTAAGCACACCGAGGAACTGCGCCCGGAGCCCCCGTGGGGCACGGGGTCGAGCAGCACACGTAAGTCTGCCCGTTGGCCGCGAAGCACTGCATATCACAAAGCCGAAAGATCCTTAGCTCGGTTTGAAGGTTTTGGTCACAGAAATGGGCTTTCTGAAAGAGACGGCGTCTTACAGCCAGGCCAAAAAGCAGCAGCTTGCGCATCTTGGCCGGACGACGGTGTCTGTACCTTGTGCCGCGCCAAGAAAATAAACGTCAGAAGCACGTCCTCCCATTCTAAACCGAAGAGCCGACAAGATATAACTTCCGGAAACGTAAGGACTGGTAAAAGCAACAAGAACACATGGGACAATGGTCGGTTGCATTTGGGCTGACCAGAATCAAAACGGAGGGATGCATCACGGTTCGCCCAGCCATGAGATTCTTTCACTCAGTTGGCAATTCCTCGTCGACTTTTTGCCTTTCCACCCTCGTCTCAGCCATTTGAGCAAATACACCAGTTGCGTGCTTCATCACTCAAGAACGCCCACTTGCAGAATAGGCACCTCATTCACTCATAGTAGTACTCCCTCCAAGTTCGAAGCCGCACCTGATTGGGGGCCGACCCGTAGGGGTCGCAGGTACCCCCCACGGGGAGGACCTGAGGGGTCGTGGTCGGGGCCGGCGTGGTGGCCGCCGGTGTGCCGCTGGGGGGGGTGGAAGCGGGGGTGCCGCTGGGGGGGGTAGAAGTGGGCGTGCTGCCCGGGGTGGTAGAGGCCGGGGTAGAAGTCGGCCCGGAGGTACCGGTGGTCGGGGCCGGGGTGGCCGTGGCGAAGCAGGCGGTCGGGACCGGGGCGGGGGTGCCGCTGCAGACGGGGTCGACGCCGGGCTGGGTGTTGGGGCACGCGGTCGCGCAGCAGATGTAGCGGTTGCCGGCGGAGTTGAAGCACTGGAAACAGAAAAGACGGGGGTGTCGGGTGTCAGGATAGACCAGTCAGAGGTGTTGAGAAGTTTCCAAATCAACTCAGCCGATGCGAAGTAGGGGATGCGATTTGGGAACACGGGCGCCAAGAGAAGGAATTATGGGTTCAACGGAATTAGAGGCTAGATACGATATCGGTCTCTCCTGGAGGAGAGGACTGTTGTAGCAGAATCTCGTTATCGGTTCCGCTTTCATTTCAGGAGCATTGGTAGCCGGGCTCAGGTATGGAAGGGAAGGTAAGAATACCGGTCGACGTTTCGCTGTGCTTTAGCTGCAGGTCGAGTGTTCTAAGGGGGCTATTAGCAATGGCTCACTTTTGGTATCGACACGTGTCCTTACTTCTGGTAAGGACACGTGGCGCAGAAGTGACAAGGTCAGAATCGCTGCTGCGAACGCTAGTCACTGATTGTCTCCTGATAGGGCACAGGGAAAGCTTGGACGGATTGGCAGGGATTTTGGCAACTCGACTGGATGCGCTCGGCAAGATCCCCGCAGAGGAAGCCTTCAATCCTTTCTAAACGGCAGAACCTCCATTCGCTGTCTCAGGTGTTTATGTAAAAAAAGCTGCACTGGGGTCGGCCGTACCTGGTTGGGCGTCGGCCCGGCGTAGTCGCACACCCCGCCAACCGGGAAGGTTGGAGCCGGGGTTGCGGGGGGGCAGGGAACCGGGATGGTTGCTACCGGGGCATTGGCAGTGGCCGTAGGAGTGGGGGTGGGCGTGGCAGTGGCCGGGGCCGGGGCGGGAGCCGTAGCGGTGGGGGTGGGGGTAGGGGTGGCAGTGGCCGGGCCGTTGTCAGCCACGAGGTCGAGTCCGAAGATGAGGGGGTCGTGGTCGGAGGTGCGGTAGAATGAGTTGGGGTTGGCCAGGCCGGTGTCGCTCTGTAGAGGAGAAGAAGAGGGTTTGTGACGTGAGCAATTTTTGTTTGTTGAACCACAGGGCGGCTAGTCGAAAGAGGGCGCAGAACGGAGGGAAGAAAAAGGGGGGGCGATTCAGATGGATGCATGAGAAAGTGCTCTGCTTTTGAAGCCTGTCAAGCCTGTCAGAGAGGAATAATCTCAACGAGGCGAAAAGGCAAGGCAAGCGGGATGCGTTCGGAAGGGGCTAACCGCTTTCAGACTTTTAACGGTGACGTCAATGCTCACGTGACAGAAGGGGGCCACCGCTAGGGAGGTCGAGTATCTAGTGTGACGTCACGCTCACGAGCTAGAAGGGGACTTCTGCTCACAAAGTAACCCACACACAAACAAGCAAACAAATGCACTTCTCTCTTTCGAAAGAAGGGAAGAGGGCAACAGCTAGGGAGTCGGGTATCTCGTGTGACGTCAGTGCTTACGGCATAGCCCAGCGCGATCTGCTCGTCGGCGTTGATGTGGAACTCGCCGACGCCCGTCACCTGGCTCACGAGCGACGGCGACGCGAGCGCGTGGTCCAGATAGCCCGACTCGCCGTTGAACACGTATGAGTACGCGAAATCGCCGAGGAACTGGCGGATTAGGTTGGTGTAGCCCCCTGCCTCGAACGCCTTGATGGGGTCCTCCATAGCGTATGAGTTCATATCGCCCGCCAGAACGAAGTCGGGGTCGTTGCTGCCGGTGGGGTCGGTGGCCAGCCAGCGGACGAGCGCCTCGGCGGCGCGCTTACGGGTCAGGTTGCAGTTGCCCTGCCATAGCGTATGAGAAAGAGTTGTTGGAATCTGCCGCGACGTGAATAGAGCAGCAGCTCTACAAACCAGAAGATTTCGATGTTTCCTTGTGCCTAGGAGAAGGTACGTCAAGTCTGAAGGAACAGTCGACGTTTTTCGAGCAGCAGCTTTACAAACCAGAGAATTTCAGTGTTTCCTTGTGCCTGAGGAAGGTACGTCAGGTCTGAAGGAACAAGAGGTCGAGGTGACTGAGCTGATTACATTGAGAGCACGCACTGCCAACAACCTTGGGGAGTTGTTGACGAAAGAGGAGCAGATGAACAATGTGCGAGAATGCGCAGACCAGTTCAGCTCCCACTCGCCTCAAACCACAGATTTCATATGCCACGTGATCGCAATGCTTGTCGTGACGTGGTTCAAAGAATCATGAACAGACCGTTATTACACAGTCAGTCGCAGGATTCGAAACGGATTCTACCCACCGCAACGGCGATACACCCACTCGTTGAGCCCGACTCAGCGCACTCTTAGCCAGGCCAAAGCACTTGTCTCAACTTCATGTCGAATAAGGGAAGTGCTTGAGGAACGGGTTTGGTTTGGGGGCTTAAAGTGGGTACGGGTGCGGAGCATGTTACTTCTAAGTTCCGATTTCTAAGTTGTTCTTTCCCAAGCACAGTCGACCTGCCCTTAGTTGATTTGAAATAAACGGAGGTCTCTTCTATTCCCTTTTGGAAGGGAAGGCTCTCCAAATGCAGATTGTTCCAGAAGACAACAACCGACGCGACACTTGCTACTCGCCGCACCTGGCCGTCGTTGTTGTCGGGGTCGCCCGCGCCGCACCCGCTGCCCTTGCTCTTGAGATGGTTTGCGACCACCGTAAACTTGGCCCCCGTGCTGATCTCCATATACGTCTGCGCGACCGATGGGCGCTGGATGTCCGAGTTGAAGTCGGGGTCGATGTTCTTAGTGAGGGCCCGGGCCACGCCGACCGGGGTAACCGCGGAGACGCGGTACATCTGGCCGACCGTGATGGCGTCACTGCCCACGCACTGGCTGTTGCACTGCAAGGATAAGGGTTGACAATGACGTCGGCGCATGGGTGGAGGGTGACGTCGGCGCAGGGGTGGGAGGGACGGGTTGACTGGCTTTGGGGCAAGACAGAGACCTGACTTTCTTGCGGCGAAAAGAGAACCCGTTTGCTTCCGACATCTCGGGCATTTCTTCGGGTTTTGGGGTTCCAGATCCGGGCATTGCCCCGGTAGAACAAATGCTAGCGCCCATAAGGCAATGCCAAGATGCGAAGGACTGCCGGATACAAGTCAGCACAAGCCTGCGTGTCGGTCCTGGTTAAAATGTGCTATTCAGCAAGCATGGTTGGGGCAGGCGCTTTGTCTCCAATCGTGTCCGTTTTCACTAAGCAAGCATCTTGTGTGCGTCTGCACCTTCTCTGGTCCAAAAGTGAGTCCTGTGCGTCCAACGCGGTATGATGCCAAGCCCCAGAAAGCTTTCACACGGATCTACAGCAGCAAACACATCTCACATACACGCGTCATGATGACGTCAGCGTCAGCTCACGTTGGGGTCGGTGCTGATGATGGAGGGGCTGCCGCCATCCCCGGTGTTGACCCTGATGAAGTCGAACGTGCCCGCGCCGACCTTTGCGTTCACGGCATTAACGAGCGCGACGATTGCGCTCCCGGCGTTGAACCCGTTGTTCTGCAGCTCTTGGAGGGTGTACACGTCAGCGTTCAGGGCTTCGATGGCGAGCACCGACTTGGACAGCTGCGTCTGGTATTCCTGCAGAAAGTGACATGAGCAGGTGGTCAATCTGCAGTCAAAAGCTAGCAGCAATTTTCAGGCTGGTAAAGCCGGTTTCATCCAGCTGGACATTGCAGGTTCAGAATATGAAAGCCAGCACACGTTTCAGGTATGCATAGGCTTCTCATGTGTTGAACTCAACTGCTGCAATATCATTCCTGCTTTTGGCGGAGCAACTCTACGCACTGAAAATGAGTTGCCTCCTATCCGCCGGGTTTTAATAGCCGGACGTTCGACTCGGCCACGCGACTCACGGCCTGATCGGAACACATCTTCCAAATACCGGCGCGAAAACGTTCGAAACGACATTCAGTGCTAAGCATCTGCGCTGAAAGCAGCCAAACCGGATTGTGAGCAAAGGTTTGGGGCCTGTTCTCACCTCAGGCGTGCTGGCGCCACGGCAGAGCGACGAGCTGCAGCCCGGGCCTTGCAGCGATGTGAAAAAGTTCTCCAGGTTGAACGCCACCACCTTGAGGCGCCCGCCCACCGCGGGGGGGGCGGTTGGGCGAGGGTTAGTGGCTGACGAGAAAGTGATGTTGGATGCGGGGGGGCTTGTGGGCTCCAGCAGGAACCCGTAGGAGTTCCCGAAAGACAGGTCCCCGACCAGGGGGCTGGTTAAGGTGTAACCCACGCGGATGGGGTTGCTGTCACTGAGGCCGGGGGCGGGGTAGGGAATCGGGTTAAGAGGCGAGCTGGAGCCGGTTCGGCTGGAGCCGTCGTCGATGAGGATGGTCTGGGCGGCGTTCGCGGCCGCGACAGCACGGGCGGGGTCGCCTGCAAAATCATGGGCGAAGGTCAGGTCACCAACTGACGACTCAAGAACATGTGGCTTTGAAAGCGCTGGATGGGGCAAATATGTCCGGCCTTTACATTTCCTTTTGAGGGGCTACGTTGGGAAGCTCGAGTGCTTTCAACAAATTGCTGCTGTGAGAAGAAGAGAGAGAGCGGCCATTCGCGTCAAACGAGCTTCTCTCAAGTGCCTTTCGATTAGAGATAGAGACTCGCACACAAATCTTCACGAGGCTAAAAATCGAGGGAGAGACTACCTCAGAACAGAGCGGAGACACTTCCAAGCTTTGCAGGGCTTACGAAAACCCTGATGAACAACGAGATACTCTGGGACTTCAAGGTGATAAGACGATGTTGATGCGTCAACAACTCTAACACGATGTTTATAAAGTGGGCCATATACGCAAAATATAAGCCATCAAGTAGAGAGAAAAGGCGGCCCGACCTGGCGCGGCGATCTGGGTGGGGACGTAACGGCGGCCGTTGACGGACAGCTCAATCTCGCCGTAGAAGTCGTCTTGGAAGACGTCGGTCACCGTGAGTGGCTGCAAGTAGCAAGCTCATGGGAACGTTGGCAACCCGCAGAGGTAGAGAGTCGGAGCGCAAGCGGCCACATGTCTCCGCAAGTGGAGTGTGTTTTCTTACTGGGTGATTCATTCCAAGAAGCGAGATTGGACTGTTTTCTTCCTTGGCGAACCGCTGACCAGTACGGAGTAAGCAACTTTACTTGGCCAGACTTCGTTCGGTGTGCAATCAAAAGCTTGCTCGAGCATTATTTCGATAAGCGGTTCGCTTCGATCGCCTCTCTCGAGCATACTTGCTTCGAGTGTAACTAGGACGGGTTGGCAGCCTGAAGTCTAAAGTATTAGCTGTGGCTTACGCATGTGTTTAGAAGCATATACGGTCCCTTAAGGATTTGTTGGAAAGAAGGCAGATTCTTTGACATTGTCCTTGACGATCTCGCTGACAAAGCTTGTCATTGAAAGGATGACGACTTCAAAAGTTGCAAAATAGGACGAAGGGAAGACAACAGCAGGTACACTCAGAGGGAGCCCAACAAAGAACGAGACCGAGCCACAAAAGGAGGGGGAGCCCATCACCTCCGGTCCGAAGCTGACGAGCATGCTGAGGTACTGGCGCAGGTTCTGCGCCATGGGGGACAGCATGATCGGCCGGACTGCGGGGAGGGCGTTCCCGATTGAACAGACGGCGACCGAAGTAATCATTGTGATCTCGGGGAGCCCATTGAAGTTGGCCACGGTGCCCGACACCTGGACCTCGTCACCAACGGCGGTCGCCATGAAATTGGCGCGAGAGCTGCCGAAGTAGACGAAGATGCCGTTAGAGGTCGTCGTGTCGTCGTCGGCTAGCATCTGTGAAGGAACGAGTCAGGAGTGTTTCGACGCGAAGGGGGGACCTGCTTGCAAATCAGTCCAGCAGCTTCGGAAGGAGCTGACACCAGCCGCCCTCCGCAACAAGGATAAAATGTTTGTAGAAAATGTAGTTGAGATGGTCACCACAGCGGAACTGAGGGACTCCTTCTGAGGGAGGGGTCAGGATTGTTTTGACGCAAAGGTGGACAGGGGTGACTCTCAGAGGAGCGGGTGAGGAGCGGGGCGAAGGTGCGGCTTCTTTCCTGTGGCGATTGTCCCGGAACTTCGTGAGTACCAGACATTCGTCGAGCACGTTAACCCCAAGCACGATCATTCACGGGGAGAAAAGCAGAGGCTGAAAGACAAGGTCGAGCACGTTCATTCACGGGAAAGAAAGGAGAGGCAGAAAGAGGATTTGAGCAGCTCGACATCGGCAGATGGAAGTGTGTTGCGGTAGAGCGACCGAGAACGGGTCGCCTCGTTACTTGGGAACAGCTTCTGACAGTCACCAAATAATGCATGTGATTAGAATAACTAACAGAACATTTACTCGCAAGAGTAGCTTTAGAACCGTTGTAATTGAAGAGCCATGCTTCCCCAGGAGTGCAGAATCGAATTACGTTCTCACGATGATGGCAGCAGTTGACCCTGAGGTGACAGACGTTTTAATTCAGGATTGCAAGCGAGCTCAAGGAAGATCTCGTATTGCAGCCCTCGGACCCAACTTTGCGTCAAATTTTGACTGCAGAAGTCAGGGCTCATTATCCGAAGACAAGAGACAAGCGGCACAGTTCGACGCATCGAGAGCTCGTAGCCGAACAAGAAGTGCCTGCACGCTGCGGGTCGCACTTACGTCAGGCGTCTGGATGAAGAAGCCGGAGAGTTGGCCGGGTGCGTCGAACGCGCCCGTCAAAAACCCCCGCACAACCACCGTGGTGTTGACCAGGTTGGGTGCGGCTCCGTTCCCATTGATCGTGGAGATCGGCGTCTCCCCAGCCGTGCTAGTGCAAGAAGGGGCAGTGCCGGTGGGGGCGGGAGTCCCGGTCCCAGAAGTGGTTGGCGCTGGAGATAAGGATAAAGTTCAATACCTATAAGGACCTAAGACACGCCCAGGGAACGGGTGGGGTTGGTATGGTGGTTAGGGTGGGTGCCGGTGCGGAGCGCGCCATGTTCGTTGGTTAGGGGTGTTAGTTAGTTTTCTGTCCCAGGTACTTTCTTATAGGTATTAGATCCTTCTAGATTCTAAACTTGATGGGTATCGTTGGATTCGTCGGGACAGAAAGAATTGTTGCTGTGCTTTCTGAGAGGCCAAAAATATAAGGCCCGGAAGATCGTCCCTCTCGATCTCAAGGAACCCACTGCAAACGCTGTCCACTCGCAGCGGCTACAGTTGTGGAATGGTCCTTCCGAGAGATTGAAAACAGCTTTTGTGAAAGTTTTCGGCTAAGGACATTGTGAGTTCCTATATCTACTGTCGAGTCTGTGTAAGCTTAAACACTTCGAGGGGCGAGATGACTGTCGTGGATGTCACGACGAGACGGATTCCAAGCGGGTAGTCCTCCGTAAAGCGGAGGCGTGACAACAGAGACGGCTTACTGGTGGGAGGTCGAAGTTGTTAACAGCAAACAACAAGGAATAGCGTCATGTTTAGAAACGTCGATGATGAATCTTGTGGGCTCTTAACTTACTCCTTCCGCTGGGTGAACACAAACTAGCCAAGTTCAAAAGCTCCGCTGATCTCCCTGCTATATTACAAAAGATGACACTTCTCGAGTTTGCAACGACAAAAACGGACCCGAAGGTTGCTTTCAAACAAGGATGGCCCTGATTGCCCATCAAAGAGGGCGTGTCACCGGGGCGCAACATGAGCAGCATTCATGATACCAAGCAAAAGACCCCTTTTCCCGGCGACCCAAGAGCAGAGGAGCACGCTGCACGGTCGCCCTGTGACGTCATTTGATGCGATGCTAGACTCACAAGGAGTGGCTGAGCCTGAGCAGGCGTTGGCAGTTCCCGGGGTAGTGCTGACCAGGACGAAGTCAACACCGTTATCGTCCGTGTCAGTGCCGTCAGGACACCTAGACAAGGAGGGACAGTATTAGGAATCGGAATTGGACCAGATTCAGCCGATAAACGGATCAAAGGCAGCCCACAGATCCATCCAAAGAACCTGGCATCACCAAATGCAATAAGATCCGGAGAGATCATAGTCCACGAAGTAAGACGTTGACTGTGCTTCTTAGTCGAAGAAGTAGGGTGCAGGGGCTTGCTTGAAGCTAGCAGCACGGCTGTTTTCAAGCTCCCAGTCGACTGTTGGAGAGGGAAGAGAGGACGTACTTTTCCAAAGACCTTCTTAGCCTTTACGAAAACTTCAACGCAGTAAAAGTCGTCGGAGGCTACAAGCTTGTACACGAGAAGCACTCCCCCTTCTCAAAATTGCTAGAAATCCTGACCCACAAGCTTTAAGCACACACCTTTGGCAGGCATACAATTTGATGAGATCACATAAGTCCAGACCTGGACGACCTTAGCCATCAAACCCTTTTGACAATCGCTTTCCAGCAGGCCTCATGATACTCATTCTCACCATAATAAACCACATATGATTCGAGAACAGACTAAGTTGCCTGTGGCCGGAAATACTGAAAATGAGCCTCAAACGTGAGCCCCAAGCGGAAGCCTCAAAAGTTTGAAAGGAATGCATGCACCTTGCAGAGGAGTCATCCAGAGTCTTAGAACTGGGCTATCCACTTCCTTCCAGTCAGAGTACTTAACCCCGCTAAGCCAGCACCCGTTTGCAAACATTGACTCAAGCAACAGCTGCAAGCACCTGAGCTGCTAAAACCTGACGCAACTCGCGGATACTCACCTGGAGATGGATGTGGTGCCAGCGTCGGTGTCGGTTACCGCACTGGTGCCCTCCGAGTAGCCGGGAATCAATCCCTCATACGAGACCCTGTCGATGATGTTTCCAGAAGGGTCTGTAAGGCCCATGGCGTCCGGGGCTCCATTCTGGATTAGGTTGTTGTCGGGGCCGTTTGTCTGCAAGAGGGGGTTTTCAAACAGTGGTGAATGAAGCTGGGACCAGAGAGGGTTGGGCAGGAAAGAGGGGTTAATGAGTGGTTAGGCAGTGGGAAAGGGGGTAGAGCTGATAACTAGGAATGCGAAAAAGGTGCAAGAAAGTATCAAGGCAACAGACCATCAATATCATTGATCAGGCAGGCATTCTGACAGAGGGGTTAAGTACACAGGGTCAGGAGAATGTAGACCACGCAAACGCGGGATATAAAAGCAATCAGGCAACGAGACAGTGGTGTTGAGGGTACTAGTCTGTGTGCACGAGTCTAGTTGGTTGAAAGGATGGGAATGTCATGCCGTATAATCAGAAACTGATACTGTAGCCAGGTGACCATACTACAAGCATACTATGTTGCGATAAGGTTTCAGGGCTACTTGAGGGTGGGGTCCATGCAAGAGCCAACTTGAGGTTAAGGAAAGGGTTAAGAGAGTCTACAATACAGCGGTAAAGCTACCCAGATGGCAGTACTCTTTTGCTGACAAGAACATTGTATCCCAAACTGGAAGAGATATGCTGTTACCCTGCATTGAACAAGCCTCTACGAAACAAGTTGGCAAGATTGGCAGGACCAGGCTTGCCATTCTGCTGAGATGACAAATATAATGAAAAGGGCAAAACCAGGAGTGATTCTCTGCCCCTGCCAAGCTGCTAATGCTGTTTAATCCATGCACGCACTGTGCTTTACCTTGCCTTTGAAGATGTGGAAATCAACATTGAGGTTCCTGATTGTCCAGACGTACATACCCAATTATTAGACTCATTTAGATCAGACTTAATTCGCAGGTTGCTGCAACTTTTAGCAGCAGAACTGAGGGGGATTGTCTATTTCAAATTCCAAGTTCACTGAGACATCTGACCTCTGAAGCCAACAACTTCAGCTCAGACCAAATGGCCAGGCCACCTCATGCTGAGCCTGTAGAACCAACTGGGAGCTTTAATTGCAACGGACAATTGCGAGAGTCGATCTGGCTTCTTGCCGATATTAACCGCCTGGTTAGCACAAATGCAGCCTAAGATGGAAAATGGAAATTTGGATGCCAATGAGAACTCAGATAGGCCATTGCGTGCAGTGGAAAGCTTTTCAATGAATGCGGCCATTCTACAGCCGAAAGGAATGACTGGCGCAATATGTCAGTTCTCAACTGACCCACCCGAGTTTCAACTCTAGCCCAATCAGTCTTCCGCAGCACATAATCATCAGAACCCCCATTCACTGACACTCGGACTAAGTTTGGAAGATATGTCATCATTAACCCCTGATCGAGACAGGCCAGAGAACAAGCCCAGTCTCCCCTTGACTTGACCACATTTCACCCTGCAGTAGAAGGCTCTCCTATTAGCTCCTTGGCTGATCGCACCTGGTGAAAATGCATTGCATTTGCCACTCACCTGATTGCAGTTTGGCACGGTCCCCGCCGTTGAGCAGATCACAAAGTAACCCCCTGGGGCCAGCGTCACTGGGGCAAGTGGAATCGTCAAGTATATGGCATTGTTGGCCCCATTCACAAGCTGGAGGTTCCAATTCGTGAGGTTGATGTTGGACGCTCCAACATTTTTGAGCTCAATGAATTCCGTAGTGTCAGTGCCAGGCTGATCATAGTCGATTTCGTTGATGACCAGAGAGGTGGACACGGCGGCGGAGAGGGCGGCGGAGGAGAAGAGAACCAGGAGGGCGAGCAGGAGCTGGCGGGAGGCGACCATTGTTCGTCAGCTGCAGCTGCCTGCAAATCACCGTGTGGGGAAAGGCTGAATCTGGGCGTTGTGGGAGCTGCCTGTGCACGAAAGCTATCTCTGCCACCGACTATTTCATATCCGGACCAATTCAAGCACGTACGTATTCCCTGCGAGATCAGAAAGAAAGCAAGTTGAAAGCTCTGATCATGCACACTAGTAGGTACCGCATTTCGAGATTCAACAGGGTCCCTCTTCGCTTTGAGTTTCAGACAGAGGAACCCTCTTGGCACTTCTTGAACACTACCGTACCTATTCCAGAGCCAACAAAGGACAGGAAGAGTTGACCAGAATCATGGTCTCAAGATTGAAAGCTGACCGTGGCCATGACATCACGGCTCCACCAGCCCTTGGCCCCATGCCAGTTGTCCGCGCAGGGAGGTGTGGACCGCCAGCTGGCATCATTTCTTGTTACCTACTTTATTATGCTCAGCCGCCCCACTCTACCTGGGTAGGATATGGAACGGACCTATGGTATCTTTGTGAGACGAGTCCCTGATCAGGAGGGAGAAAAGATGCGCCTTTCTTGTCGGCGACTGCAGCCAACATGCAAGGCTTGGATTGGCGGTGACGACAGGGGCCAGGGCCTAAAAGCCTAGGATCCGGATTCCGTCTGCCAATCACAGTCCAATGCGGGAAGATTCCAATCCGCAAATGCCCCGCCAACGTCACAGCCTTTTCACCCCTTTGACACATTGGTTGCCGTGTGTACCTGGCGCTCTGGAGTGAATAGGTTCTTGCTGACATATGCATCAACAAAGATTCGAAAGATTCCGGCTTTTGCCGGCAACGCACGGCCGGTGTTGACACTGTGAGTGCCGTAGCTGAAAGTTGGCTGAAACACATCAGTGGAAACTGGTGTGTGGCTCGGGCGTCCCAAAAGGCTGCACAAGGCACACGTTGCATACCATTATGAATGCACAGTGCAGACTGCGTCCCGCAATGTTTAGGTCGGTACAACTGGACCGGGTGTTACCTGAGCGCTGTCGAGCACTCCCCCGATCATCGATGGCATCGCGGCCATACGAAAGTCGGTATAAACGGCATTCAGCGTGCTGCTCACTGCACCGCACTCATGATGTTTCAAGCTGCGCGGTAACGGTCAGGGCTCATACGTAGTGTGTGGTAATGTTCTAGATTCCTAAGCTCAGCCGCAAACTAGGATGGTGACCCTATCAATAGCAAATTGCATTGATCAGGGTTCAAGTACACAAATTTGTGGGAAGGAGCATCGCATTGAATGGGTGCGGCTTTATTACGCTTCTTAAGAGTCCCCTGGGCTCTGACCAGGCTAACACGCCTGCTGCCCGGGAGTTGACTGTTGAGCCGTGGCGGCAATTTGAAGGTGGAAGAGGGTGAGTAACTTTTCAACTTCATTATGCTTTTTGGAGAGGCCAACGACAGTCTGCATCCGATGGATCGTGTCTCTGTCTCAACTGAATGTGTCAGCACATGGCATTGCGGTGCGGTGACTTTCGCAATTTCTGTTCACTGGTGGCACCGTCAGAGTCTCTGTAGTTTTGCAATGCAGTACAAATGGAACTGTGTTGGCTGAAGTGACGCTTAAAGGTTCCAAACATGCTGGAGCTTTTTGTTTGCTCATGCTGCAGGTTTTGGTGAATAAGATTCTGAGGGTGGTAAGGTCAATTTCTTGTAACATGTGTTCGTTCCTGTCACGTGGCTGCTGTTCAACCAGAAATGGGAGATGCAAGGAGTACGCCGGCATGTTGACTTTTGAAAAATGGTCGATCTTAAGGTACATCACCACCTTGAACAAAAAGCCACGCCACCTTGCATTGCAGGTCCCATCATAAGAGCCTCTGCACCACTTTCTTCAACGGCCTTCCTGTCCTTTCTACCGAACACCGGCAGAAAATCCTTCTTTCAGCAGTTGCGCTGGTTGGGACAGAACAACAGCTGTAGAGCCGGGGTTCGCAAGTTGGGCCCTCAGGGGCATGGCCGCTGGCGCCGTCCTCGAGTGCCACTTGACCGCCGCCCCTTCTCTCATGGCGGGGCGCCTTGCGTGTTCTAGGCTGAAAGGCACCGTCTGGCACTCACTGAACCCAGGCCTGGGGGCTCTTTTGCAAAGTGTGCCCAGTCTGACTCGCTCAGAGTTTCCTGTCTCCCAGCGGGCCAGCTTTCAACCGTCCCTTTGCCTCAACCACTTCGAAACCCCTTCTGCGCCAATAGGCTGCACAGAGTCTCCCACCCGCACGCGCAGCAGCCCCTTGCTCTCAAGCTTCGAATGCGCCCCCTCACGCCCTCTTAGCAGTTCGCCGCGCGCTCGATTCTGGTCCTCGTTCCGCAGCTTTAGCGTCGCACAAGAAGCTGCGCCTTCCGTCTCCGCTGCTGGGGCAGAAACGCCGGCAGCCGGAAACATAGTCGACGTGCTTCGGGAGCGCGATCTGGTGGATGCCATCACGAACGAAACAGCGCTACGGGAGGCCGCCGCCAGTTCGTCTCTGAAAGTTTACCTTGGCTTCGACCCCACCGCCGAAAGCCTGCACATCGGGCACCTTCTAGGGATCGTCATTCTGGCCTGGTTCCAAAAGTGCGGGCACACCCCGGTGGCCGTTCTGGGGGGCGCGACGGCGCGGGTGGGGGATCCCTCCGGGAAGAGCATCGAGCGGCCGGTGATGAGCAACGAGACGATCGAACGGAACCTGGCAGGGCTTGAGGGGACGCTGCGCAAGTTGCTGCGGTTTGAAGAGGGCCCGCAGCCTCTGGTCGTGAACAACTACGACTGGCATTCGCAGTTCAGTTTCTTAGACTTCTTGCGCGACGTGGGGCGGCACGCGCGGGTCGGCGTGATGATCAAGAAGGACAGCGTGCAGACGCGGCTGGCGAGCGAGGAGGGCATGAGCTTCACGGAGTTTTGCTACCAGCTGTTGCAGGGGTACGACTTTGTGCACCTGTTCAAGGAGCATGGGGTAACGCTGCAGCTCGGGGGCAGCGACCAGTGGGGAAACATCACGGCGGGGACGGACCTGGTCAGAAAGATGCTCAAGAAGGAGGGCGCGATGGGGCTCACGTTCCCGCTGCTCCTGCAGAGCGACGGGCGCAAGTTCGGCAAGTCGGAGGGGGGCGCCGTGTGGCTCTCGGAGAAGCTGCTGTCGCCGTACAAGTTCTACCAGTACCTCTTTGCGGTGCCTGACGCTGACGTCGTCACGTTCCTGAAGCGGCTGACGTTTCTCGACGTGCGGGAGATCGCGGAGATCGAGGCCGGGATGCGGCGGCCGGGATATCAGCCAAACACGGCGCAGCGGCGGTTGGCGGAAGAGGTGACGCGATTCGTCCACGGGGACGAGGGGCTCGCGCAGGCGCTGGCGGCGACGCAAGGGCTGGCCCCCGGCGCGGCAACAAAGCTCGACATTTCGGCGCTAGAGGCGATCGCGGCGGACATCCCGTCGGTGTCGTTGCCGATCGACAAAGTGGAGGGGCAGGTAATTGTGGACGTGTTCGTGGCGGCGGGGCTGTTTCCGAGCAAGGGCGCGGTGCGGCGGCAGATCAAGAACGGTGGGGCGTATCTGAACAACGAGAAAGTGGAGGACGAAGGGCTGAGCGTGACGGCGAAGGACGTGCTGGATGGCCGGATGTTGCTCCTGGCGTCGGGGAAGAAGAACAAGTTGCTGGTCAAGATTGAGAGTTGACAAGAGGTGGATACGTAAGCCTATGCTTTGTGGCACGAGCGTCTGGCTCTGTTTTCAAAGAACTCAAGTCAATAGGCAGTATCTGATGGTCATTCGAGATTGGACAAAAATACGGGTGAAGTAACGTTGACTTGCAAAAGGTCAAAGTTGGCCATCTAACTAAGGCGAAATACTCCGGCCGCCCAATTGATATCGCATTTCTGCGCATCAAACTTGGTGGTACTGGGACGAAATGCCTAAATTGCATCTGAGGTTTAGGGGTCTAAACCAAAGCACGAGCCTGACAGCCACAGAACCATTGCAATGGCTACCGCGCGGGACCCAATATTCTCGACTCAGGACCCCTGCAGGAAATTGTTATGTGGCATGCCAGGATGCCTATACGATTTGAGTCTAAAAGATCATATGTGGGCGCAGAATTGTGGGCGCACCTGCATGAGATTGAAGGATTCATTGCTCACGCAGTCAGCGGCTTCAAATCTAGCTGGCAATCTTTGCGACATTTGCTCGTATTTGCAAAGAGTTCATGGAATCCTGTGTATGCCGCCACGCGGGGGTAGCACGTAACTTCGTATTTTGTCATGCAAGGCTTGGCGCGATCATTGGGACAACGATCGCTGTCACTATTATCAGATTCCCTCCCAGACTCATGGGTTCTCTCACCCTCCGAACAAACTGATGCAATTTGAGTCTTCAAGACCCCGAGTGTATGTACGTTCATACGTTGCACTCTTGCACAATGGGTCAGCATTTGCAATTTCGTTGTGGTCGAAGTGCCCTGCTTTGAGCTGGGTCCCCATCAGTCAATATGTCCGTTTCCGTGGACCAGGAGCCCAAAACACGATCGGCTCCTTTATACTTCGGGCCCGCTTCGCTTGAGACTGCCCTTCTTAATTTCGTACTTGCAAGATGGTTCTAGCCCATGTAGTGAGATCGTGATCCAGCAGAACCAAAGTAGTACACCGAGCCAGTGCCCTAGGTGCTTACATGACTAGCGTCGATCCCGCACAGGATTGTTACATAAGTACTATGTTGGAAGACGGGCCTCATCAGCACGATGCCTGGCCCAACTTGCGTGGCTGATCCACTCGTGTGCCGTGCCATCCGACCAGCCTCTGTGATGAGCATACGTCATTCAAGTCGTCATTCACTCAACGAGTCATCTACGAGTCCCCATGCATCTTACTGAAAGATCAAGACAAGCGCCGTTATTAGTGCGGGGAGTGCGAACGACTTTGGACCGACTTTGTCTTAGGACGACGTGCTATATTGAGGTCGACAACATCTTTGGAGTCTGTGCACACATATGATCAAGGCTGTACGATCAAAGCGCTCAAGTCGCCCTGACGTACCGGAAGCCCTGGCGCCCAGATGTTACACGGTGAGTCTCATGCAAGGATCGAGCCCTCTCTCTGGTGCAAGGAAGATACTCGTATCGGAATCCTCCGGCTGCAGCTTGCTGAATCGTTTCCGGATCTCCGGAGGTCGATGGGGCCCGCCTTAGGATATCTGTTGCATAAAGAGGTCAACGTAAGTTGAGGCGTGAATGCTGACTAACTGCAGTATTGTCAGAGCAGAGAATGAAGCCTGAGGCAGTCGGCGTATCCAACAGACCACCATCGGCTGTGAAATTGTGATTGAAAAGTTGTACTGGTCGTGTAGCAAAGGTGACAAGACCAAGTCAAAGTTGAATACAAATAAAAGGAAGCGGACGCTTTGTCTACCGTTCTATATTCGCTCCGTCTTTTCAGGCCTAATCATTCTGCTCTCGGTGACACGCTCTCCGAAAAGAAAAAGTCGACAAGCTCTCCTCTGGAGGATGCGCAAAAGTTCAGCCGTTTTGAGATTACAACTGGTGACCAGCGTTGAACTAGTACAAGAAGAGCTTCTTATGATTAGATTTCGAATGTCAACATATAAGTAAACAACAGGTTATAGCGTACAATTTTCCGTAGATTTATCTTGGCTTGGTCCACTCCTGGACATTTTTGGCAGTTTCTTCCCCAGCTTATCAAAATTTCACCAGAACGAAACAGCGTGTCAGAGCTCTTGATTCTTCCGGATTCTCCTTACAGACGGGCGCTGTTAAAAGAAGCTTACATCTAGCTGCCCGCACATTAAAAAGTACAGAATCCTGAAAGTCGAACAGAGACTCGCACCTGCTTCCCCTTGCTGCCTCCACCCCCTCCGTCACCCCCCCCTTTTCCGTTGCTCTTCGCACCATCGGCCGAAAATGGGGACGCCCAAATAACCTGACAACCCCCCGACTCTAGTTCCCCACGCCAGCGCAGGTTTGACCCGGCGCTCCTGAGCCTCCGACCCATCTCTCAGCAAAACAGCGCTCGACTGGCCCATCACAAGGCAGCCAGTGCCAGACGGCCGGGTCACCGGAAGACCAGCGGAATTGCACCGGAATGATACCGGAACGACACCCGTCACCGAGTCCTGGAAATCAAATCTCCGGAGGCTCTGAGTCCGGCGGAAAGCTTTCTCTCCGGGAGGAGTCGAGGCTGGACGCTCGCGCGCGAGCCACTTGTCGCTCGCGTCAGCATCGGAAAGGAGAATCGCCGTCAACCCGTCTCGTTCGCGGAGTTGCAGGAAAGTCGGATCGAGTTGGGTGAGAACGGGAGAATGTCGTTGCTTGGCGCAAAGACTCTGAACCTCGTCCTTACAGTTCTCCTTCTTCCAACCGGCCTCGAAAGCATTGAGGGCAAAGGAATAGCAGCGGGGATTTTCTTTCATAATCCAACCCCAATCCCAAAGGTTCCAATCAAGATAGTGCGGGTCAATGTCACTGGTCAGGACACACGATTGAGCCTCCCTTCTGAGACGTAGCAGAAGCTGATCAGAGGCTCAGTATCGAACGTTGTGGAGATAATAGTTTCCAATTGGGGGCAGCACTGACCACTGCTTGGTGTGCGGCTCGAATACCAAAACGCGCTTTTCTTGAGAAGCTCGAGAGCTGACGTCCTCTCCAACGCAGAATATGCGATCCTCCACAGCGAAGCAGAAGCGTGTCCTGAGTTTGCCTAGGGGTAAGGCTCGGTCCCCCTCTTCGAAGTACTCGGTTTTCCACTCTCCCGATTGGAAGCTGTGCATCCTGACATACCCAGTGTTTTGGGCCTTTATACCTTCCTGTGGGAATGCGCGCGGACAGTCTTCATCCAGAATGTAGATTGTCCTGTTCAGCAAACTAATGTGAATCCCCCGGTCTTCCCCCGGCTTCAAGGACTTCCCGTCAAAGCTGATATTGTTGCTGCTCGGCACGGGACAGATGTACACGTTCTTATGTACCGCTCATCTAGGAGGCCAACTGCAGGGCGTAAGCTGAACCTCTTCACACCGCAAGGGGCGCGCACTAGCAGCGCAAACCTGGTGCTTTTTCCACTGCACATCAGGCGGCCATGGGGGCCGAACACACCGGCTTCGATGGCGGCTTTCCAGGGTTGTTCAGCAGACGCAGGTTGCTGAGCTGCTCGACAGAAACGTCCTTGCGACAAGCGAGCACGATCCGGTGCGTGATCTCGTGGGGAAGGGGAAGCAGTTCGTACTCCAAAGGATCCTCCATCCTCTCTATCTGTTCCTAAGTTCTGAAGTTCTTGTAGCGGCTGATCAGAAATTGCTTCAGAAGATTCGCTGTCTTCTGCAGACCCCGACAAGCAAAGTCCTTGGGCTCTGTTACCCCTCTGTTATCAGCCCAGACTTTGTGATCCCAATATTCCGTTAACAAAATTTTGGTTCAAAAGTAAAGAAGGCTTAGAATTCCTTGAAGTCTCTTAGTCTTTTGTGCACTGCATTCTTACGGACTGGTTTGCCTGGTTTGAAGCCTCAGTGGAAGCCTGAAAGCCTGGAAGAAGCTGAGAAGCCTGGTTTGCGAGTCCTGTAGACAAGAGAGATCGACCGGGGCGCGGAACCCGCCATGCAGTGGCCGCGCCCGGCCGGCCTGGAGGAGCGGGCGCGCGGCTGCAAATCTGCACTGCATGCAAACCCCGAAACCCCGGCGCGTTAGTCGAACTAACGCAAAACTAAACCCGGACCACGTTAACCGTTTCCGGGTTCGGCCGGCTTGCCGAGCCAGACTCAGCCAGTGGAGCTGCAACATCGAGACCGTCCAAGATGGGAGGCGCCGGATCGAACGGAGTATAAGTATAGAAGTCAGGATACCGTACTTGTTGTCAGATTCAAAACTTGATAGCCGGCTGACAGACTCAGACTCCCGAGTCCTGTTCCGATACTCCCGAGCAGGGGTGCGCGTTTCAGATTCTGCTCTGTGAACCGCTCGCGGGCTGTACCTACCAACGTACGGTAGTTCGGGTATTTGCAACCACGCGTACCGATCGCACAGATGTTTTCCAATTCTCTGGGTTTACACTGTACAGCCTCTGCAAGCAGCAAAGCGGTAGGTGCGTCTACCATGGGTACCGGTAGACCGAAAATCACCTCAAGTGCCAGGGCCCAGCACATATAATATACCGCTTTTCAATATCGGCACCTTCGACGCAAAATAGTTAATTATGAAACGTTTGAAACTTTCGGAAGACCCAGCGCTACCTGCTAAAAAGAATCGTTATCGACCATTATCGCCCTTGAATAATTATTTAAAACTTTCAGTAATAAATATTTTTCAGTAATTATTAAATTTTCGCCGAAATAAAAAAGCAGTACGGTACTGTATCACGTGCCTCAGAAAACAATAACTCCGAGAAACTTTCAATACAAAAACTCAATTCTCCACTGACGTCAGAGCCTTTTCACTCTTTGATCTGTCTACAAAGTGTAATCACTTGTTTCCTGTCGATCCCTGCTGAGGGGAATAAGTTCCTGCTGACATCTGCATCATAATATGTCGGCACACTTGATTGGCCGAATCGGAAAAGAAACATGACGTTTGTACACCTGAACTACTGGCATAAAGATTCAATACCACTTCAAGGTTTATCATGTATGATGTAGGTAGTAGGTACCATGTTGTTTGTAGCCGGCGCAGGTAGACTCCAGCTGCCAGGTTTGAAGTTTCATCGCCATGAGCGAACGCGATTGAACGAAGCTTTCGTGCACTGAAAGTGGGCCGGGCATTCACTGGAGACACTGAATGCAGTCACCGGGAGTGCCAAGTAGGTAGAAAGGCGCACTGCCTTTTATTAGGTTAGACTGTATTAAACCTTCAAGTTATCCTTCAGAGTGCGGTAGGTACCTAGATTAATGATCCTCTAGGCAAGGGACTGAATTACCTAGGTAATAGAAACTGCAGACCTCGGTCACTGCACAGCTGCATTTTGGCACGTCCTCTAAACAGAGCAGTGAGCTCATTCTGAAGTCAACTGGAAAAGGGACGGTACAATCCGGCTTGAGTGTCAAGCACGGTGCGGCGATGGCTGTGTGGGGGCTCCCTTTGCTGGTGGTGCTTTTGCTGGCGACAACTGGTGTGAATGCCAGGTAAGCATTGCGCCGCTTATGACAATGCAGTCCGTCTGTCTAGTGCAGAGCTTCACCTTGGATAGCCTAGACATGGATAGAGCGCTGGAAACTTCGATTGCAGATTCTAGATTGACCAGCACATTCTGCAAAACATAATGCTGCCTCATTGCAAACGGACCAACAATGCCAAGCCAGAGTGATAACCCCAGCTTGCTAGAGTTTTGCTGGGTTCGCATCAAGATGGGTTTTGGCAAACACCCTAAAAGCGAAAGAAAGATATATTGAAAGAAAAATATAAGATAATGGGAAGCTCGGATCAAGCCTGTTATAGTCGAATGTCTGCACGCACAAATTGCCTCAGTGCGCCCTTTGGCCCGCAACAGGTATGCTGCCACCTAGGTCTGTTGGCAGTCCCATCTTATGTTGATTCTTTCAACGATCTCTTAAGCTTGTAGACTGAATTCGACCGCTAGGCTTTCACTAAATGTGGTCTGACAAGACCCACCTCTAGCACTGCTGCCACCGTCAATCTAAGTAGGCAGAGTCACCGCCCTGCGCCCTAATCTGACGTCACTATTTCATGAAGCAGAGCCCTGACCGAGCGGCGCCAGGTGGCACAGAGTGGGGCGACTGCGGTCTTCATTGATGAGATTCACTGGGAGAACGCGATTCTTGACTTTGGTGAGGCATGCATAGGGAACCACGTGTGTCATGGAGGCACCCCAAAGTCTACCCTTGCAACAAGGTCTCTGTTGAGACAACCCTTTCTTCCCCTGTCGAAGCAGGTCCTGTCAGGGTTCAGAAGTTAAGGCGAACACTGCTTCGTTCTATATGTTGACCTGGGAACAGTCTCAAAAGGTCTCGAAGGACTTTGCTGTCTTTCTGCAGTGGCAATGGTCCTTCTTTCCTAACCGTCATGTGGTGGATACAACTTTCTGAGATGGGTATAGACAGAGACAGTGCAAGGACGTTGAAAGTGGCAGAGGGCTAGTGAGCTCTAGCACAATGAAGAAGTGGCCAGTCCTCAGGATCAGGTGTTCAACTCAGGGACTGCCGACCACTTATTTGTCTAACTAATCTTTCAAAATGTGCATGGCCTTTCTGAAGCACGTTTTGCACGTTGTTCACATTAAGCCAAAGGACCTCTGCCTGTCAGTTAAGCGGCCCTCTGCCTCTGTCTCTCAGGGGAGGCTGTTGAGGTCTTTGGGCCTCTGGGGCTGGACATTGCCGGGTACGTCCTGACGCGCTACGCGGGTTTCCTCAACGATGTGGGCCAGGCGTGTAACACCCCTGACTGCATTGCGGCTGGGTATGAGTTCACCTTCCCTCCAAACACCATCCTCACCGACCCAGACAATACCGGGGTGAGACAGCAAAAAGGCCCCAGCGACCAAGTGCTCTTTCGTCTGCAGGATTTGTACTATGGGGCTGCGCGCAGCCGGTTTTCCCTGGCCGTACGGTCTTTTGATACTTGTTCAGCAGTTTTTGCCCCTCTTACATGTGCTTGTATCGCGTGATGCACCCGCAGTAAAGTTGTCTGTGATTGCAGTGCAATGTCAAGGCAGAGTTTGAGGACGATCCTCTTCGGCTTTTGATTTGACAGTTCTTCTTGTCTAAGACAAGCTGCTCACTTTCATTTTGATATTCCTCTGCTTATTCCCCTCGGCACTATGATTCTCGGTGGCACGAAGTTCTGCCTCAGGATATGTAGGCAGCATGGGTGTGCGTATCCTGATTTGGACGTTCAATGCCATGCCTGATTGAACATTGCTGTGCTACTTGCTGAAAGAGCAACCACTTGCCTCAGTCACAAAGCAGAGCTCCGTCTACTCATCTGACCCACTTGTATTTGCAACACCCCATCAGCTGCCTGTAACCATGGGCAGACAACTTTGGGCAGTGCAACTGCGCACCTGCACAAGAATTCCGATAGCTCTTCTTCTGGCCCAGGTTCGTCCAGCTTCGCAGCCCCGATTTGGTGTCTCGACGAGCAGATTGGACATAATTCCTCACGATTTTCGCAAAGAAGCCTACATTCAAGAAAGTTTTTCTGATTGACCCTAAAACCAGCTAACCCTAAAACCCCAACTACCTGCAGTCTGGGGCTGGCACCGTGGTGGTTGTCTTCCCCCCGGAGGGCCTCCCAAACGTCGGTGCCCAGATTTCGCTTTCGGACACCACCGGACAGGTCCTGGACTACCTGACGTATGCCTCGCTGGGAAGCCTTGCGCGCACAACTCCCGCGTCCGTGGGTGCCGCCCTTGGGCTCACTCCGTGAGTCCTTCCGATACTGCACTCCGAACAGGCAACCCCTGAGTTAAGGTTTTCGTGTCAATAACTCAGTTTCTGCGATTTTCAGAATGGGACATACTGCCTTTCAAATTCGAAGCCGGCATCAGAACAGAACCAGAACATGACGTTAGGAATATTTGCAGTATGATACGCTTCAAAGCTTCTGCACGTCGCTGCATCAAGCTCGGCTGTGAAGAGTATCTGGACTTTTCAGGTTCGCGTCTCCTTTGACTCACAGTGCGCTGTCAACGACCATGTGTTTAACACGAGCATTTGTTTGCTCTCACAGAAAGCTTTGCCCTTAAACCACGATTGGTTGAAGGCATCGAACCAGAAATGAACCACGTTTCCATGGTAGAAGGGCACCTAATCAACCACGGACCAAGCTTGGTTAACACTAACTATTTCCTGCAACAATCCTAAGGTGGCCCACTCATAGCAGGCTTTTCCATTTCTGCTTCCATCATGTTATCTCCACAGCGGCTCAGAGGCTTCCCTGATAGATCATACATTGGTCAGCCGGTCAACTTTCGTTGGCGTGACCTGGCCGGGGTGACGTCAGCTTAGAGACTGGCCCTCCTGCCAGCGATGCCTTCAGCCTTATGAAGGCTCGTGACAGGGCCGGAGCAAACAGCAAAGCGCTTGCACGAAATTTTGATGCGTTTGTCTCCACGGTTGGCAAAAGTCGATGATCTCTTCGCTGAGGTTTTTACTTCACAAGAGCGTCGGAAGCAAGTCCACATCTGTCTGCCTCCAAGCTGACGTCACACTCCTCCCCGCAGTGACGTCGTCACCACCCAAGAGAGCGGCTCCGCCCCTGCGGGCCTGTCGGTGCAGCGCACCGGGGCCACCACGTGGCGGGATCCCCCTGGCAACAACACGTTCGGCAAGGTCTACCCGGATTACATCACCGCCGACCAAATACCCTTGTGCCGCGTTCTCGCGGACGGGAGCATCGCATACGCCGCTAACGGGAATTTCTCCTGCGGAGCATTCCAGAGCACCGTCTACGTTTCGCCGGTGACCCAGCCCCCCAAGTGGGCGGATGGGCCCCGGATCATCGGGCCTGGAAAGCTGCCCGATGCCGCGGCGACAGCAGCTCTCCTCGCAGACACCGGTGAGAGCCACTTCCTCCTTTACTGGGTTAAGCTTGTCAATTAGTGGGTTAAGCTTGTCATTGAGTGGGTAAGCTTGTCATAGAAACAATTGTTCGTGTCTGCAGGACAAGAAGACTTTATTTTTTCACCACATACGGGTGAGGGTGTGCAACCTGCTGTACACTTGCGCTCAAATATTTCAACGAGGCCATGGGTCGAAGCGGGTCGGCGGCCTCGCATTGAAGGCGTGTGCCCCGCAGCATCTAGCTGGCTTCAAACCTCGTTGAAAGGATCTAAAACTTCTCGGAGCACACCAATCTCGATTAACTTTCACTCTGCAACAGACTTACTGACTCACACAAGTTTCTCCACTAAAAGTGGCAAGTTGCTTGAGAGAAGCTCAGTGTACTCAACAAAAAGGCACGGTCGCGGCTCTACTTCGCACTTCCTCTTGCGAAGGTGCTCAAAGTGAACAGGTGCACATTTCACTCCGTCTGAGAATCAAGATACTGTCCTGGTCCCTTGCAGGATTTCAAGGAACCCCCGCGGCCACTCCTGCCCCGACCACCCCGGCCCCCACCACCCCCGCCCCGACGTTCCGCGTTCCGTGCCCGACTTCCCCGGTCGGCGGAATCTGCGACTTCCAGGGACCAACACCCAATCAGGTACGCCGGTTCGAGAGGACTCCATCCCTAGTTTCTTGATGGACCTAACCAACGGATTCATAACCTCAGAATCGAAAGCCAAGGACTGAAAGACAAATGCATAAACGGGCTTCCGGTCCGAGGGCTCAACCACAAGAATGAAGACTAGCGGCTTGCGCTCCAAGACGCCTTGTGCGTTCAGAGCCGTCTGCTCCTTCTCTTTTTCTTAATGGGGATGCTCGGCTTGTCTTGTCCATCCGGGCTTGAGCGACTCAGCGGGGTGCTGTTGGGCTTCACGCCCTTTCGAAGTTTTGAAATGGGTTGTCCTGTTACAACAAAAAGATGAACGGCGAGGTTCAGAGATCAATTGCAGCGGACATCGAAACGTTTCGTCGTCTTTCCTTGCGGTGCACCTGCCATTCCGCCTCTGCCATTTATGGGTCTCACTCCATATCGCGCGTGCATCATAAGACTGAGGGTCGTGCTTCTGTGTCTTCAGAAAGACTTAAGGAGCCCATGACGAAGATTTCTAAACCTTTCCACTTCACCTTTCTGAGCAAATCAAAATCGTCGGTGAGCCTGTCTACTCCGCCACACAAGAGTTACTCTCCCACTTCGCCTGGCCAATGCTATATTCCAAAAGTCTTACAGCCCCTTGACCGCGACCCAGAAATTTAGTGCAGTTTTGCACGCAACTCAACCATTTCTCCCCTTCCAGTGCTTCAACGCCGCCGGCAACCGCTTCATCTGCTGCGCGACCGTGTGCTCGAACACCCCGGGCGGGGACCCCGTTTGCGGCCCTGCCGAGCCCGGCTGCTTCGCCACGGCCACCCCGGCCCCGACCACCGGTACCCCCGGGCCGACAACTTCCGCCCCGGCTCCTACCACCGAGCCCATTTCTACCCCCGGGCCGACAACTTCTGCCCCGGTTTCTACAACTGAGCCCACTTCGACCCCGGCTCCTACCACTGGTGGGCCGACCTCTACCCCGGTTCCTACAACCGTGCCGACTTCTACGCCGGGCCCTACGGCCACCCCGAGCAGTACCCCCGCGCCCACCACGCCGGGCCCCACCGCCACCCCCCAGATCCAGCCCGTGGGGGGTACATGCGACCCGTACGGGCCGACCCCCAATCAGGTGCGGCTTGAATCTGGGAACAAGATTGAAGCTGTCGGGACGCGTCTGTTCTCGTGGGCCCTCGTAGGTGGCAAGGTAATTGCGTGTGGGGCTAGACGATGTGGGAACAGCTGGAGAGTAAGTTAAGATTGTGAAGTTACGAATACAATACTCCATGGCTACGCAAAAGCTACGCGTCTCCTGCGCGTTTCTCGCGCTTATAGTAGTCTAATCTTCCCCCTAAGGCAGATGGATTCTTCTCGTCTCGTGGTTACTTTCACCACTGCTCGTGCGCCACGAAGATTGAACCTTGCAGAATTAGCAAGCATCCTAATCTGCAAGTTTATATTGATCCTCCTGGCTCGGCCTGGACAGGTGCTTCTTTGGAAGTTGCCCACTTCTTGGTGAGCCTTTTCAAGTGTCTCTTCTTCGTAGAAGTATTCATTTTGACTGAACTTTATCGTCGGTTCCGGAAAACGGTGAGAATCTGCCTGTGCATGGCAAGACGCAACATTCGCAATCTGCTGCTTCCGGGACTGGCCAGACGACGCTGTGCGCTCTTTTCAAAACCCGTTCAGAAAGTGACTCAATGAACACATTTGATACAATACACCATTGAAGCTGACAACTCTTCGCCCTGTGTTGTGCAGTGCTTTGCTTCCAACGGACAGACTTACGTCTGCTGCCAGACCGCCTGCAGCCCGGAGGCTCCCGGCCAATTTCCCAAATGCGTTTAAGAGCCCTCCAGCTAGTTTTACGTGGCCGAGATCGTCGCTCTAAATATGCGTCACACAATTAAGAGCTTAATCTAGGGCTGCGCTCCTAACTTTCGGGTCTGCTTTAGCTCAGACGCTCGCACATTGATGAAATAGGCTATCCTTCTGCGAGGGAAGAGTCGTTGCAAGCAGCTTTTTGATGGAGAGGGTCTAGCTTCGTGTTGTATCGGTCCAGCACCTCTTTGGGGGTGCTTCGGTATTGAGCCAGTCGAGAGTTGAGATGAGCTTAGTCCAGGACATTGCAGTACTTGTCAAAGAATTGTTACATCAGGATAAAGCAAGCGAACACACTCTTCAGACGCAGTGCCGACCTGATTGATGCTTTCGATCAATGATTTCAATAAACAGGTTCGGTTGCGCACAGCGAGAGTCGAAGTTTTGACATTTCAGAGTAGATTCACGAAATAAGAAGACATCTGATGTTGAGGTTAGCTGAGGAGAACAACAACAGGCGAGAGATCCGCGCGAACTTTTCAAACACTTTAAAACACTTCTGAACTCGATCTTTCGATGGATTATCAATGTTCAGCTTTGATCCATGCGCACTGAATCGCGGCCCTGGTAGGCATTTGTATTCAAGTTTTAACCCTCATTGCATGCTGTCGCACATGCTGCCTACAGCACCATTCCGTGGTCGGCCCGCCGCGCCCGACCCATGTCATTGCCTAGTAGTATATCCGACGCGAGAACAAGGACGGTTGCAGGGGCGCTGTGCTGCGCCTGCAATACGTCATTCAACGTCCGATGAGTCCAGGCTCGTTGTTCAATATACTCACTTAAAATTAGGTATACTAATTCCGACGGCACCACTCATTTGCATTAAGTAAAATCGACACGGATATCGAGTGATTCAAGTTGCGCCAGCGCTTAAGCTAGCCTAGATCGACAAGCGTGTCACTCGGAAGCAGCGCCAGCGGAAACACACAGGTTTGATTACGGCCGCCGGCCATGCATGGCTGCGTAAACGTCATGTGCGGCGCCGGGCCTGCGTGTGCATGGGCGTTGGCATTCTCTGATGTACTCGATGCTCAACATCACTGGAATACTCACTAATTAATCCGGAATGATCATAGTGGGAATCTGCATGCGTCAGTGTACGTCCATACCAAACACATTGACGGTTCCGGACCTGGTCCCCTATTATGTTTGACAGACCACAAATTTGACGACAATGTCAGACCCGAATCGGGCTCAACGCCCGCTCTTCGTGTTCGTGGTACTGTTTCGAACCTGACCACGGTAAAGTCATCTGCTCCTGTCTCCTGCCGGGTAAGAACCTATGCACATTCTCCTGATCCAGCCACAGTGGCTTCCGTGCCGGAGTCCTCACGCGGACTTCGCCGCTGCCCGGCACGACCCCCGTGTCGGCCGATCCCGGAGTCGGCGCCTGCATTGTCTGCAGCATATCGAGTCGCTCCGCCATTCTAGTTAGCTCGCGAGCCTCCATCCCGATTACCGCCGCGGCTGCCATGGCCGCCCTCGCCAGCTGTCCCTCGTCCGCCAGCTCAGCGTCCCTTTTGATCTCGGCCGTCGGATGGTTTGCCGCCTGGAGGGCGGTGGTTAGCTGCTTTGCAGCGATCGCCATTTCGGCGATCCGACGGTCCAGCTCGCTACACGTGTCCTCGTTTGCGAGGTCGAGGCGCTGAAAGTCGGTCCGCAGCTGGGCGAGCCGCTCCTCGGAGTCCGCCAGCAGAGCCTGGGTGGTGGACAGGGCGGAACGGAGCGTCGCAAGCTCAACGTCCTGCAGGGAAAGAGGGCAATCTGTGTTTGTGTCTTCCTGGAAGACCGAAACCAGAAGGATTACTTTTTGGGGCCTTCTTCTACAAACAGTGTTCCTCATGAGCAACTGAAGAACAAAACTTGTCCAGACAAAAAAAGCTGACTTAATCCTCTAGGCCTAAAATTGGTCATTCTGATGCTGCCTCGGGTATAAGCCCCTGGCACAAGGCCGTGTGAGAAGAAGTACCACTTTCACCCCTGAGAGGGCATTCGTAGCACTTGCACGTGAGTAGTGTCAAACATGAGGGCTGGACTTTGTAGGCGACTTCTCGAAAGACGCAGTCTGCTTGCAATTGCTTCGAAAAGGTCGTGATAAGCGGCAGCCACAATCGTGGGTGCAGTGAACGCCTGTGCAAGCCGCTGGATCGACGAGCTTACTGCAACGCTGACGAGAAGCCAGTTTGTTACCTTTGACTGCTAAGGTATTCTGTTCCTGAGCACAACGGACAGCGACGGGATAGCACTCCGAAGAAAAATTTCGAGAACACTCGCATGGCCTGCCAAGGCTGAGCAGAATAACAAAGGCTTGGCAAGGTTGGAAGAGCCATCACTGCGGATTCTCGTCGACGTCCTTTCTGACGCCAGTCCTTTCTGACGTCCACATCTCTCTTACGCTTCCACCAGCGGCACTCGCTTTCAACGCTTCAGAGCGTACCAGTGCTCTCGGTGACTCCGGTGCATACAAAACGACATACTTGGCGTGCGTCGGACCTGCAGACCACTCACCTTTTGCCGACACGCTGTGCGCCACATCTCAATGACCCCGTCCAACGCCGCCACTCGCTTCTCGATTCCTTCCCCTCCCTGCGCGCTCACCACTCCGCATTCCTCTTCCCCGGTCTCTTCTTCTTGAGTGCCCTCCATAGCAACTCCTCCCCTGGGAGCTCTAGACTCCTCTGCCGCCTGGACCCTTTGCTGCAGCACCTCTAGAACTTCCTGCTGGTCGCGCATCCGCCCGACGGCCCGCTCCAGCTCCGCACACACCTCCCGCCGGCTCGTCTCCGCTGCCACCGCTGCCTCGCGCATCTCCTCAGCCCGCCGCGCCACATCCCGATACTGGTCCCCGACACTTACCGCTTCCTTCTCCCGCTCTTTCAAGCGCTCCTTTACCGTTTCGCACTCTTCCCTCCACCGCTTCCCCTCCTCCATTTCCGTTCGTAGTCGGTTCCGCAACTCTTCCAAGCTCGCCTCTGCCTCCGCCTCGACTCGTTCTGCCCGCTCTTCGAAGTCGGCGCGGGCGCTCTCGTACTTCTCGGCGGCCGTCCGAAGCTCGTCCGCAAACGTGCGCTTCAGCTCCTGTTCCGCTGCCTCCCTCTCCCGCTCGGAAACCTCCAGACGTTCGCGCAACCGCGTGACCTCCGCCTTCGCGCTTCCCAGCTGTTCTCGCAGCTCGCTCTCCCCGCTGACGTTTGCGCTGACTTCACCAGACTGTGCGCTGGCATCATCTACCGACACATCCCGCAGATGCTCGTCCTGGCCCACGTCAGCCGCCCCCGTTGTCACTGCCGGAAGCGCCACTGCTCCTTGCACGGCCTCGTCTAGTTTCTTTTGCAGCTCCTCCGCTTCCTCCTCTTTTTGCTCCACCAAAAGGAATAGCCGCCGGTTCTCCTTCTGTAGCCGCGCCACGTCCCGCTCCCGTGCTTCCAGCTCACCCTTCAGCGACATCACCACCGCATCTGACCCCAGCTCTTTCGCCGACTCCCCGTCTTCTTGTTGGTTCACTTTCTTTTCGCAGCAGGCCCCGCTGGGCACACCGCTCGAAGCAGTTTCTTTTGAGCACATTACCATCTCCCGCAGCAGAATGCGTTGCCCAAGTTCCTCTGAGACGGATTCGATCCCCGCACTTGTCCTCTCGACGTTGGTCCTCGCCTCCTCTGCCAGCGCCCTGACATGGCCGCTCAGGCGGAAGACCTCCTCAAGAACAAGTGCTTCGGTTGACCGGGCGTTCGCAGCGCAAGTCTGACAGCTTACAGGCCGAGTGGCGATCTCAGCGAATGCCGCGCGACCTGCTCGCTCCTCCTGCCGAGCGCGTACTCGTCCGCTCAGACGGAAGAGCTCGAGCCTCTCCCATTCTGCAGACTCCGTTAGACCTTCCGAACGGAGCCTTTCTGACGTCAGCTTTCGGACTGCTGACGTCAGCTGCTCGTGCACCGTTTCTAGCTGCCATTGCAGTCCGGCGACCTCTGCTGAGTGGGCGGCATCGCTCTCGGTGGCCCGAAGTGTCCACGCCTCGCGAGCTTGCACGCTTTCGGCAGTTAGCACTTGCACCCGCGCAGCGTGGCCCCCAACTTCCACTTCCAGCTCTTGGTTTCGAAACTGAACTGACTCCAGAGCTTGCCGGCCGGCGATCAAATCCGCTTCGAGTAACGACACCCGTTCTGTGAAGGCTGCACGCACCGTTTCTAGTTCGTGCTCCGTCACTGCCAACTGCGACCGCAAAGTCTCCACCTGCCGGGATATGTTCGAGGCTGCGTCGAGAACCGCAGCTTCATTCCCCTTCGGTGCGGTTACATCGCCCAGCTTATTCTCAAATTCCGTTTGGATTCCAGCATCCGTTCCGGTGCCTCTGTCCGCCAGCGCCAGCCCGCCTCGGTCGACCACAATGCTGTCCGTGTTGGTGCCTCGATCCATCATCTCAGCCCTCTCCCCCTCGCCATTTCGCAACTTCAAAAATCCTTCCGCTGGGGCAACCGGGCGCTTTCGTGGAACCCAGTCCGCGGTGTCAAATCCAGCCGCCTTCGTGCTTATGGTGAGGTCGGAGGAGAGGTACTGTTTCACGAGGAAGCCTTCGGGCCAAGGCTCGGGCAAAGGGAGGGCGGGAACCGGCGGCTCCAGTGGGGCTGAACGTCGCAGGCTGGCCTTCAGCTGCTGAACCTGAGAGGAGGAGAAACGAACTTGGAACGTATTGGGCGAACGTTGTTCGGAAGATAGATGCGGAGGCCGTCGAGAAGTGGCAAGCCTATGACGAGCCGCTGTGTTTCATCGATGTTTTTTGTTTCGTGTGAAGGATTCCTACGGGGAAAAGATGCGAGGCGGCAGCCAGGACAGTCTCGGACATCAGATATAACTTGCTCGCCAGGTTGCTGAATTTTAACGACAGACGTGTCAAGGAACTGGACAGTTGACGTGCGAAAAAGGATCGGCACGGACTGGAAGACACGAGATAGATAGAAGAGGGTCCTGCAACGAAGGAGGAGACGGAAACTGCGGTCGTTGCGAAAAAAGATGGCCAAACTGTCTCCTCAACAAGAACTTGGCAAGCTACATCCAACTATTGGTAAAGATCTAGAAAAGAGAAGCAGCAAACAGTCCATTTGTGATGAGTCCTTGGCGAGGATCGAGCAGAAGCGCAAACTGAGCAATGCATTCTTCTGACGTGGGGGTCGAGGAAAACATCGAGGGCTCACGTCAAATGAGAGCACCACAAAGACGATAACACACAGTGCGGCTTGACAACGGTATGATCCGAGTATCCTCCAAAGTGCGCAAGTGTTGCCGCCCTCACCTTGTGCATTTCGTGCGCCAGTTCCGCCGCGGCTGCTCGCGCCATGGCCAACAGGCGCGCCCGCTCCTGCTCCACGCTGCGCAGCACGCCCGCCATCGCCGCAGCCATGGCGTCCTGCAAAAATGAGGCGACACCGTCAGGCGCTGCTCGCGGTTCAAGGAAGCCAGAGGAAGACTGTGGCACGCGGGCCGTAAATTAGGCTATTGTTGCTATAAGTGGGACTGGGCATGGGGCCCTCAGTCTTCCGTGCGAGCCACAGTATCGTTTTGCTAATTTCGAACACTCAGCTGCGCCGTAGTGTCCTCTTAACTCGCAACTTTCGAAGTACAGCAGAACTTCAGCGACTCAACAAAGGGCGCGCTGTAACAATCAATGACTTCGAATTCCCACATCTGCCGACCATTCCCGCTTCGGTAACTGCAGGCGGGCCATAATAATGTCGACATTGAGCGGATAGTTGCGCGCCCTTATGAGGCCCAATGATGCTCTTGCTTCTTTGATATGCAGGAGTTTCAAATGAAAAGGCAAACACTTGTCGCTTGTCGATGTAGTCCAATCCTGGCTCCTTACCTTCTCTTCCAGTACTGTTTGCTTGTCCTTTGCAGCCTGCTCCGCCGCCTCGACGGCCCCCTTCGCCGTCTCCCGCGCTTCCGCCCCTTCTCTAGTTGCTTCCGCCAAGTCACGCACCGCTTGTTCCTTCTGGGCCCTCACCGCCTCCACCACCCCCAGCGCCTCCTGGAGCCCATCTAAAGCTTCTGCCCGCTCCCTCTGCGCCGCAGACTGCGCCTCAAGAGCCTCTAAGCGACCCCGCTCGCACTCCGCCAAACTCGCCGCCAACGACTTTTCTTCCGCTTCCGCAGACATCATTACGCTCTGACACGTGGCGAGTTGTGCTTTCACATCGTCTACTTCAGCGTGCACTAGCGCCAGCGCAGCTTCTGCTTCTCGTACGGCGACCGCCAAAGCATGCCGCTCCTTCTCGCTCCGCACCACTTCTTTCTCTAGCCGTTCCTTGCTCTTCTGCGCTCGCTCCAACTTTTTAGCAATCTCCGCCAGCCCCTTTTCGAACTCCGTCTTTTCCTGCGCGCTCTTTTCCGCCGCGGCCGCAGCCGCTTCCGCTTTCCGCGCCAGCTCTTTCTTCCCGCGCCGGTCCCGCTCGGCATCCTTCCCCACGGCTGTCGCCTGCTTCTCGCTCGCAACAAGCTCGACATTTACGCGCTTTAGATTCTCCTCCAAACTCGCAATTACTCGCTCTTTGGACTTTACCCCCTTCCGCAGCTTTCCCACCTCTTCCGCCTCCTCCCGCACCGCTTCCTTGTACCCCCGAACCTCCTCACGAAGCACCCCCAGCTCCGCCTCCAGCCCGTCCTCTTGCTGACGTAAGCGTGACGTCTCCTGCCCCGCCCTCGCCGCCTCGTCTCGCAACTGCGCGATCTCAGCCGTCTGCATATGGAGAGTTTGCTCCGTTGCCCGCAGATCGAGCTCCAGGCCCTCGCAGCGGTCCTCGGCATCGTGCTGCAGTTGTTGCGCGTCACGAAGGGCCAAGCTGGCGGCCACACGCTCCTGAAAGAGAGCGCCTTAGGGATGAGCTGAGACGAGAGAGCAGCCTAGGAACCGAGCCTTCAAGTCTAGTGGAGAATTGAGAAAACCTTCTCAATTAAGCCGTCCATTAGGTGCCGTCCACAAACCTGACGTAGATGTCAGATTCAAAGGTGACGGCCCCCTTGCCTTGCGGACCAAAGCGAACCCGGCCCCGCAGCTGCATACTACCAATCCTTTGGATGACGGGTTTTGCAGAGCGTAACATCTCTGCTTCGAGGTTCCTAGAAGCACACAGGTAGGGAAGAAGACTCCCAAAAGTTGCAAGCATCAATAGTTGTGCATCACTGATCAATAGAGGAGGGCATCTAAGGCGTCGCCCCACCTGCTCCATGACTTCGTTGACTTGGTCCAGCTCCGCCTTCACCGCAGCTTTCGCCCGCCTGTACTCATCCGCCGCTGCCTGCGATGCAAAACGGCTCCTCGTTCACTGACAAGTCAGGGCCTCAGGTCGGTCCTTTTAAAATAGAGATTCTGAAGGTCGAAAGGCTCGGTTTGATGAAGCAAGAAGCTTGAACGACGTCACACTTAAGGGAAGAGGCATTTTAAGCGGCAAGCAATGACTTTAGCAGCCACGTCAGCAGCACACGCAGCGAGTGCAGAGAGCATGCGTTCTTGCTGTCTCGCCAATATCCTTTAGAAACCCTTCGGAGACCCAATTTCCAATCACCATTCCTACTCACTCTCTGATAAAACTCTCAGGTACAGGATATGTTTCGGTCTCAGGAGAAAAGACGGCCCGTACCTGCACGTGCCTCTTCATCTCCTCGCTTTGCTTCTCGCCCCTCGCCCGTTCCTCTGTCAGCTCCGCTGCCAATCGCAACGCCTCCGCCCGACTATCATCCCTGCCCCTCAAAGCTGCTCTCAACTCACCATCCCTCGTTTCCAGCTCTCGCCTCGCCTCCTCCGACTCTGACGTCACTTGTGCCAACTCGCCTCTCAACCGCTCCACCAAAACCATGGAAGCGCGGTTCTGCACCGACTGCCCCTCTAGAGCTTCCAGCTCTACGCTCAGCTTCCTGAGCCCTTCGCTCTTTTCTTTAAGTTGCCCCTCGAGAGTCGCAACCCTTCCCTCAAACCCTTCCCTCTCTGCTTCGGCTTGGGTAAGCTGCGCTTGCATTTCAGCAACTTTTGCCTCCAGAGCTTGTACTGCAACTCGCGCCTCCACCTCTTTCTGCTCCAAGTCTCCCCGTAGCTTCGAGACCTCGCCTTCCAACCGCCCCTTCTCTTCAATCTTCCGCTCGAAACTCGCCACCAGCCTCAATATCTCCGCCCCGCTTTCCGCGTTCCGTTCCTCGGCCGCTCTCCTCAGCGCTTGTTCCGTTCTCAGCTCACCTTGACTCGCGCTCAGCGCTTTCTCCGTCCCCTGCAGGCACCGCAGCAGCTCCGCGATTTGCGCCGCATTTTCCGCTTCCGCTCTTTCCCGAGCCCCTTTCTCCGTACGTGCTTCCTCCAAAGCCTTGCCCACTTGTTCCGTGAGGCCCTGTTTCTCTGCTTCCGACGTCGCCTGCAGCTCTGCGAGCGCGTCCCGTGCCTTCGACAGGGCCTTCCGCAGCTCTTTCATTCGCTCGCTCTTCGCCGTCGCCTGTTCCTCCATCCCTTGTAGCGCCTCGACTTGCGAAAGCGCATCCGTTAGCGAACCCCTCAGCCCGTCAGCTTCCCTCCGTAGATCCCGGATAGCTGCCAACAGCTCTACAGGGCCTCCCGCGCCGCCCAGTGCCTCCCTCACACCGCCTAGCTCGCTTTCCAGGCCCTGTATCCGCAACCGCGCCTCTCGGTGCACAGTTTCGACCTCCCCCAAACGCTCCCGAAGCTCGGTTTCTTGACTCGTAAAGCGCATTCTCTCCGTCTCTAGTTGTTGCTGCGCCGCCAGGACCTGCTGGCCTAGCTCCACGTCTTCCAGCTGCTGATTGGTGTACTTATCCCGCAGGGCCTCGCATTCTAGCCTGCAGGACTCCAACTCCGATCGCAGCGCCGCCGCGACTTTTCCCGCCGTCTCCGCGCCCTCGACGCGCGCCCTCAACTCGTCGACCTCGCTCGCAACCTCCGCCATGCGTGTCCCGTTCTTTTCTCTCTCTTCGACAAGCTCCACTCTCAGCCGTTCGAGTACGTCCGCCTGTTCCGCAAACTCGTTCTTTGCGGCGGCAAGCTCTAACTCAAAGTCTCGAATCTGCCCCTCCTTTTTCTGCAGCTCCGACCGATACAGCTCCTCAACTTCGTTCAACTCCGCCGCAAAGTCGCGCGCCTTCGCGGCCGCCGCCACCCGATGCTTCCGGTCCTCTTGCCGCAGGTTCTCTTCCGCCTCCACGAGAGCGTTCCGCGCCGTTTCCAGCGCCTCTCGCAGCGCGTTCACCACTCCCTCCTTCTCCTCCAACGCTTGGCTCAGGTCCGACACGTCTTGGATGACGTCACGCTCAAACCCGGCCATTCTTTCCTTCATCCACTCGACGTCCGAAGCGCCCCCCTGCAGCTCCGACACTTCTTCCCGCAGTGCCGCAATCTCGTGCGCCTGCTCCTCCGCCACCTCTAAAAGTCTCTCGATCTCCAGGTCTTTTTCCCGAAGCTCCTCAACCCTCTTGGCATCCCACTTGGCAGATGAATCCCGCCACGTGCTCTCCGCTTCCTGAAGCGCGTCTCTGGCTTGTCGCTTCGCTCCCTCTAGCGCTTCCTCCGCCTCTGCCATTCTTGCCCGCCTGTCTGCTTCGTTCTTGGCTTCCCAACGAGCGGCATCCGCCCTGGCTTCCGCCAGCTCTTCTTCGAGCTGCTTCAAGCGCTCCTCCTCACCCAACTTCGCTGCCCCACTCCGATCCCGCTCGCTTTTGATCGTCTCCAGAGCGTTGCTGAGCGCCACATTCTCTGCTTCCAAACGTTTGACGTTGCCCGCTAACGCTTGGTTGGCGTCAATCGTTCTCTGCAAGATCGAGAAGAAGGGATTAAGCACCGCAGTAAAGAATATTGTCGAAATAACCAGAGCTGGCTTTGACAAATTGACCGTTTGACGGAGGTCGCTTCGATGGCTGTTGACGTTTGAGGCCCAGTTCATTTGCCCTCAGTCCTCCATGGAAGCCTTTTCCATGATGACACTGAACATCCTACTTGCAAACCAGTTCCCGCCTTGCAACGAAATTCGTCTTCCCTCCAGCAAAGTCCGAGATAAAGTTCAAGCGTCGAAATTCATATCTTAGAACAGAGAAGTAAGGGAAGGTCGAGATCTCTTCGCCATGAATGCGGAAAGACATTCCTCGCAACGATAAGAGACAGCAAGGTGCAAGGTCGCAAAAAACTTCTGAGCCAGCAGAATCTGCCTGATCGATCTCTGTGCCCAAATGAACGCTCGAAAAATTCGTTATAAGGACGAAGAAATAGCCGAGTGCAAGGTGGCAAAGTTAACTTTGTCAGTAAAAATTTGCCTGCCCGAACCCCGAACTTTCAACGGCCATCTAAACTCCCACGGTTGTATTTCAAAGACATGCTCCATCTGACTGCAGCAAAGGAGTTCTTCATCATCCACCAACGAGAGCAAGACACAAATAGCATGGAGACGAAAGAGCAACAACGTTGAGTGTCCTGTCAACATCTTTTGAAATACCGCTGTCCTGTCCTGATAACATAGCCATACCTGTTTAGCGGCAAGCTCCGCCTGCAGGCGTGCCAGCTGCGCCTCGTGCGTCTGGACCATTTCTGTCATGCGCGTTTCCATCTCGCGGATACGTTCCCAGGCGGCAGCAAACTCCCCTACGTGGCGGTTGTTCAAAGCCTGCAGCACGATGATTTGAAAATTGGGCGTTATTGGGGCTGCCTTTGCTGGGTCAACAAATTCGGAGAATGGATAGGGACTTCAGCAGCAGATATATCAGGCTGTGTCCAAAGAAACACAACCAAAGCTCACTTGAGAAGTCTGATGAAGTCGAAGTCTGAAGTCTGATAAGAAAGAAGTGCAAACATTACGTGAGTTGTGTGCAACCCGACAACAAGGGCGGACTTCGTCAGGTTCGCAACGGAAGGAAGTGAGAAGCTACATTCATTGGGATGACTCAGGAACTGCATACGTCGAACAATACGATCTTAACATTATCGACTCACCCTATCAAAGTAAGACCTCAGGCCCAGGGCGCACACATCATGATGCTTTTGATCGACAGAACGTGCTTTCAACTGGAAGACTTCAAAAGATTCAAGAAGCGCTAGTCCCACCAAGAAAAGATCTTTATCAAACTCAAAGGCTTTCAAGAGGAAGCTTGGGCGCAGGCCTGCGTCCAAAAGACAGCAGCTTCTCGTTAACGAGCCGACTGTGCAGTGCGGGTTAAGGTTATTCACCTGCGTGGTCTGCTCAGTGGCCGCAAGGGCGACTTGGAAGCCCCTCGCCTGGGCGTCAGCCGCAGTGGCCGCAGCCTTCCACCTCCGTGCGCTGACTTCTGCTGCGCCCAACGCCTTCCTCAACTGTAGCAGCTCTCCCTCCGGCTCCCCCAGAACGACACCGCCGCTCGTTGTGCCCTTCCTAGTTAGTGTATTGGGACTAGCCCCCAGTTGCCACCACAAATTCTGCTTCTGCCTTGACGTGCTCTCCTCCCCAGAGCTGGCAGAAGGGGCTCCGCTCATCTCCTCCCGCAGTTCTAGTTGCTGGGAGTGTGCTGAGCTGGCGCTTGCCCTTCCCGGACTGGTGCCATGTGAGGCCTCGTCAGCGAGAAAGCTGTGTGTGCTGTCTGCTGACTCTGAGGCCTCGTCTAGCGGTTCCGGGATGTGCCTGGTCCGCCCAAGAGGCGACCGCGGCGACTCCTCTACGGGGGCGGATTCGCCAACACCTGGAAAGTACTTCATTTCCTCACCGCCTATGTAAGGACTCCCCCTACTTCTTACGCCTGGGGACTTGGATGGCTCCGAGTGAGCCCCAGCGTCTCTGCCAGACAGAGCTCTCTGATTTTCGAAGGCACCTCCGTTGTTCAGATTCTCCTGATCATATGATGCCAGTTCGGGCCAGCCATCCTCCCCCCCCCATAACTCCTCCATGCCTGCTTCGGGCCCCAATATTTGTTCCCCCTGCGCTTCCTGCATCCCCTCAGACGTCACAGCCTCGGTAGCCTCCAGCCGGCTTGGGCGTTGAACCCCCCACACAGGGAAGCCTCGGGGGGCCGTTGGGGATCGGCCATACCTCAATCTGCCAGCTTTCTCATCGGTGCTGAATTGTTTCTGAAGGCTTGTTCCGCTTTCTACTGAGCCGTCACTAACGTCACCTTCCCGGCCGCTGCTGAGGCTTCCCCCACCTTGGCTCCTCCCCCTTGACTGAAAGGATTCCAGGTCAGACATCGTGGGGGGCACCCCCCTGGGCTCAGCTTCGAAGACTTGGCGGCTGCTGTGCAGGGGTCTCACGATTGTTTGTTCCCCCAACATTCACCTGCAAAAGTGTCTGAAACAGTTTACCTCACAAGGGGGGCACAGTGCATATTTTCTCAGTGAGTTCAGGAATAGCTTAAGAAAGCTTATGGGAGTTGTGAGCTGTACATTGCTTCCAGCTGGGCCAAGACTGTGTCTAAGAATGCTGACGGCCTGGCCGCACTGCTCTTCAGTGATTTTATACCCCTGTTTACGAATCAACCTCGCTGCATGTGACTCTCCAAGATACTGTGTCCACGCAAGATCATGAACGTTCAATGACTCTGTGCAACTGTGTGGATAGAGTTTTTTCAGTAGGGTACTGTGTGATCACTGGCTACAGAATGTTCTATCCGACAATACAAGTTTGCACACTACCTGTAAAGAGACTTGGGCAGGTAAGACGGCAATCTGCAAAGCTTTTTTGCACCATGTGGTCACCAGGATCTTAGAAAGGACTGTATCTACCTGTCAGAAATTTGAAACCAGTGCTCACCTGCTTTGGCAACAGGGAAGCAGCTCCAAGCAGGATGGCCCTGGCCACATATCCCCTGCGCTTTTTCCTAACTTCCACTTCAGACATAGATGCTGCTCTCTGGGGACCCTGGCCAACATCCTAGTGATGGCCCACAAACCAGCTTCCACTTCTGAGAATGTTGAGACACATTCATCTGATACATATCATGTATCTTGCTCATTGCTGCTTGCACCACCTGCTCACTGTGCACAGAATTGCAACATTCAACTGGACAAATTGGAACCTTGAATAAAGGAGTGCAATGGGGGTAGCAGCGCGCACGCGCGCGCCCTGGTGGTCAAAGGCTGAACTAAAGTTTGAAGTTTGACTTCGAGCTTTGTGGTTGAGACGGCAAGCTATAACCGTCCGATGTAAATCTGGGTGCAATCTGGCGGCCCGAAGATCCGACGTGGCACATGTCCTGAATTTTGGCAACAACTCGGGAGCCACTTGAGGCTTCATTGAAGTCGCAGTACTAGTCATGAAGCAGATACATAAAGGATGAGTTGTCGTACTTGTGCCTTGCTTCTCTAGTGCATGATGTACGCGGTAGGGGCAGGTCCTGAACATGACTTGCAGCCGTAGCAAGCTGCATAGTCAACGGAGAGGCGGCCACTCGCTTCAAACCTGGATATAGGCGCGTCTGCCCTTGGCATCGTGTCAAAACATGTGTGCAAGGGCGTCCGGAACTCCGAAAATCGGCCCTCGTTGGGGGGGGGCTGGTGGCCGGTTGGGGCAACATCTAGGGGCCATTTTACCCCTAGGTAAAATGGTGCATTGAGAGGAGAGGGGGGGGCTGGTGGCCAGTTTTATTTTCGGAGTTCCGGGACGCCCGTGCACACATGTTTTGACACGATGCCTCGATGCCCTTGCAAAAAGAAGACGGGAAGAAGACCCTATGCTAAAACCGCTCTAGGCAGTTTCGGGACCCCTTCCATAAAACATTGAAGTCGACGAGGCCTTTCCTGGACCCCTATAGCAGTACGGAGGGTGCGCTTTTGAGTGTTTCAATAGCGAGCAACTACACCCGCGATGGTCAGAAATGGGCCGCACAAAGCAAGAGCAAAGTTACTCAAGCGTACCAATTCTCAAAGGGTCCATGTTCTGAAGCTCTAATGCAGGTGCTGGAGGAAATGAGGATGGAGGCATATCTCGGCCCTAATATAAAACTTGATGCTGCCATTTTGCAACCCCTTTACGCAAAACCAGTGTTTTAGCTTAGCTCCATATCTTAGACCCTTCTGTCGACGCGGCTCTCCTCCCTATAAGCTATGCCCCAAGTGAGAGTGACCGCCTCTCCTAGTCAACTCATTGTATATCCCAGTCTCACCGGAGTGTTGCCCGGTGGCTCAACGTGGCTCAGGGTTTATATTACAGCAAATGAACTATGATTCAGTAACTTAGATTCATGAATGAGGCACCAATGCCACATGACCATCGTCGCTTTGGAAAGGCCATGAAGCCAGTGCAATTGCCCAGGTGCCCCCAATGATGCATGAACTTATACCATATCGCAGAACAGCAATTCAAATGCGCCCGTGATCCATGGCGTGGACCAGGGTTTATAACAACAAGTGACCATCCACATCCCATGTGCAAATCACGCGGAGCCACAACCTGCATGATCCGAGTGCAATGCACGAAACATGAGCCTCGAATCGATCTTTACATCCGCATGCAGCGTCATGTGCGCTTAGTAGACATGGACATGCGCACGCAGTCCATGATTCGATCAATGGGCTACTAGCTCCGGATCTAAGGCCGTCAAGGACCGGACGCACTATAAACGACTACGACACATTTACATCTTTTGACCATCGAAAGATTCCTGGCCAGATCTCAGCTAGATGACACATATACACGCAGCCAGTGCATGAGCCCCCGCTTCGAGCAGCATCTGGTGAACCATGACGGTCTAACTGTCCCGCGTGGGGTAAGCTACCGATCGGCCACTCCGCTGATTGTAACTAACATATCTGTTTGATAAGCTGTTCAAGCTGCCGGGGATCCGTCTGATCAAACGAAGATACTACTTTGCGCGCAAAATAAGCATTGAATCCTCAATCTGGGAAGTGTGTTAGTGACCAGCGGATGCGGCCGGCCTAATAGATTGACGTCTGTACGATATAGAAGTTGCTCCGGATCAAACGAAGACCCAATCATGGAACATGGACGATCATTCAGGTCCAACTTGCAGACGCCGATAGCCTAAGGAAGATTGGTGAACAATTCAATCCTATGGTTTCACCTTTCAATGGAATAGGTAGGCGGGATGACATTTGCTCGGACCCCCTCATTCATTGTTGCGCGCTGATGCCTTTCTTAGCAGTTTTCATCTCTGCCAGCAATTGGCGGATGCCTTGTTGTCCCTTTTGCGACAGAGCTGCCTCCCACTTGCTGCCCTGAAAAGCCGGGTGCACGGGCAGAAGTGCGTTGACAGGGTCTACATGAACGGTCTTCCTGCCTGTCATCTTGTCTTTGTGGTACCTAACCTTCCCCTCAAGAAGAGCAAAGAGGGTGTGGTCCTTGCCCATGCCCACAAAGTTGCCCTGATGAAACTGAGTGCCCCGCTGCCTCACAATGATGTTGCCAGGAATGACCTTCTGCATCACAGAAGACCATTCAGTGTCAGCCTGTTCCACCTGGCAGAAACAACTAGGTACCAAGATGAACAGCCTGGACTGGCCTCGTGGTCCCGTCGTCCTTCCGGTCGCCCTCACTTTCGAGCGCTTCAAAAGGCAACCCTTCATCAGCGCCAACGTAAACACTACCACCAGCAAGTGGTTATAAAACATGTGAAATCTGCATAACACTGACAAGGCCCATCCAACCTAACTGCGTCATCCAAGGCACGCCACTTGGTCAGATTAAACCCCCTGACGCGCCTGTTGACAACGTCGATTGGAGTGCTGCCTTGCCCACACACTGATCGTCTTCAAATAGGACTTGAACATTGCACTTTCAAGTTTGTTGTTGGAAAGGGAAAGGTGTCGTGAAATACCTGTCCCCCATACTTCTTCAAACCCAGGTTCTTTGGATTGGAGTCTCGGCCATTTGAGGACGAGCCCCCCGCCTTTTTAGAAGCATGCCGCACAAAAGATTGTGTGATGCTATTAGAGGTTTGTGTGATGCTATCGGAGGCTTGCGTGAGACCTGCAGAATGAAATGTCCAGGTTGAGCACTTTTCTGAAGCAGCATTCCTGCCTGGAGGCAAACAGACAAATGCAAACCCCTGGAACCTCCACCACAGCATTCGCAAAGGCCAAAAGACAGGCATACCGTGGCAAGGTCCTCTTTACCTGCTAGACACGGAAATCCCAAACTTTGTGGAAGAAGTCTTGTGCAGCTGCTCCATCCCGATCCAAAGCGTAATAAGAGCCCGCTCATATCTGTAAGAGTCACAGGATTAGTAAAGCCACATGGCTCAAACCACTCAGTTTCAAGTTCCGCCCTGGTCAGAATGCCAGAACGCGCGACCGTCAGGTTTGAAGTGAAGGCACAAACGCTCCCAGAAACTCCGATCGTCTCCCCCAAATGAACCTGTCCTATATACTGGTGTTTCCTGAAAACAAAGCTTTGTCGCTTGAAGTCGACTCTAACGCTCACTAAATGATAATCGCCTCGTTCATGGATTTGTAGCGCCCTTCCTGCGTGCCTTTTCCCGCTTTCACTTGAGCAAGTTTGCAGAACAGGCTCTGTCTCGCTAGCTCGACAAGTTCGTGCGGCCCCCTATATGGTTTAACACAGTACCAGCTTATGTCGATTAGTATATTAGGATATCTGCAAATTTTCAATATATTTACAATACGTCATGCAGTGGGGGACAACGAGTCGGATCGAAGGCTTCCTGGCCAGCGGAGGAGGGTATATCTTTTACCTTATCGGGCTTATAAGCGCGTCTACCCGTGCGCGCTAAAATGGACGATTATAACTTGCCTCCTGATGAGGCCCAGGGGTTTTCCCCCACATTCATCAGCAGAACGTCTGCATTCAATGTCAAGGCTTGAGCCTGAGGCGTGCGCTGGAACTTGAAAGGCAGGACGGAGACAGAGAAAGAGGAAGATCATCACCAAAGAAGACCAGCCGCAGCTCTTGTCAGCAGTTCAGCTTTGGAGCTGAAAAAATCTTGGGTGGAATTGGTGATGCGCCCAAGCGGGGCTTTCAGTGGTCTGTATTTGAAGTTGCCGGGAGCCAGCACATGCTAGAAGAACTGCTGATTGAGGGTATGCAACAATTGACGGGCGCCAAGTCGAACTGAAGAAAGGGCGGAGGGGATCACCCGATTGAGGCATCCCAGGATACTCGAGCAATCTTCGAATCAAAACATATAATCAAAGCCCTTCGTAGAAGCTTGGCGTTGACAGGCCAGTTGTCTTTGCAGGACCCTTTGCCGGCAAGGCGACAAACTGATTGTAACGGCAATATGCGGAGGAGTTCTATCTAGACTTGCCATGTTTGCCTGAGGAATTTCTTGCCGCCTCGTCAGGATGTCCGGCAAAGAGACCGGGCTCGAGCCTTTTGTCGATCAGCCCGTGTCTGTGATTACAAATGATGGTCGCAATATTGTTGGAATCCTGAAGGGTTTTGATCAGGCGACGAACTTGATACTGGACGAATCGCATGAGAGGGTCTACTCAACAGCGGTGAGTCGTGCGGCAGAACTCTCTTGCCTAGTGTCCTACATAAATGCTACGATTGCTGCAGTGGTAGGATAAGATTGTTCAAGTAAGGAAGCCTTAGCAACTTATTAAGCTTACTGCAGTAATTCATGTGGTATATTTGTTTTTGTATATCAGAGCAGGCAGTCTCTGGTAAAAAATGGTTCAGTGAGAGCATTCTATCCACTGTTTTGCCACTTCTCAATGGTGGCGCTTTGTCTTGGTCCCAGCATTCTCCCTGAACTTAGTTCAGGAAGAAACAAGGTCTTGCCTTTGGACTTGCAGGAAGGCGTCGAGCAGCTGGTTCTGGGACTGTATATCATCCGGGGGGACAATGTGTGAGTGCAATCTTCCGCGATCCTTTTGTGTGAGTTGTAGCAATCTGTTTCGATGCTTTGCGTGTAGCAAATCTTGATGAACCAGCGTTGTTTCTTTGTCTAAAATTCTAGATTAGTATGTCTTGGCTGTGGCTTGTCCAATCATCAACTTTTAAGCACTTTGTCATCCTGTTTCACAGAGCTGTGGTTGGAGAACTTGACGAGGAACTGGATTCAAATCTGGACCTGGGTCAGATCAAGGCTGAGCCCTTGAAAGCGATCTCACACTAGGCCTGGAGCAAGGTGCGTTTTGTCCGAGTTGTGTCTGTAAGGTCGAAGTTGTGTTCTCCAAACTGTGATTCCTTGCAAGTCAGCTTGTAAAACCACTACCAAAGCTGGAGGTAAAAGGGCGGCAGCGGATCAAAAGCGTTGCGCTACTGAAACCGCTGTCATGTCTTAATGCGAAAAGTCGCCTGTGAACAAGGAACTTGCGCTATTAAACGGGCTTCCCAATTCTGAATCAGTCAATGTGCAATTTGTCCACGGCAAAAACCTGTTAACATCTCTGCATCAAAGTCTTGACAAGGGGGGGCATGGATTGCCGGCTTGCATGTCTGGCGCAATTATGAAAAGGTCTGGCTCAATCAATCGTGATGCATATGCAATGGATATGGCGTCGTACCGCATGGTGGTACTAGGCTCACAATCAATCCGCGGTCTCAATGTTTTGTCGCAGAGTACATATCCAGGCTACGTATGATAAACATGGATACATTGGGTATATATCATTGGACTTATGTTTGTTGTCATGCAGGAGAAGCCTTCAAGTTTCGAATTCCGACAGTATAGTTGCCAGAGTATTTCTGCTATTTTTGCACACGCATCTGGCATGTATTTACGGAGGATTGTCGCACGATCTCTCAAGGTTCCACATGTATACGCATAAAACTAAAGTACACTCAGGCATGCATGTGAGGGGCGCATTGCATAGTGACCCAGTGCTATAGCGCTATACTTGAATATATATAGCATACAATACATGCAGATCACATATATGTGGCACATGAGCCGGGCCAGCTCCGGATCGCGAGCCGTCCCGCCATGCATTCCATTCGACTGAGCCTCCGACTCAAGTACAAAATGGCGGGTCCTTTTTACCCAAAGATTCTGACGCCAGCTTATTTCGAAGATGGCCACGCAGTTGAGGCCGGAATGGGCCATGCAGCTAGCCGGGCTGCCCGTAGCCGGCCCGCACAAAGAGTCACGTACGGCATATAGTCAACAGCTTCCCTCAGTGCGCAAAGCTACGCCGATGGCGCATGATGTGTCACTGACCATGCGTGACCCGCGGCGAGTTTATTGGAGCGAAGGTGGCAATTGAGATGTGAAAGGTGCAACTTTGTAATCGTCAAGGACAACTCGGAACATATCGATTAAATCAGAACTCTGATCGACGAGATCAGAAACTCAATTTTTCTAACTAGCTTAGCGCGTGGCAGGGGTCGGACTGCTTAAGGCTTTGGCCCGCCAAGCTTGCGCCAAGCTGAGCACCCTTACTGGTATCATTAATTGTCAAGTTATGAACGACAAACAGGTAGATTTCGACCAGGTGGGCGCTGGATGCTTCTCTCAGCTTGTCCGAACTGCCCATGAGTCGTCAGGTCATGTCCAGCGCCCCCCAGAAGGCGCTGCCTCGTAAATTGCCCCCACTCACAACTGAGTCCCGACAAATTGGCCCCAGCTCATACCACGGCCACGTCGGATCTCATGAGCTTCAGCGCCGCTTCTTCCGTTGGCAGCGCAGGAATGGCGCCCCTCTCTGTCGTGGTAATCGCCCCGCACGCGTTTGCAAACAAGAGCGTGTCCCGTAGCTTCTTCTCGTCTTTGTACAACTCGGGGTCCGCAGCGAGCTTGGTCAGGAAGCCAGCCACAAACGCGTCCCCCGCGCCTGCAATCGAGAAAAGAAGATCGTGTTTTACCCCCTTGTTTCGGCTCGAAGAGCACAAACTGCTCTGAAGCATGGTTTTGTCTCGGAGATGGACAAATCGGAGGGAATGGTTCACCCCATTGCCGAGCGATCTAGCGCTCTTCTAATATGGTGAAACGGCCGACCACCAATTTGGAAATACACAGCGCCACAGTCGAGGGATGAATTCACTGGGGTGACCCGCCGAGCATCCCTTCGCCAAACCGAAAACGCCTCGCAATACTGACACGACGACAGGTCCCTTCTAGACCGTTTCTCTCATAGACGATCTCATAGACGATCTCCTATAATCCCGAAAGCATTAACACACTGGCCCACGCCGGCCAAAGGGGGCTTTAACGTTGAGCTTCCATCAAACAGATACATTGCCCTTTCAGATTCGACTTTCACCTGTGGTGTCGACGGCGTCCACTTTGAGGCCGGGGACCCGCCCCTGGCAGCTGTGCGTGTAGTAGCGGCTGCCCCCCGACCCCTCCGTCACCAGCAGCAGCTTCGCGTTGCCCCGGAACAGCGACCGGGCCACCTCGTCGCTGTAGCCGTCGCCGGCCTCCGTCAGAAACGTCAGCTCCTCCTCGCTGATCTGGACGAGGCGAGGGACGAGTCGTAGAGTCAGCATCGGGCTTGCGCTCTATCTGCGAAAGTACTGCCATCTCTGCTCGTGCAGGAAGCAGTCAAGCAAGAGATGTTTTGCTTGATATCATTTCGACTCAGCATCAGGCTTTCCGGTCTGACCGCGAGAACTCCCGCCGTATCTGCTCGGGCAGAAAGCAATGATGCCGAGGGGTTCTTTGCTTGAGGTTCGTATTCGACCCGCGGGTGTTACCATGCCGCGCATATGTTCGGGAAGTCAAGCTCGGCCGTTGCACGAGAAAAGACGGAGCGAAAGAGAAAGCGGCGTGGTAGACATCGCCACCTATAACGGGAACAATGCATGTTTTGTGCTCGTTCGTTTTCCAGATCTTCAATCGAAGTCGTACGCGGTTGTTAGCTCCCCCAGTTGGCTACGGAGCGCAAGGGCTGCCATAGGTGCTTTGCGGAGAGGCCATGGTCGAAGAACTCCGTAGGAATTCTGTCCATGTGGTGGCAAACAGGCGGACGGGATGAGATGGACAACGTGATGCGAAGTATGCGCGAACGAGATCCGGGGAGCATACGGAGCACGTATCCGACATGCGGTCCGCGTGGTAGCGAATGGCGCCCCGAGTCAATCGGCAAGGGCCGTTGAGATCCACTGTAGCCTGCTTATTCCCCCTCACCTTGATCATGTCTGCCTGGTCCCAGATGGAGAAGATGCCCTCCCGCGCGGTGGCCTCGTCGGGCCATAGCGGCTTGCGCAGGTTGGGGTCGTATGATAGCCACGCGCCGTTGTCCCGTGCGACCTGCATGGCCGCCAGGTGCGCCGACTTGCACGGCTCCGAAATTAGCGAGATGGATCCGTAGTGGAAGATCGTCGCCTGGAGAACACAACCGACTGGTCAGTCATCGAGCGAGTTCCGTCTTTGTTTTTACTCGGGGTTATAGGGTCTAAAGCAAGAGAAACCAAAGTATGGCGGTTTTGTACTATCAAGATATATACAACAGACTCTGACGTCAATTGGGGCTACTGATCTGCATGATGCGGCCGCCATGAAATAGAGCGGTAATGGATTGTGTTAAGAAGTGTGACAAGTTTCAAATGGAACACAAAGTACTATAATTCGCGCTGATGCACAATGATTGATACTGGCTGATGCTGCTTTTCGAAAATCGAAGAAGAGGGTTACGATCAAACCGAGAAGGATGCACAGCCGAAGCGATAGACGCCATTATATCGGAAACGGACATCAGCGACCTGGCACATAGACTGGAATTTCGAGATCCACGAGGATTTCCCGATTGCGGCTTTCAGGACATGTTACGAACTTCACTAGCTTTCTCGCCGAGCCCTTGTCATGCCGAGGATCAGTGGGCTACATACGATAGAGACTTGCAATCAGCACTTAGAATCCAGAATCAGGGACAGTCTAGTTTACCTTTCTAAGGAGGTCTGTGTCCAACTCGTCTGGCGTCAGCAGCATGTCTGCACTCGGGTTCCGGTAGAACATGAACTCCCGCTCCCCGTCCGCCCGCAAGGTCACAAACGCGAGGGCCGTGCGTGCGCCTTGGTCGAAAATGATGCCGTCGGTGTTGACCCCGTTGTCCTATCCGAAACAGTAGGAAGAATTAGTTATGACACGATTGAGGTAAAGCCTTCTAGCTCTCCAATGAGATTCCGTGTTCAAATGCTTATGCCTTGAAACACTTCACCAGAAGGAGACGATGTTTGCCGTGAGGATAGTTGGGCCTTCTGAAAAGATCTGGTATGGCAGAAAATCTCAATAGATTTGGTACAACTCGAGCCGAAGCCCAACAAAGTAGCTTTATGAACGAAAACATACGTACTTTGTCTTGCCTCATAATGTTCTTTAGCAGTCACACAAACACAAGTGACTGCTCTCGGGTTCAGTTGCTCATGGCTAGGAACCCTTCACCAGAACGAAGACCATGTTTGCTACGAGGATAGTTAGGCCTTCTTCTGAAAAGATCTGGGATTGCAGTCATGAATTCTTGTCTCGCTTCATAGTGACCTTTAAACAGCAATGACACAAACACGAGACCTCAGAACCAACAATTGCTTCATCCCACTATCATCAACCATCTGACCGTTTTGGAGATTTTGTCCTGAGTGGACTGTCCAATAGAATCGTGAAATACATGACTGCAGCTCACACCTTCAGGAGGTCCGCGAGCATATGCCCAAACTCGTCCTCCCCCGTCTTCCCCACGAACGCAGCCTTGCCTCCCAGCCTGGAAATCCCGACCGCCACGTTGGCAGGGGCTCCCCCGGCCGCTTTCTTGAACGCGGGGGCCTCTGCCAAGGAGACTCCACTCACGGTGGGCACAAAGTCGATCAGGACCTCCCCAAAGGAGATAATGAGAGAGTCTGACGTCTGTGGGACGTCTGCTGCCGCCGATGCATGCGTCTGGACCGTGCCTGGAGTGTGGGGGGAAGATGAAGTTACAACGGCGGTGCATTGCGTGAACTGGGGCCATGTAAGCATGTTTGCTTGTAGAAGACTGTGTGGATAGAAGTTGGCGATGCTGATGGTGGTGGTAAGTTCCAAATTGATTGTCCCAAAGTATGATCCGGAGTGGTTATGCTTCGTTAAATCATTGTTAAGGGTATCTTTTGATCATTCACTTATGAAAAAGATTTTGACTGATTCTGCGTTCAACCTGATGGTGCTATCTTGTACCACCAGAAAAGTTGGTCTCTCAGGGCAACTTGTTTTGTAACAGTTTAAGGATTGAGCACCAGTTATTGACCACCACATAGCAAGTCAATTAAGGTCAGATCCAGAAACCAATACACGCTTGACTTTGTGCCACCTAGGGTGCTAGATCTGTAGATTTGAGGGAGCGGCCCGCCCACTAGATTCATTCAGGAGGCCAGTAGAAAGGGCATCAGTACGTTCGATGCAGTTGTTTGAATGCAGACACATTTGCAGTTCAGAAGTTCTCAGAGCTGTGAAACAAAAGGACTTCAATTGATCAATGACAGCTTACTAGAATCACAGCTAACAAAACTGTCATGAGAAAACCCCCTTTCAGCTACCCATCATGCGAATTTGAATTTGTCGCTTGATTGTTGATGGTGTGGTGGTTTGGCCCGATCTTGGGGCGTTAGGCTCAACACAGTTTTCAATTCACATGTCAATGCGGAATTGCAGAAATAAGCAGAAGATATAAAGATCGAGGTACACCTCTTTTGTTTGCGCCATCTCCACTGCCCACGAATTTATGAACCTGCAGCCTTTTCCCTCTGCTGAAGGAGCCTCTGGTTTGATCAGGAGGACTGCAGCGATTGGATGAAGAAGATACTTCTGTGCTTGACCGGATGCACAGTTGGGTGTTTCTGAAACATCTTAGAAAGTGCCTGTTGTTTACCAAGGGCAGTCCTGTTGCTGCCTCTGTCCTGCAGCCAAGTGCAGATTGGAGGCAGGAAGGACCTGCACCATGGATCCGAGCTGATATCTGGACCGCCATTTCTGTTGTCTCATGCAATGCCGCTTCTTCCTCACACGTTACGCACGTTGTTCCGGAGCTGCAACAAGAGGAGGCTGTCCAAGGAGAGTTGGCGCTAGCTGATGGAATTTGGTTTGGACCGTTTGGCCTCTTGGCAACTTGAAGTTGAACTTGAACTGTCTTGGCATCAGAACCAGGGCTCCATCACATTTCTTCACCCCTCTTCCTCAGGCTCTTCAGCGGCTCAGCCTTCAGATCACCTGCCAAGTGACACTTGTCACCAAGACACGCGTCCTCACATCCAAGATTCTTAGTTGTAGCACTACGAAGAACTGCAGGCCGTGGTTTTTACCTGTCAAAGCATCCGACGGCTCACATGTTAAAGTTGGCTCGACAGTCAATGGCCTTCAAGTTTTTCCTTGCCACGGTGGAAGATCCTCATTTGCGGTTGGCATCCTCTAACCACCTCAGCACACGTGACATCGAAGCTCGCCTTCCATTGGCCGCAATCTAGCTCCTTCGAGGAGCGAGCAAGCTGCACTTTCCTTGCTAAAAGTTGCTGTCTCATGAGTCATGACAATGTTGCTCTGCAGAATGTGAAAGCGCGTTGAATGCCGCCATGTTGCAGTAGATTTCGTAGGATAGTCCTGTAGACACCTGTGTGTGGCACCTGGCGAGTTTCCAGGTCCCCACTTGCAATCCTAGACCTTCTCATTAATCCCTTGGCTTTTTTTGGACACCGGTTGAGCAAGCAACATTTTAGAAGTCGGTGGTCACGCGTCGATTGAAAATCTCAGAAATGGAGGGGAACGGGCAAGCAAAGCTGTGCCTGTTTTTGGTTTTGTTCGCATGTTGCACTTTGTTCGTGGTTGATGCTCGGCCCTTTGGTCTTGCAAGCATTTTGAACTTACCAGGTTCTGCTGCTACCAGTGAGCAACCAGTGTTGAACAACCGGCCACTCATTGGTATTTTGTCTCAGCCCGGAGATGGTGATGGGGGCGAGGTTGTACACAAGGATGAAGAAGCCAAGTACAACACATCATACATTGCAGCATCTTATGTGAAGTTTGTGGAGACTGGAGGAGCGCGCGCTGTTCCAATCAAGTACGATGCTTCAGACGAGGAGCTAGAGCGGGTGAGCTCTTGTGCGACGCTCAGGCATTGACTTGCAGACAAGCGGAGGTTCCTGTCCTGACTGAGAATGTCGAAACCCTTTTGCATGCTCCAACTTCAGTTATCCATCGCTTCATAAGGAATCAATTCATCCTGCTCAAATGCAACGGTAAGAGTTTCCCAAACGCCAGGCTTTTAGCGGGCCACTCGCTTTGCGATATTTGAATCGGTTCTAGTCTGATGCGATGACAATGAGCTTATTAAATCGGAACGCGTTCGTTTCTGAACCTGCTAGTATCAAGCATGTGCCTTGGACTACTTTGCGCCAGCCGTTGTTTTGTATGTTGCACTCGTCACATGCTTCTGACAGTTCTTTAATTGCCCGTCCCTTGTCGTGATTCCTTAGTATGGGGTCAGGCTGTTTCAACGTTTGCACTTTTTCTCCAAGCGCTTCTTTGTCCATGCGAAAAATGAAGACAGTATCCAGGATGCAATTGTGGTTCCCTGATATTTGTAATGATGTGGCATATGCAAAACCACCTTCATTAAACAAGACCATTATGTCGCGAGGATCCAGCTGCAATATAACGTCAAGTCTTGCGTCGTGATACAGATTTTCAAGTCCATCAACGGCCTTGTGATCCCCGGGGGTGGGGCCGACCTGCACCTCAACACCACCATCATGCACGCAGTCAGCAAGCTTCTGCAGGTAAGTTGTCGCTATTGATGTTGCTGGATGGGGACCAGAGCTCTGTACCCAATGTGGTTCAGCCACCCGCCACCCTCCACAGAATCGTGGTGCCGCGTCTGAAACACGAAGCTGCTTGCGGTGCAAATCTGCTGAACAATGACTTCAACACATCTGGACTCGTTCGCATTTGGCATGGCTGTGTGAAATGGCTTTCATCTCAAACTGGGCACGTTTTTCCCACTAACTGACCGCTTCTTTTGGGTCCTTGTTGCAGCTAGCTATTGATGCAAATGACCGAGGGGACTACTTTCCTGTGCATGGGACGTGCATGGGCTTTGAGGCCCTCAGCATCTGGGTGACGCAGGTAAGGATTGGGGAGTGCCGACCCTGTTTGACGGCAGCAAAGCAAGGAAATATTCCACAACGCACAGCTCCAGTTGCTTGTAGTGGACTTCTTTGTTTCCAGAGTATCTCGGTAAAAGCCAAGACCTTCAGCCGTCTCCTTCAAAGCAGTTGCATCATTCTTGAAGGTTGTGACGCTCATGCATAGGGGCGTTCTTTTCCGAGTCCCTGACGACGCCAAGCATTCTTGCAGGATGACGACGTTCTGGAGAAATTTGTAGCGGACGGCATCCCGGGGCCTCTCAACTTCGTTTCAAAGGAGGCGCGGCATGGGTCCATGTTCCGGGCCATGAGCAACAAGCTCAAGGACAAGCTGGAGGTCATGCCGCTCGGCATGGAGAACCATGACGTGAGCCTGGCGCGCCCACTTATGGTGGAATGAGACTGCAGTGCCATTGCACTCTCCAATCGGGTTGAAAGTGTTGGAATCAGCAGGTCTTTGCTCCTGCCTTCTGCACCTCTCTTCGCCACCAGGAGCTGCTCCCTCCAAACTGGTCTACGCCTGGGATGCCCGCTAACTTTCAGTTCAATGTTTCAATCCGAAGGTTTCTTTCTTGGAATTGCCTCTTGCATTCGCTTGCTCTTGTTCAGTACGACAAGCACCTGGCCTGTTGGGGCGTGTGCTCTTTGCTGGGCCCTTGCAGACCCTTCCGGCTGGGCGCGTACCGTATTGCTTATGTTCAGTTATCGTCCTTGGTCGCTCCCTTTCTAGTGAGGTGTCCAAGCCGACATCAATCTGATCACCTATGAGCTCTGATTGCTTCATTCTCGAGCGGGCCTTCTCCTGGCTTCCAATAACCACTGGCACTCCTGTCACGCTGCGAAACGCAAGGCTGCTTCGTCAAGCTAAATCCGCCTCCACAATCAGCGCCTCTAGGAATCCTAGGCAAAGCCGCGAGTTGTGTTTTCTCCCCTGTTCACCCATCTTGTTGGCTGCAGTTCGGGCTGTCTCCCGCGAAGATGGTCAGCAACGGCGCCCTGTCCAACTTCTTCCGTATGCTGACCACCACCCCGGACCAGAACGGCAAGGTCTACGTTAGCTCCGTGGAGGCGCGACACTACCCCATCTACGGCACGCAATGGCACCCAGGTATGCACGTGCGCCAGAGCATGAGAGACGGGACCAAGTTTGCCCTCCCGGTATCTCGCCAGTTTCGGCTGGATGCTTGAAAAGCCAGAATTTGTTTTCGTTTGTTGCTCGACAAGTTCAGCATTTTGCCGTTTTTCGCCTACTTCCCTTACGAGGCGGGTTGTTTTGGAATCTCGACTTGATACACCGCGCTTCCAGCACACATTCTTCCTCTATAACGATCTGGAGACAACATCAAGGACCTTGTGACCGTTTTTTCGCCAGACCCCTGCTTCCAGATGCACAGAGCTGATTCACACTTTTGCAAAAGCTGAAGGCGTTCTGGCTGTCGTCGTTTGTTCCTCGTGACTGCTTCGATTGCTTTCCATGCACTTCTAAGCCTGCCTTTTATCAATACTTGGCAGAGAAGAACGTGTGGGAGTGGCACGCTCCCGCCATCCCTCACTCGGAAGATGCCGTTCTCCTTACTCAGGCGACGGCCAATTTCTTAGTCAGGTGGGTATTCTCTGTTGTTCGTATCCTGATGATCAATGAGCAGCATCCGAGATTGTGCTCGACGTACGTTAGACGCGCACTCGTTTGCACATGCGGGCTCGGTCAAAGCGCGTCCCCCAAATCTGGCGGTATATGCTTGTCATTTTCGTCCGTGCCGCTGGCGCAACCTCTGACCTTTGTGGGAAACGGATCTCTCTGGCACTATGGAAGCCAAATTTTGAAAAGCCACTTCCCCATCCTCTGATTCGCTTGCGGCGATTGTACAGCGAGGCCCGGAAGAGTGGGCACCGGCCTGCTAGCGTGCAAGAAGAGCACGAGCTGCTCATTTACAACTATCAGCCCTACTACTCGGGCAAGGACGAGTGAGTCCCCCCCCCCCAATATGCGTTTATTCCCTGGACGGTTGGGGTTTGCTTTGGCTGATTGACTCGGGGCAGCCCCTCCTGCCAACACACTATCTCTGCTAGCCTCTCATGTGGTTACTCAACATAGCGTAATGGGCCGTCACCGTTTCAGATTATATATCGGTCTGCTTGTTTTTGACACAGCAAGTGGGAAGTGGATCTGTAGCCCTCCTCGTGCTGTCTTTCAGAAGCTGGTTGCCAATTTTGAAGATTGAGAGCTGATTATATTTCGTCTGAATCGATTAGCAGCGGGCATAGTTGTCTGAAAAGCAGGATAGGAAGATGCCAACAAGTATACTCGGTTTCACGCGGCCCTCTCTTGTCATGAACGCAGGAAGGGGTATTTCGATCAGGTCTACATCTTTGACGCGCCCCCAGGTTCAATAGCCCAGGGAAAGGCTGATGCGAACAATGCTTAGGCGCAAGGCAGGTCTAGAGCAGGTCTAGAACGGTGTACTAGACAAAGGGTTTCTCGGCTCTGATTAGTGCTTCACGAATAGTTCAGTCGATGAGCAGACGGTATTGATTTCGAGGTGATTGTACATTCTGTGCTTCTATCTGTAGGCATGTGGGAAGTAAGCTAGCAGTAGCCTAGCTTAAGGACTCACAGGGGATACGAAGCTGCGTGCTTGGCAGGCAGGCTAGCAATCGCTTGCAGGTTCAATTGGGGTTGATGGGATGGATCATAGCTCGCAGGATTATATAAAGTTTGTCAGTGTAGATTAGGCCCGTACATATATACACGTTAGAAGGAAGGAAGAAGCTTACTGCACCCATATATGTCTAGGGTGCAGTAGAATCATTATCGGAATTCAAACACTCTTAGTACCTCAGTGTATGGTACAGTACCGACATGGGCCAGTCACAACCCCTGTTCGGGCCACCAGGTTTCTTTTGGTAACATCTCCGTCTCTCTCTAGATAAACATCCAACCAAGCTTACGACACCGTTGGCTCTAGTACAGTAAGCAACATGGACATGCAACTCATGAGCGGCGCCCGCATTTCGACCTAGTTCGTTCTAGCTCCTATGACCGGCTAGGTCGGATGGAGAGTCGAGGTGTAATGTAGTCATCAACACATTGGATGCTAGTCATTTCATTTGCTCACACTATTCACTCAGCGTTCATCATTCATGACAATTTGCAAGCCCAGAAGAGAAGCATAGACAAGCCTGCCTTTACTGAAGACGCGGGTTCCTGAGTGTCCAGATTTCGATCAACTTCGTTCATGATCATGAATCATTGTTGGATGAGTAGACTCGATGAATAGACTCGACGAATAGATTCGCTATATCGTGGTACATAGTATACGTGCGAACAGGCCCGGCGGGGGCCGCGCGGCTCCGACGGCTCGCCGCGCCGCGGCCTCCGCGCCCGGGCGGCCGGGCAGCGGCCGCGTGACTTACGCGCGCCGCTGGCGGATTCGCGAAAGCGAAGTTTTGGCGCGAAAGATTCAAAACCATTTGCACGAGCAATTTGTGCAACAATTGTCAAGCAGGCGGCTGCATTGATTCATGCATGGTTTCGAATCCAGTCTCAGAGTGGCGTCTTCTACGACTTGCGGCTGCACGGCCCGTTCGCAGCGCCTGCCCTGACAAGAAAATCAGTTGAACCCCTGATTTGCCATTGTTCTTAGCACTTCATCGCTGCAGGATTGCCAGGAAGCCGCTTGTGCTGCCCGCTAGAGGGCGGCCTACCAGGAGGGACTCAACGTGTCGAGGATGGCCCCAGGAATGCCTGGCCCAGACAATTACAGTGAGTGACTCCAGATACAAGTCTTCTTCGTATGAGTGTCCTCACTATTACATGGTTAGTCCGTGCTCTTGACATTGAGTTTCCTGGCAAGATGGGGTTGAAGTCTGCCCAGCAGCTCTGAAAGCCGAGAGTTCGAACTCATGCTGCCCTGACGAAGAACACAACTGTTGCATCTTGGCTGATCAAACGCCGACGTTGCCAGTGAAAGAGCCACAACAGTAGTGGTTCTTCTTTGGTGGTGCTCCTTTTCTACTCATAAGTCACATTCACATGCTGGCGGTTCTGTACTGCTCTGCATTTGTTTGCATGGTCATGACATTCAGCTTTTCTTAAGCTGTAGTCATCCATATCAAATGTGATCTGGCAAGTCACTAGGCGACTGTTGCTTTTGCAGCTCAAACTGAAGCAGTGGTGACCAAGGCCATGGATGCTGCCCCTGCTGTGCCCCTCCGTCCTCGGCGGTCAGCCGCGCCTGCCAGCTTCAAGGAGGAGCGGGTAGACCTGGGGGAGCGCTACGCCAAGGTGCGTGTGGTCAAGGAGGAGAACGCCGCGGATGAGGACAAGGCTGTCCTTGCAACCAGCAAAGATCTCCCCGGGCCTGTTGGAGAGCTGCCTCAGCGTCGGCTCCTGGATTTCCAGTTCCAGACTCAGGAGGGCAAGCCGCAGAGTCTAAGTGCAATAGACCGGGAGCCGCTCTTCATCAGTGCGCTTGTGGTCCCTTTTACTGGCCCACTGGACAAGAAGCACGGAGTGCGCTGCGAGGGCTTCGGCGCTGTAATCGAGTGGAAGCTGGGGGGCGTCGGTGGCCCGTTGGCGGCCGGCGTGTGGGTGTTCACACAGACGGGAGCGTACCTGTGTGCCAAACCTGCGGGCACGTACAAGCGGCTGTTCACACCGTTTGAGGAGATGGCGGAGCTGTGTGCGGAGCTGTACCGTGGGCTGGTCAAGGCGCAGGGGGGGGACCCAGAGGCGAGCCTCGACGAGCTGCTGGCCAAGATTGCCAGGGAGACCAGCGGCAAGGCAGGGCGCCGCCTGACGCGCGACGCTTTTCTGAAGCACGGGGTGGCCCTTGTGGAGCAGCTCGCCAAGTTGGATAAGAAGGACAAGAAGGGCAAGGGCACCGCGCTGCTGTGGGAAGCGATGCCCGCGCTAGTGAGCTTGAAGGAGCAGGCGGTGCGCAGGGAAGCAGAGGCGGGGCTGCCCAGCGTGAATGTGAACGGGGGCATCGTGATCAAGGAGAGGGAGGAGGGAGCGGCGCCGGCGGAGCTGACAGAGGATGAGAAGCTGGCGAGGAAGCTCCAGGCAGAGGCCAACAAGGTGCCGGGGCAGCGCAGACGGGCAGCGCAGCCCAAGCAGAAGGTGGGCACTCACGGGTGCTGGCGCAGTGTCTGGCCACTTGGGGTTTCTTGGTTTTCTTGGGTGGTTATATCTTGCAACTCAAACATTGTGCTTCTTTTTCTTTCCTTTTCACGCTTCGTTGGAGCGGAATCACCTGCTGCATTCGTCATCGAGCCGGCAAAAAGAGGCGCCGCTTGGGCGAATTGTCCACCATGGTGCCCAGACAATCTAGAAAAGGTTGTGTCAACCTTTCCTGAAAATCTCCTGACCTTGCCCGTGCATTTTGCAGGTGTACATCAAGATCAGTGAGGACGAGATTGCAGACGACTACCCCGAGCCCACCTTCTACAAGATGGAGGATGAGGAGATGGACGAGTACCTGCTCAACGAGGATGACATCACCTTACCAGAGCACCTCCCACGCAGGTGGGGACCCCCTGATTGCAACTGTTTGCCCTATTCTCGAGTGTCTCGGTGGAAATCTAGAGTTCTGAACTTGGCAGCCCAAGCTAGAATACATGCAACGCTTCTAAACTCCTTCCATCCATTCTGTCAACGAGTGAAACGCCAACATAGGCTCTGCAGTTGGCCTGGGATGGTGTGCAGGGCTTAGAGAAGTCAGGACAAATCCGGGTGAAGGAGGATCTAAATTGACAAATTTCTGCACTTCCTTCTTATTCTCCTGATTTCAGCGGGGGTTCTCGATTTCTATTCGGCAACGACGCCTGAAAGACTGTGCCACGTCTTCATTGCCCTGACCAGGACGTTTGCGCCCCTTTCCCCAGGATCCTGTCCGACTTTGTGTTCTACAACTCGGACCACCGCCTGATCCCACTCGAGGTACTCCCCATGCTGGCCAACGTGGAGACGGATGTTGAGATCTTTGGCTCCGGCCAAATGACCGAGGACGACGGGAACGCCGACTGGCAAGGGGAGGAGGCTGTCCTCGAAGTTGCTCCAGGCCCTGTCACCACTGCGGATGCTTCCGGAAGTGGCGCCGGCAGCTCAGCAGCCGGTGCCTCCTCTTCTGGCGGGGCCTCTTCCTCTGCTGGGGCCGGCTCTTCCTCTGGCGCGGGGGGTTCTTCCGCCAGCGGAAGCGCCCCCTCAGAGAAGGAGGGCATCCGGCTGTACCTGGGCGCGGTGAAGGAGTGGATGATCGAGTTTGGCGCGGGCATGCTGTTCCTGTCCATTCGCACGGACGGTGCCTGGTATCGGCTCAGCCAGCCCTCACCGCAGTATGAGCGCTGGTACCAGCCCGTGCTCAAGACGGCACGCCTAGCGGTGAGGCAGCGCCACACAGTGGTCGTTGGTTGTTAACAAGGGTTCGTAGAGGATAAACGTGCTAGTTTAGCCTGGAACAATTCCATGCTTTCGGTTTTCAGGCATGGAGGTGCCCGATGTTGATCAAAGTTAGCACCTTTTCCGATACAAGCAGCACAGAGGACTGTCCGGGAGCAGGAACTTGGTTCCGAAGCAGGGGAAAACAACACCCACGCAGTAACCAGGATGGATATAAAACCCTTGACTTTTTTCACTGAATTCTGGAAAAGGGGGCAGAGACGTCACCAACACTATCTTCAAGGTCGAGTGCCGCAAAGTTGTGTTTTGCCATGAGAAAACCCTAAGTATCATCTCATCTGCTTCGCTGCAGATCAAGATCATCACCATGCTCAAGGCGGAGTCGCGCGTCTCCCGCCTGTGCTTCGCTGACGTGATCAAGCGGCTGGCGGAGCAGCCGGCGGAGGCGCCGACGTTTGTGTCGAGCAAGCTGGGCGCAGTGGAGAAGTACTGCGTCGTTCACGGGCAGATCATTTTGCAGCAGCTCCGCGAGTACCCTGACAAGCTCATCCAGCAGAGCGCGTTTGGGGCCGGCCTCGTGGCCAAGATGGAGGCGCGCCAGCATACGAAGCTCGCGCTGTCCAAGAAGAAACTCAAGGTGGGGTGCCAGTTGAAAGGCAGATGATGTCGGTAACTAAATTGAAGCAGACGGAATTACGCTTTCGCTGGGAACAAACGGGTCGAAGAACTGATTACGGCTACTTGGAGATTCAAGGGCAGCTACGAGCTTGTATCGTGTAGTAAGTTGGTTTCTAGTCTTGGGCTAACTCTTTGAGGTTAGAAGCCCATCTGAACGGAAACAAGTTTTGGGCTCTTCCAACTCAAGGGCATTTTGGAAGCTGAACCGCACTTTCGGCACTTACAGCGGAACGAAAGCAGAGTAAGTCTTATCGAATGCCTCTCGAAAGCCGGCCAGGCTGTCCTTGCGGCATATCGTATGTTCCTCCGGCAGCCCCTCACCGGCTCCGCTTCTTCCACAGGTGCTGCGTGGTCGCAACCGCAACCCGAGCGCCAACAACCGGCCGGACGCCACTAAACGACGACCAATGCGCGCCACGACGACGGAGCTGGTGCACCGCATCTGGGCCGGCTTCTACGCGGAGAAAGCCGCGGAGGAGGCGCGGGGCGCGGCCGCGGAGGGCGGCGCTGACGAGGAGATCCGCGAGGTGGAGGACGTGGAAAACGAGGAGCAGGAAGAGGAGACGGTGCTGGCCGGGGATAGCGGCCGCAGGCGCGGGCTGCAGTCGCCGCTGGGGAAACGGAAGGCGGCGGTCAAGGTGGAGTGGGCGGGAAAACCGATTGGCACGGGGGAGAAGAACTGTGCGCTGTATGCTGCGGCTGTCGTGGGCGGGAACGAGGTGCGCGTGGGGGCTGCGGTGGCGATTGGCGAAGAGGGGGCCGGCGGGGACGTGTTGCCGGATATCGTGGTGGTGCAGTATTTGTACGAGGGCCGGCGCGGCGAGAAGATGCTGCACGGGCGCTCGCTCGAGAGGGGCGCCGACACCGTGCTGGGAAATGCGGCCAACGAGAGGGAGCTCTTTCTGGTGGACAGGTAAGGCGCCGCCTGCACTGGTCGCCTGCATCGTAACTCGTCACGGACTTCTGCTTGTCTGTAAGTGGTTCGGAATGAGAGCAAGATTTGTCGCTCTTGGGACGGGTTCCGCTTTTCAGTCTGCATTTGATGTCTTTTCAAAAGGATTTGGCCTTCTCTCTGTCGAGTCTCTTAATAGCTGAGTCTCCTGGTCCGGTTTGGACCTTGTTGGGTTTTCTGTATGCTTCCGCTTTGCTTCGCTTCGTCTCAGTCTCTCCCTTCAAAAGGCTGTCTTCCCCCATCTGTTTGTGACTCTTCTGTTTTGCGTCTGCTCCTGCTGTGAATCTTTCTTTTCTATTTGCCTTTCGTCACTGGTCATTTATACGATGAAATCCTGCCTACTTAAAAGTTCGAAGTCTTTCTCGTGTTGGGCTCTTGCAATAGAAAAAGAATCACACTTCCGAACACATCGTTTTAGCCTATCACGTCTCGTGCAACAGCATCTTCTGACTCCTCGAGGTCAATTCCCGCTCCTATACGCACTGGCGGTCCCTTCTTAATCAGTTGCCGATCTCCTTCCGCCCTGCCAGGTGCGTGGACGTCGCCCTAGAGACGGTGCTGGAGCCCGTGGTGGCCACCCGGCGAGTGCGCCCCTTTTCGTACCTGGACCGCAAGGAAAACGCCGCGCTCGACCAGGCGGACGCGGAGCGCGCGCGCGTGCGCAAGGAGGCGGGGGAGCCGACCGAGTACTTTTACCGGGCGCTGTACAAGCCGGAGATGGGCGCGTTTGTGGCGCTGCCGGACGATGACGAGGAGAATGAGCGGGCCAGGACGGGCGAGTGCCCCGTGTGCGACGAGGAGCGGCGCGAAGCGGAGAGGCTCGCCACGGTCGTGCTACCAGACGGAAAGGTCAGAGGGATGATCCTTCGAGCGGTTGGATCTCATCTTGAGCTCATTGCGATCCGTCCTGTGCTCTCATTCGAGCGGCCTGCCGAAATGTTATTTTCCGTAGTTAGCGGAAGATTTGGAATGACTGGGAGGACCAAACTTTGAGGGAGTTCTGTTTGGCCAGCACTGCCCCATGCCACTTCGCCTCACATGATTCGTCTCTCGAGGAGCGATTATCGGCTCAAGCATCCCCTTATTCTACGATTGTAAACCACCAGACCGTGCTCCATTCCGCGAGAAGTCAGACAGCCCATTCCTCCGGCCCGCTTTACAAAGCAACTGCGAGAGAGAATTTGCAATTTCCGCCGATTCTAATCCACTCCGCACTTTGCTACTTACCAGAGACGGTCCAATCGTGCTATTAAACGGCGACAGTCCCCTCGTGCAGGGTTTCCGGCACGGCGGCATCAGCTACTGCGTGGGCGACTTTTGTTACCTGGCCCCCGCCACGCTCCCTGACTCGGCCGCCTCCGATGACGACGACGACGCTGACGTCATCTCCCACAAGGGCAGCCGCAACGTGGGCATCCGCCCGTTTCAGGTGGCGCGCCTCGAGGGGGTCGCGGCCGCGGCGGGCCGCAAGGGCGAGCCGCGGGCGCCCGGCAAACTGCGCGTGCGGCGCTTCCTGCGAGCGGAGGACACGGGCATGGCGCCGGAGGAGGTCTACCGCCACGATACCAAAGAGGTGCGCCGCCGCCGCTCTAACAGCACTGTGTGAATGTGCACTTTTCGGACTGGTCACACGGGGATCTGGAAGCATGAACGCGTCGAGCGTCTCGGTCTTGTCCTGCTTCGCTTGGTCGGTGCCCATAGGCTGCGAGCTATTGATGTAAAATATTCTGAGCTGAGCATCAGCTTTTCTGACCTATGGTATCGCAGTAGGATTTCTCGACGAATTTGCATTGCCTGATCGCACATCTAGGAAGCATGCGGTACAAGCGTGCGGATGCCAAAGACCGAGAGTCCAAGTCAATCAACAGCAATCTGCTTCGAAGCGCTACCAATCTGAACAACAATATGCAGCAACGATCGTCGAGACAAGATCCACATGGCTTTGTCTCCAGGCAGATTTTGGAGCACATGTCTTGCGTGAACTTTAGCCTACTCCCCCCATTCGGTGCGCAGGTGGTGTACAGCGAGGTGGTCCGCTCGGTGGACGTGTCGTCCGTGGTGGGCCGCTGCGAAGTGAGGCGGCCGAGTGAAATAGGCGACCTGGCGGCGTACCACGAGCGGGACAACACTTTCGTGTGCGTGGCCAAGTGGGACGCCAAGGCACGAGCCAAGAAACAGGTGCGCATCCGCCAATTACCGCCCGGCAAAGGCCGCTAAGACATTCGGGGGTCTGCCTACAGGAGGCTCGCATGTCTTTCAAACATGGCGGCCCTGCAATGCTTTCAGCATGATGGGGCTGAAGTAAAACGTACTTTCGCCCGTGCCAATCAGAGGCCTGATGATGAATCAAGGTGGTGTGCCAAGAACTTTTCATATCGCGCTTCGCTGACCATTCTTCGTCTGCCAGAGGGTCCGTCGATTGTAGCTTGCAAAGACCCTCTCGGTCTGGGCTGCCACTGGCCTTCGCTTGAACTGATCTCGTATTATGCTGCTTGAATGAGCCCTGACCGCTGAGGGCCTAACTGTGCAGCTCGACGCTGACATAATCCTGGGGGGAACGGAGCCGATGGAGACGTGCGAGGCGCCGGCGCGCGCGCGGGCGGCTGCGAAGGGCAAGGGCAAGGCGGTGGAAGGGGCAGAGGACATGGACACGGAGGGGCAGAGCGGGGACGACGGCAAGCTGGCCACGCTGGATATCTTTGCCGGCTGCGGCGGACTATCGGAAGGACTGCAACAGTCAGGTGGGCCGCCCAGAGGCTTCGAAGCCCTTGCACCTGGCCGGGGAACCTCGATTCTTTTCTTCGGGACTGTTTGCGTTTGTAGCGAGAAGGGCAAGTAAGCCCTTCACCGCGGTGGTTTGAGGACAATCTATACTTCAAACCAGCCTTAAACAATGGGAGTACAGTACTCGGTACTCGGTACTCGGTACTCGGGACTCGGTACTCGGCCTGCAACTTCAAGTAAGGACACACAGCCCGGCCGCTTTCGCGCGTGACCTGCCTCACTGCACTGGACTTCCGTGGCGGCCAGCCTGCCCTGGTGCCAAGGCGACCCGTGTCGCTCGTTTCGCTTTGACTATCAGGATGCTCACTTTCTGCCAAGGCCGCTCACGTGAGTTTTTGTGGTTGGTGTGCAGGCGTGTCCCGCACGCGGTGGGCCATCGAGTATGAGCAGCCCGCGGCGGACGCCTTCAAGCTGAACCACCCCGACGCAGAAGTGTTCTGCGAAAATTGCAACGTCGTGCTGCGGTAAGCGCGCGGTCTCAGCCCGTTGCTTTCAGGCCCCTGTTCTGGCGCGGTCCTTGAACCGGACAAGGATTGCACCGGGGAGGGGAGCTCCTGGGAAACATTTTGTCAACTAATATGCTGCGAATTGCTTCGAGAAGATATGTTTAGTGACATGAGATAGATGTGTCTAGCTTTCCAACGTCCTCCGTCCGACGCCCGAGCACAGCTGCCACACTTGCTCACCTGCAAACCCTGCCCGCTTGCAGGGCGGCCATGGAGGAAGGCGGCGACGCGGCGGGCTGCAAGAGCACCCCGGAAGCAGAGGAGGGCGCCGCGGCTTTCGACGCCGACAAGCGTGCCAGGCTGCCCCGCCCCGGCCAGGTCGACTTTATCAACGGGGGCCCGCCCTGCCAGGTGAACACGCCTCCCTGCTGCTTGCATTATTGACAGATTTCCAATTTTGCTTTCCTTCCCTTCGATTGGGATTCGTTCTCAAGTCTACAGTAAGCAGCATTAGACAGCCTGCACACAAACTTGCATGGCAGACAACGTCATGCCGGAAACGCCGACTTCTGCTTTCGGAAGAACTGCTTGCTGAAAACGTGTGTTGTCGCCATAGAAAGATTCTGCTCAACACCTTGGAATATGTCCTATCTCCGCTGCATTCCTCATCTAGCCAAACACTATACGGCGAGCTATCTTTTGAGTACAATGTAACCGAAGCTGACAGTTTTATATCAACTGAGCCCTCTGAATCTGACGTGGCATGCCCGTGTTGTTGGCAGGGCTTCTCCGGCATGAACCGGTTCAACACGGGGGCGTGGAGCAAGGTGCAGTGCGAGATGATCCTGGCGTTTTTGTCTTTCGCGGACTACTTCCGGCCGCGCTTCTTCCTGCTGGAGAACGTGCGCAACTTCGTCTCCTTCAACAAGGGCCAGACCTTCCGCCTCACGCTCGCCTCGCTCCTCGAAATGGGATATCAGGTGACCGCCCGCACGCACAGCTTGTGAAGCAAGTGGCCGCAGGAACTTTGGATAGCAGCCATAGCAGCCAGAGGGGCAACGCGTCGCGACTCCTTTGGGCTTGCCACATGAGACCCTGGCATGGGAAATGCAGTATCGCAACATAAGCTGGACAGAACAAAAAGTCGTTGACAACCCTCCTACCATGCTGGAGCTGCTTTTGGTCAGGCAGTTACTCCTAGGGTGTGCTCTTTCGTTGACTTTAAGTCCAAGCGCAGTGCGAGAATTCCTTGAGCCGCTTTCAAGTCCGGCAACGGCTTGAGCGGTGCTGCCGGGTGGGTGCAGGTCCGCTTCGGCGTGCTGCAGGCGGGCAACTACGGCGTGTCGCAGTCGCGCAAGCGCGCCTTCATCTGGGCGGCCGCGCCGGGCGAGGTCCTCCCCGAGTGGCCCGAGCCCAGCCACGTCTTCCTCTCCGCGCAGCTCAAGGTCACGCTCCCAGGTAAAGCCGCGCACCGCCCCGCCAACGGGCGCAGCAGAAACAGCCCGAGCTGCGGCCCTCCGGGAGTGGCTAGACTGGCCTGCACGCACGCCCGGTGTATTAGTTTGCAAAGTGCATTGCGTTCCTTCAGCCGGTTTTATAGTCTGGAGGGTATTCTCGTAAAACCTTCACGATTCCGAAAAGTGTCCTTCCGAAAAAGTCTCCTAAGCAAATCGAGTTCTCCTGCCGCTCCACTTGAACATTCTGAGCCGGCTGTAGCAACAAGTGACAGGAGACAACGCTGATTTCAGCAAAATGGTTCTTTCAAAATCAAAAGCATTCAGAATCTGAGAACGAAAGAGGTGGTCATATATTCGTATATTCGTTTCAACTGGTCCGCTCTGTTAAGTCAGATCAAGCGACCCTTGTTAGTCTCCCATTTGTCATCGTCGCTGAATCCGATGTTCCAACCCGTGCAGGCGGCATCCAGTACGCGGCTGTCCGGGACGGCCGCGAGGGCGCGCCCCTGCGCAGCGTGACGGTGCGCGACACCATCGGGGACCTGCCGCCCGTGACCAACGGCGCAGCGCAGGAGGACATCCCGGTGAGCCACTCGCCCGACTCTGCCTCGAGCGTTGCGCCTACAGAAAGCCGGCGTCTACAATGTCGCTGCAACATTTGCCAATACGACTCTTCTCGCAGGCTTCGGAAAGGGTTGTCCGGCCTTAATCCTTGTTTACGGTTATCTCTTGAATTAATCTGAGGCAAGGAACGTAAGCGGCAGCGGTCACCCAGGAAGCAATGCTGTGCTGTTTTTGTGTAGCGAATCCGAAGCAAGCCCGTCATCCTTTTCGAGTCCTCTCAGGAGCTGAGGTGTGATTCTGTGCCTCTGGTGCAGTACGGGGAGGCTCCCGTGTCGACGTTCCAGCGTGCCATCCGCGGTGACGAAACGCGGCTGGTGGACCACATCGCGAAGGAGATGAACGAGCTCAACCTGCTGCGCTGCCAGCACGTGCCGCGCGAAACCGCCGGCGCCGACTGGCGCGTCCTCAAAACCCTACCCACCGAAGTTCGCATGGTGAGTGCAGGAAGGAACGCGCCGGCAGGGCGCCCCAAGAAACCGCATAGCAGGAGGCCGCGAGGGCGGCTGCTATATGGAGATACGGAGGTCTTAACTTCGGACTAGTCCCTCTCCAGTTGTCTTGGACCGCCGCAGGGAAAGAGTGCTAAGCTCAGGCAACGATGAGGCGGCCGTTAAGCCCGTTTCTTCGCATTCTGAGCCTGCCCAAGCGTCTGGTCTGCTGAGGGCACTGAATTGAAAGTTGCAGGCATGCCTCGCTTTTCAAAGTCTTGTTTCCTGCCCGCTCGCCTGCTTTTGCTCACGGCGCGTGCGGGTGCGCGGTGCAGGTGACGCTGAGCAACGGGCAGGTGGAGGACCTGGTGCCGTGGTGTTTGCCCAACACGGCGGAGCGGCACAACGAGTGGAAGGGCCTCTTCGGACGGCTGGACTGGAACGGCAACTTCCCGACGTCCGTCACCGACCCGCAGCCCATGGGCAAAGTGGGCATGTGCTTCCACCCCTACCAGGACCGCATCGTCACAGTGCGCGAGTGCGCGCGCTCCCAGGTCAGGCCCACGCGAAGTCGGCCGCTTAAGTGCCTGGAAGGAGCCGTAATCTGTTGAATTTCTTAGTAGAAACAGTGCACCGTGCCAGCTGCACCGATGTCAATCTTACCGCACGTGGGCGGCCACTCTGGCAACGACGTCGGCGTGACTGAATTTTGGTTACAGCGAAGGCGACCAAAGCAAACCTGCTCGAGGCTAACTCTTGTCGCGAGCAGCTGTCTGCTCCGCTGTTCAAGCAGAACTGCAAACCGCGCAAAGCTTATCCCTGATTCGAATCACTGGTCCAAGTCACTGACACGAGGCGCATCATTTCGTTCTCGACTGATTTGCGTCTCCTATGCTTTCTTGAAAGGTGAAGCGGCTCAGACCAGGCTTTCCATCCAGTTCCTCGTCTTTGCCTTCTGCTTGAGATCCTGTTTGACGTTTGACTCTGGTTGCTGTGGATCGGATTCGGAGTCGTGCTCTTCTCTGTTGAGATGCCTGACATGTTTTCTCTGCACAGGGTTTCCCGGATCGGTACCGGTTTAGCGGAACGATCCAGGCCAAGCATCGGCAGATTGGGAACGCTGTGCCGCCTCCCCTGGCCAAGGCACTGGGCAAGAAGCTCAAGGAGGCCGTCGAGAAGGCAAACGGATACTGAAGATTATTCTCATGACGTGCAGCCGAGACTGCTATCGAGTTGTTCCAACGTCTCAAACGAGTTGTACTTAGCTAGACGCGGCCTGTTGAGGACACCGATTGTAACTCGTTATCAGCCTTATCCAACGTGTTATTAGGTGACCGCTTGCCATCGCATAGACAAAGCTACTGGAGCAGTGGGTCGACCACTACTAAATGCAGGCTTGCCTCATTGATTTGCTGAGCAAAGTCACAATTGGAAGACAGAATCACATTGTTCGTTTGTGCGCGTTTAATATTGCGGGTACAGTGACTCAACGTGACCAAGCCATGCAAGCCTGGCCACCTTTGTTACGAGCTTGAATTTGAAGTATGAAATTTCATGCGCAGCATGAAATTTAACCCAGCCTGCGCGCGGGCCGTGCCAGGCCGGACCCAGGCCTGGCACGGCATGTGGCGGACAGCCGCGGCCGCCCGGGCCAGCTCGAATCAAGTTGCTCGAACTGCAATATATCAATTTGATGCAAAATCAACATACGAGTACGACGTACCGCACAACCATATCGCATCGTGTAGAATCATACCGTACCGTTCATGCGCGCGCGTGTGCAACTTGGCAACTTGAAGGGATGTGACCGGACGGCCGCCGGCCACCATGGCCAGGGCGGCCCGGGCAGCAATCTGAGTCAGACTGTCACCTTTCAAGTAATCACATGTATTCAGAGCTGATCGCCGCTCGGCGCTTCGATCACCGCTGGAGCCTAAATTAATCATGAGTTCGGAGCAGACTCAATATTGAGCAATCTACATACGCACGTGGCTGATATCGTATAAACTAGGCCATGTCGAGCTAGTTATCAAGCAGGCCCCGCAGCGATTGGTTCGGAAGTGACGTACAGGATTAAGTTGGCATCCAGCTATGCACGATACCGTGAATCGAGTTACCATCTTATGCAAGGGGCACTTGAATTGGACTTTAAAGGGCTATACCTGGTTCTCAGCTTACCATACATCTAATTCCACCCAAACGTCTTGCAAAAGAACGGCTGGGGCTAAGCCCGCAAACAGGTACTCTAACAAGATCGCTAACTATAGTCATTCCAACTCTTACGATAAGCCTCCCTGTAAGCAGGCTGGTTAGCACAATCACACCTGGTTTGCATCCGCCTCCAAGCTGCTAGAAGTCAAGGCGGTATGCGCGAGGTGGGCTCCGGGTGCCTTAGTTGCATCAACAACGTCATTTATCGCACCGTCCTACGGCACCTGTTTGCAAGAAGACCTAAGCTCAGCAACAACCCACTATCGCTCCTAGAAGTATCTGCAACTTGAAGCACCTTTGTAATTCACCATAACACTTATCAGACTTCAGGTAACACACATTAGCCTAAAGCAGATGCTTCAGTAATCTCCTCCGTAACCCCCTCCCCGTGAGCCCCC